GGACCGAGCAGGCTGTAGCCGTGACACTGGGCGTCCAGCTGGTGGGCAACGCAGCAGCGCCGGGGATGGGGGGGGGGGGGGGGGGAAGCGAAGGCCGGGGTTGGGTGGGGCAGGTGTGGAGGTGCGCGGTGTGTGGATCGGGGAGGGAAAAAAGGGGGGGTCTACTTCTGGCACTGTAATGTGCAAGACCCATGAAAGTCATGTGCAACCCTACACCGACTACACCTCGAGAGAATGATCCCAGGTTGAGGGCTTGAGGAGAAGCGTGGGGGCTCAGAGGGCAATGGAACCTTAATAGCTGAAAGTTTGCTCTTAAGAATTTAGGGAGTTTTGTTTTTCAGCTCTTGAGTGGCAAATCGATGGGGGCTCAACAGTCACCAGCTTTGAAGTTCAGACTTGGGCCATACCTTCGCTAGTTTGGGTCTTGGAAGAATTGAAACTTTTTCATGGCTTGGGCTATCAGCTTGAGTGTGCATCAATGTGCTAGCCAAATGGTGAGCCACAAAGTTGCTGCACCTTGGTGTTGACGTCTTTCAGGCATCCAAAGCCTAGCCAACAAGAACGTCGAGGCGCGCTTGCAAAAATCTAGAGACATCGTCAAACTTGCCCCCTTACCTTTTTTTGCGGCAGGTTCGCACAGGGCCTTCGTTGGCATATGTGGGTGTCCTGAGCAACTGGTTTGAGTCGTTTGAGTCGTGTTGCATAGCCTCATCGCCCGGCACATGGAGAAATGTGCGGGGTCTGGCGGCAATTGCTTGCAGAAATTCTTGCGGCAGGAGCTCCAGCAAGCTCGTAAGGACCTTGCTGTTCGCAGATGTGTTGCGGCCCAGTCAACTTCTACGAATGCGAAGACTGCACGCAAGCTGTCATGACGGGTGGCCCTCTGCACTTTCCCCTTGCTTGAACGAGCCAAACACGGAGAACGGTTTGCAGGAGCTGGAGCATCATGCCCTTGAAGCCGCACGCAAAAGCGCAAATTGGCAGCACCAGTGATGAACTGTGTGTATATCTATATATAGAGTCGGGAAAGTTCATTGCTTTTAAATCACTCTGCACCAAGACTTTCAGACAAGCAGAACTTGAATGCTGAATTGTCTCCAACTGAGGCAGAGGAAGTGTCCATGATTCTTGGCAGAAGCGTGGTGGATCGGTTCCTTTGCTTCGGGGGCTGTTTCGCAGATCGTTTGGCCTGGCTTGTCTGAATACGTAGTACAAGCGACTTCTTCTTTGGGTTTGGAGGCCATTTGCAGAAAGATGTTGTCAGGCTTGTCTGGATGCACAGTGCAGGTCATTAGTTTGCCTCGCAGCGCTGCTTCTCAGGAAGGCCGCTCAAGAGCTGCAAAAAGTTACATCGGCCTTACGAGAGGCAGGCGAAGATTTGAGGGAGCCTGCTGTTCTCACCGTCTTCGGATGGCTCCCCAAAGCAACATAGTGATGCATTCCCCTGGCCACACTCATTCGTTGGAACAGTAATATCCCCTGCAAATCATTTTGTAAACTGTCATTCTTGTTGCCCTCTGCTCTTTCCCCTTGCTTGAACGAGCCAAACACGGAGAACGGTTTGCAGGAGCTGGAGCGTCATGCCCTTGAAGCCGCACGCAAAAGCGCAAATTGGCAGCACCAGTGATGAACTGTGTATATATATATACATATATGTATATATATGGTCACACACCCCCCCCATGATCCATATGTGTCCTTTTCTTGCTTGTTCTTCTGCACCTGTGCTTACTTACACATGTGGTTGAAGTGAAAAACGCCGGTATTTACGATACTTTCGCGTCTTGCCATGTCTGAAGCTACAACTCGCTACTGATTATCTATACTCTTAAGCAACAGAAATCTACAAACAGAATCCGTTTCTGGATTTGGTTTTGTGTGGTTTGCTAATCTCTGCTGTTCAAATAATAGCTTTCAATATACACCTTCTTGAACTTCAACAATATTCATTGATTCGATAAAATATTTATAAACCATTCTGTTATGCATAAACATAACAGAAGAGATGAAGGGGTTTGAAATAAAGCACCTAACACAAGAAGCAGACTACATACTACAGCTAGAGACGAATTCGCAAAGACAGAGACATTCTTAACGGATACGCAAGGGCTTAAATTTGCGTGTGAGAATCCTTACGGGAAATATCAAAAATGGTTATATTTTGTACATTGCTGGGACTAAAAGCGGTAGAGATGTTTACGAGGATTGAAAACTTCCTTTATATAAGACGCAACAGACTCAGCATTATAAAGATGTAGATAAGTTCATTCAAGATGGTTTTATTGAAATAGACGGTAAACAAAAACTGGAATTTCTGATATTATAAGTCATAGGTTAGGTTCAGCACCGGGACAACAAATAAACAATGATTATGGCAACGTATTCAGAAGTCGCAGTTATGGTTCTCCTTTTGTATCAGGACAACGACCAGAAGACACTGGGACAAATTTAAGAATACGAAAAGCAGGAGACCCCGTTATGTTTGATACAGGAAGTACAACATCAAAGAAATCAACATTAGATCCTCTACAAAATCATCCTTATAAAGATATAGGCAATGTTAAATAGAAAGCAGGAAATCTACCTATAACCGAAGAAGAGTTTTTAACAACAGTTTGATGCAATAATCGCAATAGTATTCATAGTGTTTCATAAGAAAGCAAAAACATACGAACAAATAGCGAAACCGAAGATAGAGAAGCAATTTAAACAAAATGCTTACGAAGAGATAAGAGATGAAGCAGTTAAGTAGGTGAAAGGTAGGAAGAAGAACAATAGTAAAGAAAATTCATATGGCTTCAAATTACTTGATTTCAATATATGTTGAAGGTATGTATATGTAATGAAATCATCTATGCTATCTATATATAATGGAAACTTTTCGTCCCGAAGATATCCTCATTGATAGTTTAAGTGTTAAATGACACAAAGGTAGTTCTTATATTGTCGAGGGTTTAAGAATAAAACGGTTGTTGGATTTAAGCCATTGCGCGGCCTCTTCTCACAAGTTACATATTTGCCATCAAAATATATAGGAAACTTAACAATTGAATCATAATTAGCAACTAATGCTACTAATTGTATCAATTACTGCAGTCAGAACTTTCAGACAAGCAGAACTTGAATGCTGAATTGTCTCCAACTCAGGCAGAGGAAGTGTCCATGATTCTTGGCAGAAGCGTAGTGGATCGGTTCCTTTGCTTCGGGGGTTGTTTCTCAGATCGTTTGGTCTGGTTTGTCTGAATGCGTAGTACAAGCGACTCCTTCTTTGGGTTTGGAGGCCATTTGCAGAAAGATGTCGTCAGGCTTGTCTGGAGAGGCACAGAGCAGGTGATTAGTTTGCCTGGCCATGCAAGAGCTGGAACCTGAATGCAGACACGCGTCACGTACACCGCGAAGATAGCAGTCGTGCACACTGTGGGACTGTGGGGAAGGCGTCAGCAACCGATTCTTGCCAAGAAGCATGGACCTACCTTAAAATATTGCTGTATCTATGCGGGAACGTCGAACATCCTGTCACAGATGGTGCTGTGCTTCGGTCAGATTACATCTGTGTACATGGCAGACGAACAGCCACGACCTGCAGAAGCAGCTGGAAACACAAGCCGTGCGAGTGCTTCGCTCTCACCGTCGAGCGGCTGTCGTCCAATCGATCTTGCTTGCTTTGTTGCTCAGGAAAGCCAAACAAGATCTGGAAGAGTCGACATCCACCCTGCGCGCGGAAATAGAAGGCTGGCCTGGAGCCTCGGGGCTGGGCGGCTCATGGCTTTCTTTCCGCAGCATTTTAACATTCTAAAAATTGCCCAAAGTTGCTATCAAGCGAGTCAATCCCTGGGGATGCTTTCTTTCGAGTCAGCAATCATGTGCACGCTGAACATGGAAGGCCTCCAAGCAACCTCAGCCCGAACGGCTCCTGACCCCTGCTTTGAACCTTTCTGAAGCCGAATTTTGTTGGCTGGCTCCCTCTAGCACGCCCACGATCGCCCACGCTACGCATCCATGTGCAGCACCTTCACTTGCAGGCCAGCATGAAGGTGGAGGGTCCATGACGTGCATCCGCCCGATCCCAGCCCTGCGCCTGCCAGTGTTGGCAATGCACGAACACACAGAAATGAGATGCAGCAACGCAACAGGAACATCATTTCTTACCGTAGGCAGCCTCCCAGGCTGTCACCCATCCCCCAGCCTCTACTGCTCTGACAGTCCAGCCCACGCAGCCAAAAAGCAACCATCAACTTTAACAACTCAAAATGGTTACAAGCCAGGGCCTCTGAAGAGTTGGAGGGGGTAGAACCCTTAACCCTGGTCCCTCGGAGTGATGACAGTCGACGAGGTGGGGTCCGCGGAGCTCCAGACTTGGCCAAGCAGAACAACGAGGCACCAGGATAGAAAAAAAACAACCAGAAGGCTACACCAGAAGGGAGTTTTGAAACATCCTGGCATGGTGTGTTCCTTGTCGTGGTTGAGACGCCCCCCTCAAAGAGCCAAACACCGTAGCTTCATAATGACGCAAGGCTAAGAAGGTAAGGCAACTTAAGGTCTGGCATGTGGGAAATGGTTGCTGAAACACTGCTGTCGTGAGTTGGTCATAGTAATGGCGCGGCGCTCATGCTCTACAAGTGATGCATGCAGGCGTAGTGCAGACACGCAGTGTTTCTGCGATCTGGTGTGCAGCAAGATTCCCTTCTGTCTTTTTCAGGAATGTTGCGACTCGAAAAGAACAGCAGACAGAGGTAGCAAAAAAAGTTGCAAAACATCACAGGGTTGTTTGTATTCCTGGCGGCCCTGCAGGAGCTGCGGAGACTTCAGCAGGACTCGTTTTTAACATTTGCCATGAGGGTTTTTTGTTTTGGGTTTTTAGGGCTTGGGTTCGTGGATTGGTTTTGCTCTCAAGTGGGCGTTATGTGGGACCGACAGAGAGATCATTCAATCCCCGCGTTGTTGGCGCTACTTTGCACATGCCTTTCGCGCGCGAAGCCCATTAAAGGACCTGGCACAACATGCACATGAAGCTGCTCTTACATGCGCCCTTTGGCGGCAGCAGCAGCAGCACCACCACAACCAGTGTTTCCAGCAGTTCCTGCATCTGATTGAAGCTATGTGTTCTAAATATGGTCTGAAAGTGCCGGCTTGGAGTCTAGTCAATCGCAGAATCTCTACAGTCAACAAACTCGTGCAGGCCGAGGAGGTATCCACGATCCTTGGCAGAATGCTAACCTGGTTAATTACGACTTTCAGTTGCAATGCGTGTTCAGCATGCCGACTTTGATAGTCTTGGTGCCTACATTTTGACTCTCGCACATGACGAGCTGTGAGCGTACACTGACATACGACTGATGGAATGACAGTGAGCTCTTTTGGCACCCAGGCGGGAAATCGCCACATTCGCCAAGGCCTTCCCAAACGTTACATGTTATTTGGTGGGATTGTTCCGAGTTTGTGATCTTTAAAGTAGGGTTTTCCACATTTGCGTGCCAACGATTTTGATGAATTTCAGATGTCCCCCGAGGCTGTGGCAGAAGAACGTGCAGCAGACAGGCGAAGCATCGCGCAGCTTCAAGGCTGGTATACTATAGTTACTATCCTGCCAGGACCGCACCTCACGCGGAGCCGAGCTAGCTTGAACGAAACTCGAAGAGGCAACTATATGTATTTACATTTTGCAATAAATACTTATATATTTTGTTTTGCTGGCCGAGAGCCGAAAAGTGCCTGTTGTTTTCTCTGGCCAGCAGCCACCGATGAGGTGCAAGGGCTCGGTTTTTAGAGACTGGAGTTTTTAAAAGCAACGCTAGACGACGGGAGCATCTAAAAAGCGAAAACGGTAGTGTCATGCTGTAGTGCTGAACATTTGTCGATCTGCAATACTTGATCGTACAGGGCCCTTGAGTCATGGCCATGCTTCGCCGTGAAAGAGTGCGCTGGCCGGCCTTTCCCAAACTGGCAGCGGGGCAAGCAGGCGGAGTCCACGCGTGGCTGACGTCTGATCGTTCCTGGGGCGTGTGTGCTCCTCGAACGCTTCTTTTTCTCTGTGCTTCAGCCTTTGTGCCTTGCCCTTCTCCCCTTCGGCAGCTCCAGGTCCCTGGACACAGCCACTGGGCCGACCCTGTTAGGTGACCATTCCTGCTCTGCAGCTTTGCTGCGATCACCTTTTCATATAGGGGTCGTAAGAATTACTGATATTATTCCCTTATGGTCCCTTTGTAACTATACTATAGTATTCCCAAGAACCCTATTCTAATTATTAAGACGCCTATGTTAAGCCTTCTCTATTTGTAAGAAGACCTTCAAAACCAAAGAGATAGGGGCCTCCTTCGAAGTTTCAGTGGCTTTAAACAGGTTAAGAGCCCATTCAAAGCCTTTAAAAACTGTAACAAGAAGTGTGGAGACAGTTTTTGGACGGTTTTAGAGGCTCATTTTACAGCCTTCAAAAATGCGAACGCCTTAAATTTACACTTAAGAAACGGTCGGGGTAGGGGAGGGGCGGACCATGTGGAGTAGGGAGCGTGGAGGGGAGGGGGAGGGCGGGGGGGGGGGGGAACGGGGGTGAGGGGGGGGAAACGGGGTCGGGGGGGATTGGGGGGGGATTGGGGGGGACCATAGTATGTTGCATGATAGTATGGAGTACACTATATGGGTTGCTGGTCCTTGCGCAGGCGAGACTGCACGCCTTGACACTTTTTGTGCTGGCTTCGCCGGGGCACGAAACAAGACAGGCTGGATCCAGACTCCCGTTTCCAAACAGTCGAAACCGAAGATTAGAAATCCTGAGCAACCAACCATCTTTCGAAGAGTATGCTGGAGCGGCGTGAAGAGCGTTCTTGCACCGCCTTGCTCCCCAGAGCTGCCTGAAGTCTAGCCCATACTCCACAGATGCTGAAAAACATCGCTGGGCAGGTCGAATGGCATCTTCCTGAAGAAGCCATCCAGCAGATAGGAAAGGTCCAGGCAACCTCGAGTTAGAGGTTGCGTAGAGCGGCTTTTCGCGTTCCGTGATCAAGCAAGTCATGGGGGTTCGCGTTCTGCAAGGGGGGAGCTATTGATCACGATCAGGCTGAAGTTCACGCAGCTAGACTAACTAGACGAACCATGCCACTTACCAAGGGTGCGTTCAACCTTCAAACGAGCCACTGCACCTCGTTTGCATGGTCTTGCGTGGGCCCTTTGTCATGCGCAACTTGCAGATCGATGAAAAGAACTCTTAGCAGAGAAGAGCGAGGAAATCCACTTCCTCATCAAAAAATTGCCCTCAAAACCTCTCGGCCCATGACCTCCTAACTCACCCTAAATACAGTGATACACCTGCACTTGAGAGCCTCTCTGCTTGGGATACCAGTTTGCTACATCCCAAGACCAATGCCGCCACATCTACATCACAACTTAGTCCTTCTGCTTTGGGTAATTAGGTGCGGAGACATGAATCCGGAGAAGACCATACCCCAAGATACTTTCCACACGTACGGGCAACTCGGCGCAGCATCTTTAGACCCGCCCATTCGTATACACTGAAATCTGCGAAAATCCGGAACACCACGCCCAGCATCGTCAATGCAAGCTTTGATGCAGCGCGCGCAGGACAGCAGAAGCAACCTTGAGCCACTAAACTTCCTAAACTTCCTCGAAGCCGTCCCTGTCGCGGCCAACAAGTTGTCGAGGCTGGCGAACTCGACCAGTTGCCATGGGAGGCCGGGTCGAGGCAGAAGACTTTCACATTTCGGATTCGAAAGAGTTGGGGTTTAGGCGGGAAGGGGGGCTTAAGGTTTTGGTGGCATACTTCTTCGGGTTACGGATTTTGCGCGTTCAGGTGGTTGATGGGGTTCATCATCATCTGTTGCGGCGGGGGTGGTGGCATGCTAGTTTGCATTTCGTGTTCTTCAGCCCGTGTAACGTTCCTTTCCTAAACTCTTTCGGGACATCTAGGCGACATGGACAGTACCAACAACTAAGCACGAGACGCATTCGCCTCCCAGACTGCCCATATCTGCTTGTATTTGTTCTTCTTGTACTCTTGCTTGCGATGATTGCAGTTCTTGCTACGAGTGTGGCTGTGACGACAGTTCTGCGGTTATGACTATGCCGACTATGCCTGACAACTGGTACAACCAAAGAACTACGTGAATCGCATCAGCGCTTTGCCACACGCAGGCCAGCTTCTTCTCGCCACCTTTTGAGGCGCATCATGGCGCATCCAGCGTCCATTACGGTGGGACATGGGTTTCGGGACTTTTGCCCGAGACAGTGGGCAGTCCTTCAGGCAGCAGGGGCCCATGGAATGCAGTTGGAGCTCCGGATTCACTTCGAGGACCCAGCGCATGAGTCTACATTGCAGCGGAGAAACGAAAAAGACAACCTGATTCGCAGAACGTGGAAGCATCCGGCGTGACCGAATCGTTTGAATCCGGTCGTGGTGTATGGACCGCATGTTAGCTACCAAGCCGGTGCGAGGGGCCCAGCAGGCACTGCAAACACTGAACATCCTGGCACAAAGAAACGTCTGGCCCGGACCTCAAGGACTCAGGCAGAAAAGAAGCGGGGGCGGGGGCCTGATAACGGGGGGGTGGGGAGGGGGGGGCGGGGGGGGGGGGAATGCCCCCTGGTCCGATGCACCGTCCGCTCCCGGACAGCTGTCGACAGCTGTCGCCTAGCGGAGGGGATTGGAGGTGGGGTACCTGCTTTATGCTACCCAGACACCTACTGCCCGAGGCCTCGGCGCACAATCTGTTCCATGATTGCATTGCTGTCGCCCTGAACCTTGACCAGGAAGCAGATTCTTTGAGGAATTATTGTGCCTTGTACGTCTGGGCCTGCGATGGCTTGCAGCTGGTCTTTCGCTTGCTCTTCGGCCCGCACCTCAGGGTGAAAGGGAGTGGCTGCGAGATTATGGTGACCGATGTCGGACTCAGAACGTGTGCCAAGCTTTGAGCAGACAGATCAGCTGTGCAAGTTTGAAGAGCCTGCAAGGGTTCAAACATGCCAAGCCCTCAGGCACAGAGTCTCTTGTCCTCCGGCACGACTTTGATGGGAAATCGCCTTGCGGCCTCAAGCAACTCAGTTCAAATGAAAATGCATAGGTCTGTTGCAGAAAGCAAAGGGTCCAACAATGGCAAAATGTGCACCCTTCAGGTCGCTCCATGTTTAGAGCCCTGGCTCGACTTTCTTCTGGTGCGAAATACTGCTCTAAAAAAAGAGTCCATATATATATATACATATATATATACACATATACATACATATTTCTCTGCACACGTTTCCCCTGTATTTCTTATCACTTATTTTTAGCTATACGACATATCCTGCTTGGTGCCCAGTGCCCAATACTGATCATGGAATATGGCACAAGTAAACCAGAAACTGCTGCCTGAATCTAAGAACGGATCGTTCGGTTTCAGGAACAATGCAAGGTTGTACCCAAATTCCTTGGATAAATTGCGCAGCTTCTTCGAACAGGCGTACCCGTGTTCTATAAGACGTTCAAGCACAGTTTCTGTCTCCAAACCTCGAAGGCCAAGTCCCTCCTATCACAATTGACTATATGAACGCCCAGGAATTTGAAGAAGAACCCTTGATGTCTCATCGACTGAGGCTTGAGACCAAGTGGCCAAATCACATGCTAACTGATTGCAGGGTATCCGTTTCCCGCCTCCTCGTTTTCAAGCATGACTCTCCGGCTCACATTCCTGCTTCAAAAGCCGCACCGCAGCAATGTGAATGGGAGTTGGGACACTGAACAAAGGCACGGCCACGGTTATGGCCGGAGCCGCTTTTCGGACATCATATGACCTAGTGCGCTATGATACACTGTAACAGTACGATAGCATGCCTTAGTATACTGTAGTGCGTACAATAGTTCACTGAATGGCGAGCGAAAGCTTTAGCACCCAGCATGCTGTTGACTGAGGCGCCAGGGTTCCTTGCTCCGATCCCTGCGACTGGGAATCGAGCTCTACAAGTCCTCCTTTGATCCTTGCACTGTAGGCTTCCCTAAACCCTAAACCCTAAACCCTAAGTTTTGCTGCACGTAACAATGAAGGCCTAACATCCGGTGAGCAGCAAAGATTGTGAACTTGTTGCAGGGCGATGGGCTTTAGAACAACCTGAGCGCCCTTGGCAGTGCACGGGTGTTACTTTCTGTCACACATGCCATGGTTCCCAGGAGAGCTCGGCAACTGGCACCAGTAGCTTGGACTTCGATTTTTCCTGCAAGCCCACATTGCAGATCTCATGGAAGGACATTGTAGGCCTTTAAATATCGGAGGTTCCCTACATCCCAAAGTTCCCGGCAAGAAATAGAACTCCAGAGCCAAAGCAGGCAGCCCTAAGGGGTAGCCACCACAGGTTAACTGGCTCAGACATCCCTAAACCTGTCACATGCCGGGGAGATACATCAGGGATCACTTTGTCAGTATCCTCTCTGCAGCCTAGACTGAGGTGATGTCTCAAGTCAGATGTCCCGACAGCTGGCTGAGCGTTGCGCGACTTGACTTATGACTTAAGCCTCACAGATTTCATGCCCAGGTGACCCCCCCCCCCTGTTTTCAAGTTGAAGTGATCCATCCGAGCGCCAAGGAATCGCGTGGCCCTGTTTGCGGTGAGCTTGCGGCAGCCTGGACTGAAAGCCAAGGGAGTAATATGCAAAAATTGAGTCATGTCTCACAGACTTTCTGTGATACTTGCATAGTCACACTCCCCGACTTTTCAAGTTATGAGATGTTATGCGAGTGTGGTTTACAGCGTTCTCTTAATTTCTTTGTGCTCCAAAAGCTCCGCCAGGATGCCCTGTTAGAGGACTAGGCCTCTACTCCGGCAAACACACGAAGCCTCTGAAAAGCCTCTGAAGCTCGCCATCCGATGTTAAAACCGCAGGGCTAAGCGTACACAGACCGGAATCTTGGAAACCGGTCCTGCACCTGCTGTGTTCATCACAAGGACAAGCAGGTGTTGCATTAAGCTTCGCATTTGAGGTAGACCTGCATAAGCCTGAACTCGCAGGTGCAGTTCTCCATGAACGTGCACCATCGTCTCGAGCCAATGCCGCCAGCCAACAGTGATCGCGCATAGTGCAAGTCGATGCCGCTGCCGTTCCAATGTTCCAATACCGGATATCACATTTCACAACTGCCTTTTTGACAGAGTCCGGGGGACTGTTACGCCCAGGGTCCCCCGTTTTGTTTTGATGCGTATTTGTTGGGCTTGTAAGCTTTCGGCGGGAGTGGGGTGAAAACTCAGATTTCTATACGACTGTGTTGCGAGGGACCAGTCTACCTCGCGTGCGGTGATCCGGGCAGCCTGCCCTTCGATTAGCTAGCTGCTAGGTCGGATTCGGAGTTCTCACAAGGCGACCATGCATTCTCGCCGTAGTGTAGTTCGCTTTTTCCCTAAAGACAGCGGGAGCAGGTCCAAGCGATGTGGAACAACATGGCTGTTTCGTCTAGACTGAGTTCTCTCATGTCCCCACAAAAAGCAAAAAAAAACATGCTAAGGTCACCTTCGCTTGGACCAGCCACGGCGCAGCCCCGCCGGAAGGTGTGGGGTTGAAGGGTGTTGAGCTGTTGGCTTGGCCTTTCTGAGGATGTCTGTAGACTTGGGATGGATTTGTCCAAGGTAGCAGGTTCATTGCTGTGCTTTGCAGGGTTCAACTGTTGCACCCGCTTGAGGATGACTTCTTGGATACAGCGTTTGCTGACTTCCAACTGTTTACGATGTCCTTAATGATGTTTGTTTGGATTGAGTTTCAATCCCGGTTTAGCATTGACATCCACCCTCCCCTGCGGCGTTGTTTCCCCTCGCTTGTGACATTTTTCTTGTCTCGCCTTGGGAAGCGTTCTCTGTCAACGAGGGTACCCCCTTCATGTTTGCTCTTGGTGGGGGGGGCGAACGAGACAGGTCCTACATCAAGGTTGCAAAATTCAATTCGCAAGCATGGTGTTTGACTCAGTTTTGTTAGTGAGGAGCCCGCCAGCCGCATGTCAGGAAAGTGAGAGTCAAGCGCTTCTAGTCTGACTTTGCGGGTTTTCGGGTCTTCAAGTCAGGCGGATATCGTGCAATCTGGCAGCGTTCACCGTGTGCACTGGAGCTTTGAGAGCGGATCCCTGCTCTCAAGCAGCCTTGCACCGGGGGAGGCAGGCTCATCATGTCATTTTCTCCTGATGTGGTTTCTTGTTGGTGTTGATTGGTTTCGCATGTCTTGACGTGCTGACATCTGATGCATTGTTGCACGCAGGCAGTGCGAAGCACTGTCCAGGCAGCTGGCATCAAAGATTTGCAGCATCTCGACTTCAGTCATGAGATTTTCAGGCTACGGGAGCATAAGAAGCCGGAGCGTGTCATGTGGTAGGGCCAGAGAGGGTTGCAGGTTGTGTGCGGCCCTATGACTTGCAAGGCTGATCTTCTATCCACTGGGCTCTGAAGGCCGAGGGCACAGCCTTGACAACAACAGGGCACCTTTCTGGATCACATCGCTTGTCTGCAAGTTGTGCTACCGTACTACCACATGATCCAGACAGAGGCTGAAGTTTGCATCCTGAGCAAATGCCTGCCTCAAGCATGTCTCAGCAAGTTGTTCATTGGCACTGCTTGGGAAAGCCAAGTCACGAAGCCGCTGATGTGATGGAAAGGTGCGGAATGCGGCTATTGCTCGCTCTTCCTCAGCCTGCCAAGCATCTGTCCAATGCGCTGCTGGCTTTGTGCAGGGACAACTCGACGAGAGGTGACTTGAACCTTTGGAAAGTATGCCCTGTGTTGTTTGCTCCGACACTTTGTTGGGACGGGACTGTAGGGTGTCGTGATTCTGTTGGAAAGTAAAGGTTTGTATGGCTTCACTTCATGTATCACCGTAGCCCTTTTTGCTTGCGTAAGTTCAAGTAGCCGACTTGTTGCACCTGTTGTGTTTGTTTCTAAAGTGTTTTTTTTGGAAAGGTGTTTGCACCATCGAGCCATCTCCACCCAGGTTTTGCCAGACCCCGTGGAGCCAGAGCTACTGGGCTCGAATGCGATTGTTTTTGTCATGCACAGAGCTGGAGCGCTTTGAGGTCACCTTTCTTAGTCTGTGGCAGGATGCTTGGGTGCGTGAACTTGGCGAAGCTCGAGCACCTTGGCACGTGCAGCCAGGTGCTGTTCTGCAGATGACAGCGGATGACTGCGGGTGATGATGGGTGACTGCGGATGATGCAGACTGCGACTCTAGGGGTCGATCACGGTTCGGTGCCCACAATCCACAGGAAATTGATGGATCCGGTCGACGAGACTGTGGAGTTTCCCGGCATTGTCAATACTGAAGCCCATCATGAAAGCATAAGAATCCCCTTGCCGACCTCTCTGTGTGAGGCATACGCTTTTCGCATCCGACATGCAAAGCTGTGCCTTGGGACTCCTGGGAGAGGAAGGGTCATGTTCCTCAGGCTCATCCTGGAGATCCAGAAGGGGACCCCTTCTGCCCCAAACTCCATGAGCCACTCTGCCAGCACATGGATGGACACCACACGCATGTCAAAAGCCATGGTGTCGTGCACAGGTCAGGCAAAAAAGAAACCTTGATGACTGTCATGGCAACAACTGGCAAACGGTCGCCAAAGTCCTTTGAGTGTCAGCTTGACCTCGGTTGCTGCTCCAATTTCTAGGTTTAGACCTAGAAGTCCAACAGCAACCAAGAGCTCAAAAAAACACATAAACGCGGGCTGACGTCTGGGTTTCAAAGTCTGCCGGATTCTGCCAGCAGAGCTGGGAAATATCACTTGGTTTACATGCCTTCAGTGGGAGACCAGGACGGTAAAGAGCAATGCCCTGCCTCGAAAACAACTGCCCTGAAGCGAGGGGTGACGTCAAGTAAATTTCTCTTCCGCGTAGGCGGGCAGCAAAGCCATGGCGCATCCGGCACAGCTTCCCAGGAGCTTCGTGAGCAGCCCGTTCCAGGGAGGTCTCTGGTCAGGTGTGTTTTCTAGGGTTTACTACCTTTAGCAGCAGATGTGGGGCAGCTCAGTCAAATGAGGGAAACGGGGCAAGCGGCAGAAGTCCGTTAGCGGTGCCTCTTTCAGGAAGATGGGTTTTGAAGCAGTCGTGGTGACAAGCGGTTGCTGATAGTGTCTTGCACTCGGGGGGTTGCCAGAAGGTTCCAAACAGCCCAATCCTGCGAAAAAGGGCCTTAACGGCACACAAGCCGGCAGAAGTTATTCTGCACCTTGAGTTCTGAGATGATGCAATCGTTCCGATACCTTAGAGACAAAGCCGAAACATGGTACCTTGGCTTGCGGGCAGAGGTCAGCAGCTGTCAAGACATGATCATTCAGGGATGCAAGGGACCTCCCAGGCTGCACTGCATCAAGCTCGAAGCGTATCGAAGCGTGGCTTCTAGATCGTCGCTCCTAGAGCCTTGAACGCAGGAGAGGCGTGCAGAGCTTCCTGCGCTGTCACGAACGAAGCAGCTGGGTCGGATTTCAGTGTCATCTGCCCGCGTCTGCTTTGCTGATTATGAAGCATCAGAGGTGCCCGAATATGCGGACAACAGCTAGAGTGAAATCAGTGTTCTGAATGTCACAGCGCCCAGTGGCCCCAGCACTGGTCCCAGCGGTGCCTGGCTATTCCATTGTCTTCAAGAGCACATCACAAGTAGCGGGCGGGGATTGGATGTTCTGGCATTCTAGGAGCACAGAATGTATTAGGCCGAGTGTCCACCCCCTTCGAGTGCCCAGGCTCTACCACCGCGGCTTATGCAGCCTGCGCGGCACAACTGAAGTGCCATTCCAGCCATTGCTTGGACGACGCAGCCCACCTTCCTCACCCAAAGAATGCCATCTACCAAGAGATTCGGGGTGCAATCGGCAACCCGGCTAAAGCTTGTACTATGCAGTGCTCTGGGCTGCTTGGTGCAACCCTCATGCCGTTTAAGACGATACAAGTCGAAACCTGCATGCCCGCCAAAACGAGCCATAATCGGCAGAGACACTCAGCAGAAGTTCTTTGTACCATTGGCATTCGGGCAGAAAGATTTTTGCGATGCGTAGAAAGATCCACCAAGCTGGCGGTCCCCTTCAAAGAAGGGCCAAGGCAGGAGAACACTATCCTGCCACATTCGTAGCATAATTATAGAGCCGTTGAAGACGGCTCATGGCGAGAATCCAGCTGGTGGAGTTCCTTTTGCAGTTCCAATGCATCCTGGCCGAAGCTTATTTTGAACTAGCAATTTGCTGCCGCATTGCCGCTACATCTGCCATCACTGCTACAAGTATGGCTGTCAGACATTTTCCATCATGTCCGCTACTATTTCAGGCATGTGTGCCTGAATCTCGGAGGTTCTGCTTTCTGCAGACTTGGCTGGAGCCATTCCATGCCCTAAAAAGCCCAGGCGCATCATGCAGTGATAATTGTAAACGCTTACGCGCGCCGCCTCGGCAGCCGGACCGGCGCCAAGACAGGAAAGGAGGAAAGAGGGGGGTTGGGGGGGTTGAGGGGCCGGGATTGGGGGGGCTGGGGGGGGGTGGGGTTGTGCGTTTGTAGGTGACAGGCGGGACCCTCCACGTCATCGGTTTGCGGCTCCTCCAAGCGATGGGGAAGGGTCCCACAGGGCGGGTGGGGGGGGGGGGGTCCGCTACAAAATTTTGTGTGGGGGTTAGGGGGCTGCTTGCTCCAGACGCTTCTCGGCAGGAGAATTCAGCGAGTGACGACAAGTCATTGTCATGAACGCTGACTTGTAGGAGTCGCAATTTGCAAAATAGAAAAATAGAATATGCCCAAGCACTCCCCACACACATGTACAGCATGCAACTGACATATAAATATATGCTACCCCCCCCCCTCAGAACCCACCGTAAGCACAGGGTAAGGGGGCAGGGTATTTCCCCGAAGGCTGCGATATAATAAGTTCCATATCTGACGGGCCACCCCTTTCAACCAATGGGTAAGGGCAGTGTGAGGAAGTGGATTTTGGACCCTCCCCTCCGGGTCGCACGCAGCAGAAATTCACCAAGTTTGCATCCTGAATTATTTGAACACCAAGTTAAGCCATTTGTACGCAAAGTTGTTCCAGTAGTTGACAAACAAGCCCTTGGCTGAAACCTTCAAGAGTTCCACTAAAGATCAAAGAGTTTCCCTATGTCTATTCGTTTAAGATTTAGTTACGGACCCTAAAGGTTTAACTAGAGAGATTTCACTTAACCTATTCGTTGACGGTTTAGGCCGACAGCCTGTTCCAAAACTTTAGAATTTTCCCTCCCTATTAAATATCCGCTAAAGCCCATTCCCACATATTCAACGAAAATTGCTTAGGAGTAGCATAGCCTATTTCTTCGAGGTTCAGGCTGGCACCTAGTCCAAAATCTTTTGTTTTCCCTCGTCACTAAAGGCATTTCACAAATGCCCACACCCTATTCCCTAAAGACATTTTACTAAAGCCCAAACCCTATTCCTATACTTTCAACGAAAATTGTTCCTGAAAACCGAAATTTTATTGAAGATTTAGGTTGAAACCTCGTCCATGACCTTACGTTTCCCTCGCCACTGAAGGCATTTCGCTAAAGCACGGACCCTTGTCCCTCAGCTATAAAGCCCAGACCCTTATTCCCATGCTTTCAACGAATATTGGTGGTCAGGCAGCCTATCTCTTGAAGGTGTAGGCTGAAGCCTAGTCCAAAACCTTATGTTTCCCCGCGTCACTAGAGGCATTTCACTAAAGCCCAGACCCTAATCCCTAAACACATTTTACTAAAGCCCAGACCCTATTCCCATACTCTCAACGGAAATTGTTTAGGAATACTCAGTCTTCCTATTCCTATAAAACGTTGCCCTCGCCACTGAAGGCAATTCGCTAAAGCCCAGACCCTTTCCCTAAAGAACTTTTTCTAAAGCCCAGACCCTATTCCCACACTTTCAACGTATATTGTTTTATTTTTCAATGATTGTTGTTCAGGAATAATCAGGCTTCGGTGCCTGCGGGGTGTCTCCTTAATGTTTCAGCCCTATCTAAACCTTTGTTCCTAAAGCCTAAATTGTTTAGGGTTTAGGGGCAGGGGTAGGGTTTCGGGTTTAAATTTTGAGGTCCAGGGTTATTCTTGGTTCTTGGTTCGCGGACCCGGTTTTTCTTAAAACGGGTAATTTCCAAATATACGTATCAGAGTTTTCTGTGCTCATATTTATGTAGGACTTATATAGCTATAGTACGAAAATATGAACTTCTTACTTTGCTATATAGCGAACAATAAACCAAGACAGCTGCCCTGAGTCAGACTAAATGAAATGACTCAAGCTTGCCCCCCCACCCCAAAAAACTCATGGCGATGAGTTTCTTCCTTACGGTGCTGTTGGGGAGCAGTCCAACTCGGGGATTCTTGGTGCCCATGGTCAAGGCACCATGTTAATTCAGCACGCCTGGAATCAAGAACCAAGAACCAAGATTTCCAGAAAAGTCTTGGGACGAATCTAGGTTCCTTGGATATGGGGGCGTGTTAATTAAAACGGGCCCCGTTTTTATTAAAACGCCTGGAACCAAAAACCAAGAACGAAGATTCTCAGAAAAGTATTGGGACGAATCTTGGTTCCTTGGGGATGGGAGCGTGTTAGTCAAAACGGGCCCCGTTTTAATTAGAACGCCTGGAACCAAGAACCAAGAACCAAGATTCTCAGAAAAGTCTTGGGACGAATCTTGGTTCCTTGGGGATGGGGGCGTGTTAATTAAAACGAGCCCCGTTTTAATTAAAACGCCTGGAGCCAAGAAGCAAGAACCAAGATTCCCAGAAAAGTCTTGGGACGAATCTTGGTTCCTTGGGGATGGGGGCGTGTGAATTAAAACGAGCCCCGTTTTAATTAAAACGCCTGGAACCAAGAACCAAGAACCAAGATTCCCAGAAAAGTCTTGGGACGAATCTTGGTTCCTTGGGGAATGGGGCGTGTTAATTAAAACGAGCCCCGTTTTAATTAAAACGTCTGGAACCAAGAACCAAGATTCCCAGAAAAGTCTTGGGTCGAATCTTGGTTCCTGAGGTAGAGGGCCGTGTGAATTGCCTGGCTCCTCAACCTGACGGACCCAGGTCCTGGGAACCAAGATTCGTCCCAAGACTTTTCTGGGAATCTTGGTTCTTGCTTCTTGGTTCCAGGCGTTTTAATTAAAACGGGCCCGTTTTAATTAACACGCCCCCACTCCCTGGGAACCAAGATTCATCCCAAGACTTTTCTGGGAATCTTGGTTCTTGGTTCCAGGCGTTTTAGTTAAAACGGGGGCCGTTTTAATTAACACGCCTCCATCCCCAAGGAACCAAGATTCGTCCCAATACTTTTCTGGGAATCTTGGTTCTTGGTTCCGGCCGTGTTAGTTAACACTGAGACAGTGTTAATTAACACTGGGCTAGTGTTAATTAACACTGTCTCAGGCTCAAACAACCAAATTCTGAAGCTTTATGTTTTTGAGGGTGGGTTCTGGGGGGGGGGGGGGGGGGGGTACCAAATATATATATATATACGAGCATGAGGTCAGCAAGCACGTCACATGGAATCATCATTCAACATCGAGAATGAAAGATTTGGAGGGATCTCATGTTGTTCGCCAACATGTATTCAAGTAGCCGGTGGTGTGATTGATCGTGTCCGTGCAGGCCATAATGGTCCCAAGAATTGTCTCCTTAATTTTGGGTTGCGTATGGTTTTGTGGGGTTTCTCGTCTGGGGTGTTTGCTAAACTTGCCATTCGGGATGGTTCTTTGTGTATTTATGGGCATTGTCGGATATTAATCAATGATATCTTACCACTACTACCACCTCCTACTACGACGATCACGATCTCTACTGCCGTACTGCCCCAATCGGGAATCCCCAACCACTCCAAAGATCGACCGGCAAGATCGGTTTGTTGATCGTTGGGATGCACCGTGTCCTCACCGTGTCCAGCTTGCTCAAGTTGTAAAGTGAACTGCTCTGTGCGTGATCCCAGCAAGAGCCAGAAAGCATGGTCTGTATTTACACAATTTTGCATCGATTACATTCGCACGCGCTTTGCATTTGGCTCGCTTTGTTTCTATGTGACACATTATAATTACATACCGGAGTTCAAGCTTGCATGCAGCCTCCCGAAGGCTGGCAATGTAGCAAAGCTTGAGCAAACTGCAGCAGTGTCGGTAAGCATTTCATTTTTCACACCCTGGGCTTCAAGACGTGCCTGTGAACTGAGAGCATCACGATGGTGGGGCTCCACCGTGTGGTTCCTGCCCACGTCTCAGTTTTTGCCCTGGCATTACCATCTAGCATGGCGAAGTCTGATTCCACTCCTGCTGGATGCGGTTATTGGTGATGCGGCTTTTTTTGAAGATGTATATAGCGGTCTGTCCGTTTGGGGATACTAGCAATAAAACTCTGCATGATATACCGCTTCCACTAACTTTCGGTACTAGCAGCTGTGTGAGCGCGAGTCCAACAAACAGCTGCCCAATTCTGTGCCACAAGCTTGCTAGATCCTTTTCTAAACAACGCAGTGCCTTGCCAGTACCGTGCTACAGTCCGACATAGGGCTATGGAAAGCATTGGAAAGCACATAGCGCAATAGCCGTAATGTGCAAGGGGAAGGCACCGGCATCAATTGAAGCCTAGGAGCTGCAAAGTCCACAACGGCTGATGCAAAGGAGCACAGCGGGCCTCGTTGCGGCTATGGCCCGGCCAAGCGGTCCGGTTCAGGGCGCCTGAAGAGCCTCAACATGAGCCTGGACCGCCGCAGTCAAGAAGATGAAGAAGCAGAAGCAGAGCATTCTATCCCCGTCGCGGCGGTCCCAGAACGGTTGCCGTAACACAGGTATTTCGGGAGGGGTCTTTGTGATGTTATCATGATCTCTTGATCTGACAGATATCAAGAGTAACTGGTACGCCTGTTATTGTGAGACTATGTTGTCGGTGATCGGAAGGCATTCTTGAGGTCATGCAGCTGGTCAGCAAAGAGTGTTACGTGGTTAAGAGATTGTAGCAAGACACCCGCAGGAACCGGAAGATGAATCTGAAGAGCAGGCGTGGAGAGTTTTTGCAATGACGCTGCAGGCGGCAATGTCGACAGGGAGGCAGTATTGCATGCGGACCACACGGGGCTGCATTTTTCTACACTTTTTAACCCTAAACCGCCTAAACCCCATGCACCGCGTACCGCAGGATGCGTGCTTGCTTCCTCACGATGGCAGCCGTGGTCGTAGTTGTGCTGCTGGCCACCTTGGGCCTAGCCTTCCTGGGTGGGCATTTCCAAACATAGGATTCCCTAATTTTGGGAAGCCCCCCAGGTCTGCTCTGCCTGATGGCATTGCCGCTGATCCTTTGTGTACGCAGACGCAAGGATGCAGATTCCAAGTTTCTGATCCTTGCAGTCATGCTGGGAATGGTGATCTTTCTCGTGGGCCTCGTATTTCTGTCCACGATATGCGAGATCCTCGGCCCTTTGCTTCTAGCGGCTGTCCTGACCTGGCCTGGGACCTGCAAACCTTGGACTTGAAGCGGCCCAGCACGATGTGCTTCACGCTTTGCTTCGCCTTGACGTTGCAGCTAAGCTAGAGCAGCTAGACTCCAGACCTGTTCACATCTGCTAAAATTCACCAGGTTAACCTGGGGAGCTTTGTAGCAGCTTTTGCCATGGATCTCGGCACTCAGCCAGAGCCGACATGAAGAACCCCTCGAGGATATCACCCCAGCATTCACTAATTTGCTTCGCTGTGGCTGCACTCAGGCTGAGGCTTGCTGCAAGCGGATCGTCAATGTGAGAACAGAGGTTAACAGAGGGCTAGCATGGGCTAAAGAGGGCTCTCGCATCCATCAAGGGATCGTCAAGCTGCATATCAATCTGCCAAGCAAAGGCGCTGACCAGAAGCCCAAAGGTCCAAAGGTCGAGGGAGGCCCGGCCCGGGAGCCTCTGCAAAATGCCCACTTGCCCCCCAAAAGTCGACAAGAAACAGGTCTGTTGCAAGGCTCGATACCTTAAGATTGAAAGTTGAGGCAACCGTCAACCACAAGGTTCATGCAAAAAATTGTGCAGAAGACTTGCCGACAACTCCTAGACTCCTAGGCAAGTTGGCGAGAGGCTGATTGACACACAGCTGTGCCAGGAAGTCCTTCCTGGCTTCAGTGTACAGCCTCCAGTGGAAGACTACACACCCCAACACGAGTATCAAGAATCAAGACGCGTCGAGAAACAAAGATGAAACGTACTTGAAAAGCACCCATTGATATGCACCTAAATGCAGAGTTGGATCTCATATAATCTGCTTGTGCTCTCTTTTGGCCAAGGCTGCATGCTGGAAGAGCTCGGGGATTCGAAGGCTTTCATCGACATCACTTTACATCCTGCGCTCTTATTGTCGAAGCTCTCCAAGTGGGAAGCCCAGGACCTTGTCCCAGCCTCCCTGTTGGATTCCTTGTGGTGCACCTTCGTCGACCAGGGCTTGGAGCTCCTGAGCACCACACTGAAGACTCCCTTGCCTGAAAGAGTCGAGGGGGAACTGAAAAAGTGCCGACACTCGAAGCACTTTATCCTGGTTTTGAAGGATGCTGCCGATGCCAGTGGTAGTCTTTCGAACATTGATGGCCAGATCATGCAGTTGCTTTGCAGACTGCTGAGAGCCTTGATCATTGGTCTTGCCGAGGATGTTCTCCAAGACCTTTGGGATCGATTGATGGTTTCTGTGTTTTTGGTCGGCTCCAACTTGTGAGCATCGCCGGAACTTCTCGCCAAATGCCGCAAGCTGGACATGGTCTCTGCCAAGAGATGCCTTGAGCTTGGCCTGCTGCATGCGGACGAGTGTCTGGCCCTTGCAGAAGTGTCAGGCCTCCAGTCAATCCAGTCAATCACTACTTGCCTCAATCAGCTGGCTCTGCAGGTTTTCAAGAGCTCGTGGTTCATCCACAAGCGTCCGCTGCTTTGGAGTATCTCCTCGAGGTCCTGGACGAGGTGGAAAGCTTTTCAGACCCTCAAAAGTGGCTGCATCCTGCTACCGCCGGTGGAGATATGGGCATCCGCCTCATCGTTGTGGGCCAGAAGCAGATCTTGGAGCAAACAATCGGGAGAAGCCTTAGCGAAGAGCAGGTCACGCTCTTGTGCAAGAGTTGCGGGGCCTTCTTTGCTCAAGGCGTCGCCTTTGGCGAGCTGGACCAACTGATGGTTTGGAGCCTATTTGGGATTTCGCACAAAAGAAATGCCTGGCAAACTTCCCTTGGGCAAGGGACTTGCTTCAGGCGCCTCTGGAAAATCTTGGGCTGCAGGAGCTGCTAATGGGTGTACAGGAGGTCAGGAACCTTCGCCCACCCGGCCAGGCACTCGCGGATCTTGGCCTTGTCCTCGTCAAGGGTGCGTTGCTTCAAGCATTCCCGAAGCTCAAGCCGAAGCTCAAGCCGGTACTGCACTGTGTGACATTACAGAGCATCCAGGGGCTGAGGATTCAACCCATGACCTTCGCATCGCTTCAGGAGCGCCTGGAGGAGCTTGCAGACGTCAGTGACTTCGGCGAGGTGATCGTGGACCTGGCAATGCGGAGCGTGCCGGTCGGTGCCTGAGTTGCCCGCAGGGACAACATTGACACTGGTTGGAACTGACTTGGCTGTGGCAGTGAGCAGGAGACCAGTGCTGGAGGATGCTGGCGTCAACACAATGATCGACCATGTCCTGCAGAAAGACTCTAATTAGTCTGCTTCAGAATGCATCATCATTCTCCTGATACTTCGGTTGCATGGTTGTGGCAGTCGGTTGCAAGCACGTTCACATGATGCCAATTTGGACTGACTGCTCCTGCCCCCTCCAGTACAGCTGCACTCAATGTTGCATCCTACTTGGACTAAATAGGGGTCACACCTCAAACAGATCCTGAATGTGAGAATGTTGGGCCCTCCAAGGCGCTCCAAAACGAAACATGAGGCTCTTCCTAGCACATCCCCAATACCATTCGCACAGTAACATTAATTAGAGGTGGAACATCAAGATCAACCGACAGTTAAGACGAGAGGACGAAGACTTTTTTGAGGGGACCTCTGCTTCATTTCCCAACTCTAGCCAACTCCGCGGCAGAGGTAGCAGCAACAGTAGCGGCAGGTGGGGGGGGTGGGGGGTTATGTAACCCAAGGTTCCCTAATTCTCCCCACTACTCCATAAGGCACCCTAAGCTTCCCTAGGTATCTACCCCCCCATGAAACCCCCCCCCCTAGGGACCCTGAGTTGTGAATGCTGGTTGCTGGTATCTGCTTTTCCCGATCTCTGATCACATGTCTGCAGTCACTGCAGTCATAGCACCCATCAATGTAAGGACTGCTTAGTCGCGGCAGTTTTCGCGGTACACAGTGCCAGGGCAGCAGCAACAGCACGGCCCACGGCATACAGCACTGACTAACAACTCTCACGCGCAGAGCTTTATCGAGCATGAGTTTCAGTCGAGCTATCGAGACTCCTCATACCGGCCCAGCGAGGTCTCGGAGGTGCAAGATGATGACATCAAGTGGCGCTGGCCTGAATAGGACAGTGTGGTCTCAAGGTTTTCTATCCTTTGGGCCCCGTCAATTCGAGGCGACTGAAATTTGCTGTGGCAACATTGCGGTCAGACAGGCTCTTTTGGGTTCGGAAGCTCGAGGTTCGGAGCTGGATTTAGAAGTGGTGCAGGGTCCAGAGTGTTCAGGGCTTGGGGTGTGCGAGGGTCAAGGCTGGGCAAGAAAGCTGAGTCGCATTTTCTGTTGCTCAGGCTACCGCAACCTCCGCTGCGGCTGTGAGTTTTTTGCGAGCTTTATCGGACGCTCATACAGAGTTGATTTCAGGGTTTATGCAGGTGTCACGCACAAAATGCTGAGTCGAGGAAAAGTTGTCTCTGAATGCAGCGTCGCGGGCTGGCATTGAAGCCACATTGAAGTGATCATGCCTCCCAAGCACAGTTGTTGGCTCAGCACATCCACAATCCCAAGACAGCCCTTCGCGAATCAACTAGGACTTGCAGCGCGTTGCATCATTCCTGATCTGCACAGCTTGCGTCGCTTAGGCAACGAACCACCGAGCCTTGCCACGCCGTGGCCGTGTGTGCATCCTGGTGGCTGGCCAGGCCCTGCGCGGACGCAAACTGTGCCATGGACCGGGCGGGGACCGTGAAAATTCAGTCTACCAGTTGGGGGTTGGTCACGGCAACCGTGTGGGGGGACAACAGCGGTGAGATGGGCGCCTTGGTGGCAGTTGACCTCGGAACCAGCCGCACGGCAGTTGCGATTGCCTGCGGTGGGTCCTACATGTGCGCCCTGCTGGACGGCGGTTCGGTAAAGTGCTGGGGCTACAACTACTATGGCCAGTTGGGGGTCGGCCACACCAATGCAGTGGGGGACAGCAGCGGTGAAATGGGCGACGCAAATACCATGCTTGTGCTGTGCTTGACGACAATGCTCTCAAGTGTTGGGGCCAAGGCAGTGTAGGCCATCCTGGACAACGGCGTCGTGAAATGTGTGGGAAGGGGACACTACGAGCGCATCGGCAACGGGCTGTCACCGCACAAGATGGGGCACGCGCCGGAGTACATCGGCGACCATCTGCCAGAGGTGAACTTGGGAAGTGCGGCCACTGACGTCTTCGTGTCGTTCTGGCATTCATGCGCTATCCTGACGGATGGCTCGTCAAAGTGTTTGGGTCGTCCAGACGACGGGATGCTAGGCAACAGTGGCCAAGCGCGGTTGGGTTTTGATTCCATAGATGTGGGGGCAGGACGCACTGTGACCCAGATGGCGCTGGCCGAGTATGCCACGGCTGCCACGTGCGTCCTACTGGATGACGGCACTGTCAAGTGCTTTGGGCGAGGAAGTGACGCGAAGGGAGTGCTGGGGTACGGAGGGGGGGGGGGGGGGGGGGGTTGGCAAAATGCAGGGAATGCTCTGAGCAGATTTGGGCTAATGGGTTATGTCTTCACAGACAGCGAGACATGAGGACAGGCAGGTTGCAAAACAAACAAGACAACTTGTCCTCTCAAGGGGATTTGGGCAGATTTGGGCTTGTTTCACAGACAGCGAGAAAGGAGCTTAGCAGAAACACAACCCTTCCCCTCGCTGCGCGGGGCGGACATTGAGAGCATGCTTTGGACGGAGTTGGGCTTAGTTTAGGAAAACAACCTGTCAAAACCAGCGAGAAAGGAGGACAGGCTGGTTGAAATAGCAACGCAGCCTGTCTCCTCAGATACACTTAAAATCCAGTCAGTCTAGTCCTACATTCAAGAAAGAGGAAAGATCCTTAACTCTTCTAAGCCCCAAACCTCCGAAGACCCTCAGCTTGTCAACGCCAAAATCACATCCCTAAGCCATAAACCCTAAGTAAACCCTAAACAAAGCCTTGGCAGGCAGAAGACCAGGGAGTCATAGCTTTGTGGCCAGAGCCCCGTTGCCCCGATAACTTCAGCGACCTGGGCACAAGAAAGGGGCGCAAGGCATGGTTTTGGCGTTTTAGGGTTTAGGGTTAGGGTTTGAGCCGCCTCCCCTCCCCCCCCTCCCCTCTCCCCCTCAACAAAAAATGGAGAAAATAAGGCCATCCTGACTCAAGGGCGGCCAGGAGGCTAAGCATCATGGTTCAGCAAAATGCCAGCGACCCTGGCACACAATCAGTATAGATGCGTGGGCCGCGCCACGTCAGCATCTGTGTCAGACTCACACTTGGCTGCCGGCTCAAGGCAGATAACTTCTGCCCTTCTTTCTGGAAATGACAACTGGTTGTCTAGGACGCATACGAAACGTTTCTTCCTTTCCAGTTGGCGTTTGTTTTAACGAATTCTTTCTATCTTGTGGGCAAAGAAAACGCACGAACTCGTGGGCTTAGCTTAGTAATGAGCCTGCACTGAATCTGGACGGCATGGTCCCTCCTCGGATCGCTGTTGTGGTGATCCTCGTTATTGGTGCAAAGTCTTTTTCAACATATTCTTGCCCTTCTGGCTGGATTGAGTCAACAGGCGGTGCCAATGTGGGAAATGCTGTGGGGGAGTCTTACCCATACAATTGGGGCGAATGCACTGGGACATTTGAGTCTAACTGGTGCGTTCTTGGCGAGGAGACGGGGAGAAATTTCTGCCTCACTGAGACAGCTTGCACTGGCTATTCAACTTTGTTATGTTCTTCCACCCCTTGTCCATGGAGCCACGCAGCATATGACCGTGTTCAAATTGGCACGGATTCAGTGGCCAACAACTGGGGAAGTCCGTGGATGACGTGCTTCAAGTCATGCAGCATCGTCTCTCCATGTAGCAGCGGCTACTTGCTCAAGACGAGCGCAAGCACTATCCGTGCAAGCACCAACAGTGAATGCTGCGACGCGTCATGCAGCATCTTTGCCTGTAGCAGCGGCTACTTGCTCAAGACGAGCGCAAGCACCATTCGTGGAAGCACCAACAGTGAATGCTGCGACGCATCATGCAGCATCTTTGCCTGTAGCAGCGGCTACTTGCTCAAGACGAGCGCAAGCGCTATCCGTGCAAGCACCAACAGTGAATGCTGCGACGCATCATGCAGCATCTTTGCCTGTAGCAGCGGCTACTTGCTCAAGACGAGCGCAAGCACTATCCGTGCAAGCACCAATAGTGAATGCTGCGACGCATCATGCAGCATCTTTGCCTGTAGCAGCGGCTACTTGCTCAAGACGAGCGCAAGCGCTATCCGTGCAAGCACCAACAGTGAATGCTGCGACGCATCATGCAGCATCTTTGCCTGTAGCAGCGGCTACTTGCTCAAAACGAGCGCAAGCGCTATCCGTGCAAGCACCAACAGTGAATGTTGCGACGCATCATGCAGCATCTTTGCCTGTAGCAGCGGCTACTTGCTCAAGACGAGCGCAAGCGCTATCCGTGCAAGCACCAACAGTGAATGCTGCGACGCGTCATGCAGCATCTTTGCCTGTAGCAGCGGCTACTTGCTCAAGACGAGCGCAAGCGCTATCCGTGCAAGCACCAACAGTGAATGCTGCGACGCGTCATGCAGCATCTTTGCCTGTAGCAGCGGCTACTTGCTCAAGACGAGCGCAAGCGCTATCCGTGCAAGCACCAACAGTGAATGCTGCGACGCGTCATGCAGCATCTTTGCCTGTAGCAGCGGCTACTTGCTCAAGACGAGTGCAAGCACTATCCGTGCAAGCACCAACAGTGAATGCTGTGATGCCACCACAACCACGACAACGGCGACATCGTCCACCTCAACACTCACTTCAACAACAACATCCACGACAACCTCCACCTCTTCGACAGCAACGACGACATCGTCGACCTCGACGACATCGTCCACCTCAACATCCACTTCAACAACAACGACCACGACAACCTCCACCTCGTCGACGGCAACGACGACATCGTCGACGTCAACGTCCACTTCAACAACAACGTCTACGACAACCTCCACCACTTCGACAACGACGACATCGTCCACCTCAACATCCACTTCAACAACAACGACCACGACAACCTCCACCTCGTCGACGGCAACGACGACATCGTCGACGTCAACGTCCACTTCAACAACAACGTCTACGACAACCTCCACCACTTCGACAACGACGACATCATCCACCTCAACATCCACTTCAACAATAACGTCCACGACAAGCTCCACCACTTCGACAACGACAACATCGTCGACATTAACATCCACTTCAACAACAACGTCCACGACAACCTCCACCACTTCGACAACGACAACATCGTCGACCTCAACATCCACTTCAACAACAACATCCAAGACCTCCACCTCCTCGACAGCAACGACGACATCGACGACCTCAACGTCCACTTCAACAAAAACAACGTCCACGACAACCTCCACCACTTCGACAACGACGACATCGTCGACCTCAACATCCACTTCCACAGTAACACTAACATCGACGAGCTCCACAGCAAGCTCCATTTCGAGCATTGTTGTGGTGTTATCCCACTCCCCTTTCTACCCCCCACTTCCCTCCTCTTCCCCCCTCTTCCCCCCTCCTCCCCCTTCTTCCCCCCTCTTCCCTCCTCTTCCCCCACCCCATCCCCCACCGTTCTGAGACGGCGGCCCCTTCTGCGCTTTCAATATTCGCCAATGGTCAGCCGAAACTCAGGTTCGACCACTGGCGGCACACTAGATGAAAGGAGGGAGCAGCAGAAGCAGGACGGCAAGGGGGGGAGGTGGTTCAGCCCTTGCCAGACACAATGCAAGACGGGTTCTTAAGTAGCGAAAGTTTGGGTGGGGTCAGGCGGCGGCGGGCTAAGGCAACCTTTCGCGAAAAACGCGAAAAGCGCGAACAATGCAACAATCATGAACAAAAACGCGGAACATGCGACTAGCGTGACCCGAGAAAAGCGTGAAACACGCGAAAGCTCATGCAGTTTGCTTTTGTTGTTTGCTTGTTTTCTTGTTTTTTTGTTGTTTGTTTTGTGCACTTTTTCGTGTTTGCCTTTGAACGTGTTTTCTTTTTTTTTTTTGTTTTGCTTGTTTGTTTTACTTTTTGCGTGTCTCGGCGCGCATTTTCGTGTTCTTTTTCGATTTTTTCGTGTTGTTATTGTTATTATTATGATTCTTATTCCTATTAATATTTTGATTATTATTATCATTTTGTGGAACTATCGGCCCCAAGATTCAGCAAAAAAACCTACATCTCTGAGCATAGCATTCCCGAAGGAGTGTGCGAGGACATGCATTTTGCATCAGACGATTAACTTTCCGCAGGCGCCTTGAGTCTGGAGAAATTGTGCGAGCCAAGCCCATTGCTGCGCCGTGATCCGCTATTCATGGTTAGCGGAGCGCTGGTGACGACCAGTGCCTGCTAGGATTTCTACCTGGCGTCGGAGTGATGACTCCGCAGACGCCGCGGACTTGCACGTGAACCTCCGCTACCTGGTGTCCGTGGTGGTGGTCCGTGTGGTCCCGTGGCGTCCGTGGTGGGTCCGTGTGGTGGTCCACGGGACAACCACAGCGGAACCACACCTGGTCCGTGGTGGTCGTCCGTGGTGGTGGTCCCGTGGCGGTGGTCCGTGGTGGTGCTCCGTAAATGGTCCGTGGTGGTGGTCCGCCCACCCGCCACTGACGTTTCGTCGTTTATATTGCGTTATATATTACGTTATAGGTGTTTGCTTTCTGCGTTCGGGTTCGTGGATCCTATCAGGTTTTTTGCCGGCGGCGGGGGGGATGGGGAGTAGTGGGAAGGGATTGGAGCACTCCTGGGTCTTCACTGACGCTGCCCCCACTTCCACAGAGGGGTCGGCGGATAAGCAGCTAGGCCCAAGTGGTGAATGGTGTGAATGTAAGACCAATGAGGCCTGGGGCGCTGTACATCTCTGCCAATGCTTGGGCCTTCAACGATGCCCGCTAGAACCCTTGAACCCTCAAAGCGCTACAGCTTTACACCCCTAAAACCCCAACCTCCCTGAACTGAAACCATCTTAAACCCCTAGAATTCAGCCCCGAACCCCTAAACTTCAAACTCTAAACCAGGAGGCGGCTGCTGCAGCCAAGGCGATCGCAGAGGGGACCAATGAGCTTTGCTTTCATTACCGATGAATGAGATGTTATGGAATGATTTTGGATTTGGGTTGGGTTTAAAGAGGTTAGAGGTTGGAGTTTAGGGTTTCGGGCTTAGGGGTTTTCGTTTTTTTGTTGTGAAGGAGGTGGGCGGGTCCTTGTGTTCCCCTAGCAAAGGAAGCCGACACTGCCGAGGTTTTTTTTGGCGTAGAAATAGTCATCAATTGGGGGAAGCGCCTCGAACCCTTCAACGGAGGTAATTACCCCACACACATTTTATCATCTACTCTCTTGATTTCACAACAAGCCTGAGTCGGCCAATTGAGGAAGAAGTTCAGCGTTTGTTGGACGAGCTGCTCTTGCCAAATGCTACCCAAGCTGCTTGGCTTGCTGGTTTCAGATTTGGGGGTTCTGCAATTCCATCAGCATGTCAGATCTTTTGTGGAGATGGAGCTCTTGCCAAGGATCCCTGCCAGGCCAATGGTCCTTTTGGCTTTAACTGAGATTGCCCGTTGACCCGTTGAGCAGAAATTGAGCTTTATGTTCAGCATGTGTTTGCGCCGGCAGGTTCTGAAAGTAATCTCTGCTCTCTGCTACGAACCACTTCTCGACTTTGCGACCATTGCATGCACTCATCTCTAGCTGCACCCTTAGATCCTAAACCCAATAACCTTTCTGAGGATGGGGGTCCTGAACCCTTAGTTCCAAAACCCCAAACCAAGCTCGACCTCCTTGAAGCCGCTCCATTCTCCAAAGCCCTGGTCCTACGCTTAGCCAAGGCCGAACTGGTGATCTCCACCGAGATTGGCGATTTGACGGTCTCTTGAGCTGTTGGAGTCAGGATTCTTTGGGAGCTATGTCCGCCCGTTTGGTTTTGCATTCGAGATTATTATCAACGCAGTTATATGTACGCACGTTGCATGCCTGCCCAACCCTCCCCCCTCCCCCCCCAACCCCCCCCCCCCCCCGGCCCCTGCCCATTCCACGCCGTTGAAGCATGAAACTGCGGAACTCCAAAATTACATACACGCTATGTCTGCCGCAACTCACCCCATGACTCCGGACCGAAACTCCAGATCAAACAAGGACCAACAGTGCTTGAGTTCTGGAGACATAGGGTGTAAATCAGGAGTTTTCGAGACACCGCTTCAAAGAGCGAATCAATGGTTCAAGGCTAGATATGTTTCGAGTCTTTGTGCATGTGGTAGTATTGACTCATTGTCACACTATACCTGTGGTAGTCTTCGCCTATGTTTTCTTGTCCTATGTTTTCTTGTCAAACTCAGAAAGCTAACTGCTTATCTGTTATCTCATCTGACCTCTAGTATTCTGTAGTTTAAACAGTTTATCTTACTAGAAACTGAAGAGAATCAAACTTCTAAGTGCTGAGTTCTATTCCAAAGCCAGCATGGTTAATGATTGCTAGTAAAACCCTTCTTTTGTGTTGGTAATGTGCAGACTAGGATGAAGGGTCAAGCCTACTAGCGGCTGCTCGTGTTATGCTTGTTCTGTTTGAGCAGTTTTCATCTACGTTCTATCATTAGCCAAGTTGCAGAAGCTGCATCTTCTCATTGAAATGAACAATAGTCAAGTTAGCAATCGCCAACTTGTTTATGCTGGTCAGATGATAAAAGTTTAGGGCTCAAGTCTGCTTTGGCAATGTAGATCGCTCTTCCCTGCAAGCCTGGTACGCAGAGTCAAAGGTATGTATTATACCTCCAACGTGAGGTAGCTGCCTTGTCGCCGGAAGCTGTCAACACATCCGGGGGCATCGCCTCCGTCTGCGCAGCTGGTGCAAACTGCTCCACCAAAGTGAAGGCAATTCGGGTTTACGGTTTAGGCATTGGACGGTTTTCGGACGGGGTTGGAGGGTTCTCAGAGTTTCGTTTCGACTTGGTTGCACCAGCTTCCCCAGGCTTTGTAGAAAGTGTGGGCTTGGATGTACCCAGCGGTTGATTTGAGGCTCTGTAGGAATGGAGACATTTTTTTGCCACTCCAACGTTGACGAAGACGGATCTCGGATTTCCACGCGTTCCTTCCGTCCTCAATTGTCGAATGGTCCTGCGCATTGCACAATGCCATATGATGCCACAAGCTCAGCCTGACAGAGGTTGAAAGAGGTATACACCTGAGGCCGCAGACTGTATGGTCAGCACATTGATTAGGGCATTTTGGAATCACATGCATGTGGGCACTTGTTTCAGGGTCTTGACTCTGAACCGAAGCCCAGCAGCATGTTTAGCGAGAAAACGTAAACACGAGGGGCACGCCGTGACGTTTGAGCTTGTTTAGGCACTCGTGTATTCACCCTCCCGAGGTACCCGGGCTTCGGTGGTTCTGTGGGGTAGGTTTGGCCACCTGCTTCACTTGTTGGCATGGCGACTACCACCTGGACTGCAACTTACGATAAACGTATATGGTAAGCCCCCCAAGACCCCCCTCCAATCATATTGTACTAACCACAAGTTTGAAAACCACAAATTAGAAACAACAACTCAAACAACTAAGTAAACCAAAAAACGAACAGCCGCTAGACAAACTAAACAGTTCAACAGTAAACGTTCGAGACGCGAGAGCTCTGGGTCTCGAGAGTAGCCCACACGGAAGCTTTAGTTGTATTGGTTTTTAGTTTCTTTCCAGTTTTGTTGTTTACCCCTATTTCTCGCTTGAAACTTACAAACTTCTGATGACCAGTCTTGGACATTTCAACTTTGTTTTGTGGCTTTGTTTTTAGAATGTCTCTTTGGTTGTGTCCATACCTCCCGCCTTATATACTCCCGCCTTATTCCTAATTTTCGGACCAAGAACCTAAGACTAGCACAAACTTGGAGGACTCATCTCCCTCCTCCTCCAGCTTAGCCCACAAACCATAACCCAAAACAAAAAAAACACAAAAAGTATCAAAATAAATCTGAAATACAAAAAGTTTAAACACAACCGAGCCTTCTCAGGACTACTCTCCCGCAGGTCTAGGGTGTGTGTGTGTGTGTGTGTGTTCTTTATTCCTCTCGTGCCTTGATGTGGTACTTGGTGTGGTGTTTGAGGGGAGGTTAGCGTATGGCGGGGCGGGGGGGGGGGGGGGTTAGCATATACATACATATATCTATATATTGCATCTGTTTGTTCTGCAAGCACAAAATCCGAGAAGTGTACCAAGTGATGCTTGGAACGATACAGAAGATTGCATGGCCACTTGTTGGCTCAAGAACAACACGCACAAATCGAGGTGAAGGTGTCTGGGATGCAAGGTGTGTTGAGCTTGAGTTGGTGAGTTGCTTGTAGTGCACTCTATCCTATGCATCTACCACGACTGTATGGGTACAATAGTCTCGATGATCTACCCTTGCAGTTTAGGCGCAATGTTGGTAGTCCTACTCCTACTCACTATTCAAGAGTATCCAACATGTCCTCACCAGGCCCCCTCACCCCTCATAACCTACAGCATCTTTCAGTTCTCCTACACCTTGCCCCTGAGCTTCAAGTGGTGCGGGCCAGGACTGTTATGGCCCGTCGGTACATCAAACTCAGCATTAATCCAAAACCATTCGCCTTGGAAGTCCCCAGGTCCTAGCTCAACATCCTAAGCCAGGTCACAGCTGATGTCTTAGCAGCTGCTGCCAAAGTATCGGGGGTCGAAGGCTTTGAGAACAGACATGCGCATTGCCGCTGTGTAAGTGACAGGGTGCTTGCACTGTTGTCGCAATCTGGTTTTAGGGGGGTAGCGATATTTCATGAGGAGGACGGGGGGGGAAGAGGAGCAGGAGGAGGGACAGCGGGAGCATTGTTGGATATCTAGAGTTTGGGCCTTTGGGGTGACAGGCGGCTCTGTGGTGCTGAGCGTGATGAAGATGGCCGAGGATGGTGAAGGGCCCCCAAAACTCTGGAGGTTTTGTGACCCACATCGTGGCAAGCTGGACACCCCCACCGCTGTTTGTCATTGTAGGTCTTTGCCACGGCGAGGTAAACTCACACCTGATTTCCAATCTGAACCTTTCTACACCCTAAAGAAGCTGACCTCCTGGGGAGGAGATTGCAAGCAAGTTTGTACCGATACCGCCCGATCCAGCTGAAGAAGGCCGGACCCTTCTCTGCACAAATGGAATAGCCTGCACCCTCAACCCTTGAAAGGCGGGGCCCGGATTGTTGACCTAACCACACATCGCTTTTGTATCCACGAAAAAACATTGCGCCGCGCCTCTTCTCGTAGGCTTTGGGGCCTTTGGGGTTTAGGGTCTCGGTACAAGTATGTTGATACAAGTTGGGCTGTTACCATGGCGCCCTAAACTCGAAACCCCAGTCCCTCTTCCCCTAAGCTTCAGGTTCCCGGAAAGTGTTGAGGAATCCCTGGTCGCCGCTGCAGTTTCCCAGACAGCGCGTAGGGGCCCTTAGTTTAGCCCTCGCACTCTCAGTGCAGACTGCGGGTGCAGCATTTTCCAAGTATGAAAACCTTTCTGGGTGTCTTCTTTTCGCACAATCGATCTAGCAGATCGGTTGTCTGCTAGCATGTATTGCCTCGAACAAATGACAGTGCTGATAAAACGCTTCAGCAACCGTATCAGTGACAGTAGTATTTGTTCCTTCCGCTTCGTCCATGAATCTCTGTGCAAGGAGCTAGTGCAGTCCTGCATACCGTTTTCAGTCGACATGATCTTCCCACTTCTCCAGTTCTCCATCGTAAGTGGTGGAAACAGTTTGATCTCTCCTCCAACCTGTGTCCGAAGTCCATTCTCGCTCTTTGCCTCTCTGAGCCGAAGCTCTGCGCCGCTACCATGATTCCAGTGATTCCGTGCAGTACTCAGTACCGGCAGTACCGTTTCCCGAGCACGGGCCTGAGCACGGGCCTCAGGGCTGGTAGAGGCCTGTGGGCACCTGCGGGCATGGGCCCGCAGAACCACCTGGCGGGCCTTCTAGAGCAGATCCACCACAGGAGGTAGGGTGGGCTTTGGCAGGGTCCTACAGAGCCACACGGGGTTTCACAGGATTTCCCCTTGGGGCGTGTGGCATCTAGCTGGGGATTAGCCCACTAACATATTTGTGTTTATGAAGATGTGGAGCTGGAGCCCAATAACAAGTTGTTGCGTATATGTGAAGAAGTATAGTCAGAGCCCAAAATCGTATCAAAGTCTTGTGTGTCAGAGGCCGCAGCCAGGGGCTTCCCTCCCAGATCAAATGTTTTTTTTGCGCACCGCCGCTACGCGATAGCACTGGCTCTTAGAACGTGCAGCGTCTCCTTGGTGATTTATGTAGTTCGCATATGTTTTGTCTAGCTTTCTGTCGCCTTGCGTCCCGAAATGCTGCAGGTACTTGCACTGACTCTTCTGACTTCCTGAATGCACGGCGCGTGCCTAGAACGCTGCGATCCCAAAACGTACCACTGCCCTCGGATATTGGGCTCCTTGAGCTCCCCTCAGAGGTGTTTCCCTGGCGTCGCAGCCATTGGTTGTTGAACTGCGTGGAGAAGATGGGAAGATCATCGAGCTTGGAGGCTTATTGGGGGCGGGGGGGGGGGGGCTAGGGTTTTCAGTTTCTTTTGGGGGAGAAGCCCTGACCCCTAAACCCTGAACCCTTAGAGCGGTCGAGCTTCCGTGCCCAGACTTGGGGCTTCAGAGACAGGCTTTCTTGGGGTTCAGGGTTTAGGGCTTGTAGAATGTAATCATCATAGTCTTGTGCTGTAGAGGTCGGATATCTTTCGGCAAGTTCCAGGGTTCAAAGTCTGAACGTAGTACGGCGAAAGCTTTAGCACTGCATTCAATGGTGATCCGATATTTAGGAACAAAGCGCACGCACCTTCGATGCCCAAGCTGCGAACCACATAGACTCGAGTGGACCCATGTGCTCACCGAGCATCTTCATCTCGTGGATGTTTCTGGGTTTATTTTCCATCTTTGGTCTTTGTGAGCTTGGTTCATTGTTTGGGGATCGAGGTGGTGCCGGTCCTTCGTTTTGTTTTGCTGTACTTGCCGCACAGTTAGAGCACTGAGCAGTGTCCCACGGCAGTCAATATAGCTCCTTCTTGAATCTAAATGCTTTGCCGTACCGTTCTGCCAGGCTTGCTGAGCTGAGGCCTCAAAACCCTGTTATCGTTTCTACCAGTAGCCTAAACCCTACAAGCCCTAATGCCTCAGTCATATGAGTCATATGAGTCATCTGACCTGGCAGGTGGTGTGTTCGCGTCTTGCCCCATAGCTGCCAAGCGTGCCCGACAAGTTCCATGTCCCCTCGTAGTCTACACATATCGAGTTTAGGGTTGAGGGTTTAGATTTTGAGGCCCCTTCAAAGAGGCCCTTTAACATTTTAAACGTTGAAATGAAAAGTGTCATCTCTGTGGGTACACTGGGCATTCAACGTTTAAGGATCTTCTCAAACTTTGAGTTCTAGAAACTTCCGGAACCATCAGAAATGCTGGTTTGCAACATCTTTATTTGTGGAAATTTTAACGGCCCAAACCCCCTTGAAGATGTAACATTTGGAAAACTGCGAAAGCCATTGCTTATTTGATACAAACTGTGAGCTTTTGGTCTTTGCGGTTAGGGCCTAGGGCTTGGTGTTTAGGGCGGAGCGATCTGGGTTCTGGAAGCCTGCCGCCTGCAGAACTTTCCACCCCCATCCAGCTGCAGCTACAAGTGCCTGCTGCGGTGCCATGGCAATGAGGATTTAGGGATTTCAGATCTCAACATTTGTCATGGATGTTCCTGGATGTTCAGGACTTCAACAGGGTTTTCGGGGTGTTCGGGATTCAGGGCTTTCCAGGGTAGTATGGGTAGTATTGTTCATGCCAGGTATTTCTGCAGCTTTAGGACGCCCAGTAGTATCCCTGGTTCTGGTTCAAGTTTAGCATCCCTTCTTAATTAAGCAAACCAGAATACAATTGTTCTCACTTTGCTGGGAAATGTAGCAGGTGCAAGGCTCCACTGTGAGTTGCGCCTTCTGGGACGAGGTGGGTGGGTGTTAGTCCTTAAAGACTGTTCTTGCATTGGCGAAGCAAAAAAGCTCGGCGAGCCTTTCCAGTTGGCATTTTGTGTATCTTCGTAGCAGCCTAAAATTATAAGTGTTTTGGGCAGCGAAGATGCTATTAAAACGATGCGAACGAAGTGAATACAAACAGCCCAACAAACAGATCTTTATGTTACGGCTTTTTGTCGGTGCATTCACGTTGTTCATTCACTGAGTCTTTACAGCAGTAGAAATTCTAATCGACGTCGCGAAAGACCCTTTAAACATGTGCAAATTAGGGGTCTTCTTGGCCGTTAGCAAACATATGCGAAAAGCCCGCGAATCAAATGAATTCGTGCTTGCATTACTACTCATTGTGGGCTTTTATTCTGTTTTACTTATGGTGCCTTTCATATTGTTTAAAATAATAGCTGCGCATACATAAGATAATCAATCGACCGTGAAACCTTCTACTAAAGTTAGCGGCAAGAAGCCCCATGGCGCATCTTCATGTAGAGGATTTTGCTCCGTTCATTCGTTCATGCGTGAATTTCACGCATTTCATCTGTAGATTCGCTTGATTCGCTCACTCACTTTATCGAGGATTGAGCACATGCATGGTATTCTCTTGCGACCCTTTGTATAACTCATTCGGCATCATGGGGATCGTAATCGGACTTGGCAAGGGGGATGGCGCAGGGTTGTCGCTACACGGATATCATATTCATCCCGAGATTCACGGACAGAGCCGAGACAGTTGATCTGCAGAGCCCGCAGTGCGGAATGTTTCAGGACGCCTCATCCTGGTCAACAAGAGGCGTCCGCACCCTGTCCACTGATGTGGAGTCCGGCATCGGCATCTGTGAAACTGATCACCTCTCCATCTTCGCCTTTGTGCTGCAGGATTCCCAGCCCAAAGCCCAAAACCCTAAGGATCTGAACCTGGGACAAGTTGGAAGCCTGAAAGGTGCACGAGTAATTAACATACAGTGGGACCTGTGCGTGGTTTTTGTGATGGGTGGCTGCTGCAAAGCCTTCCATTCCAGCCCTTAAACCAATGGGAGGTCGATGCTTTGCTGTTGTGCCTTCCCTAAACCCGAAATCCTAAACTTTAAACCCCATACGTTGTCGAGTAGGACGAACAGAGTGATGAAATCGAGGGACTGCGAGGGCCATTCGTCTCGGTCTTCTGGCCAGGAGTTTCGTCAGTCCCTTCTCTGCAGCTCCGTCGGCCAGCTCTTGAACACGAAGGGACTTGAGGAATTGGCGAGGACCCGGTAGAATTTTCGCAAAGACAGGTTGGGTGTTTTGATTTTCAGGTTGGATGCAGCACTTCATGTCGTCCGACACCTGCGTCATGCCAGTTTGCAGAGTTACCAGCAGGTGATGGTGTTTGAGCGTGTCTCCGACGAAAGGTATGCTCACCTCCTGCGTCACCTGTGCCACCTGTGCATGTCGCATGTTTCGTAGAGTTTTACAAAGCCCCTCAGAACTTCTCTTTCCGATTCCTTTCTTTCAGATTCCTGCAGAGCTTAGATACGCCCTCCACCCTGTAGCAGCTCCCAGGATTTACAATTGTGCTTGCGCTATACCCGTAAGAATGAGCCCTCATAGCATGGTTGGGTGTTCTAGAGCCTTATCTCTATCATGGTGGGGGGCTGGCGCCTTGGAGCAAACGCAATCTGAGAAGTCACAGCCCCTAAACCCTAAAAACTAAACCCCAAATCCCATGAACCCTAAACCCAAACCCTATTTCAGAGTAGAGCCAAAGAGTATTCAAGTCACCCATATACTTGAGTGAAGCTCGCAGGCCCGATTTCTGGAAGCATCCGAGCACCGTTGTGCTGCTGTGCTTTTACATCTTGCGCCCGGGCCACTACATTGTTTAGGGGCTAGGGTTAGGGTTAGGGTTAGGATTGAACGGCTTGGGGTTCAGGGTTGAGTCTCCTATAACGCGATACACTTAAAACAAGCAAGTAGAAGTGAGACCTCGACAATCGTTGCCATGCTGCCTTGCCACGTGTGGGCAACAGAAGTTTCAAGGCATCCAGCGTGCGCACACGAGCACGCGCGTGCGAACGGTGCAGTTCCATGCCAAAGTGCATAAACCTAAACCCTGAACCCTGAATCCTACTAAGCTCTGTGCGGCGCTTCAGGGCTAGAGGCTACCCAGAAATGGACGAGGCACCAAAGCCAGGCGCTGGACGCGTCTGTCAGAGCCGGTACATCAGGGTTCAGGGTTTATGTTTAAGTCGAAATTAGAATTGGGGAACTACAGCAGGTCCCCCTTTCCGGAACCCCGAATACATTAATAATTGCGTGAACTTTTCGAATAAGCCAGTATATAGAACAAGAACGAATATCAAATAAGCAGATCAATAGATGAATCAACAGACAAATACCTAAAAAAAACTTTTTGTACTTATACACATGTATATACATATATAACATATATATATATGTGTATATGTATATATTATATTTACATGTATTTACTTATTTAACCTCTTGACTTTACTTGTGAATAGGCTTCCTCCTTCTTTTCTTGTATCCTCCACACAGGAGTTGCAGACCAAGACCCAGACCCTCCTTTAACTGAGAGTCTTGGGCTTACTTGTTCTGGTTCGACGGCCTCTCATGACTATTCGGTGCCGAGTGGCTCAGAAACACGACCCCTAAAATTCTCTGCAGAGACTACATATTCATTTTGCAGGGCCGGGCGCAGCCGTTGCAGTTGTGAAAATCGTTCGCAGAGGTGCTTTGTGGCGCTGGCCGTGGGCTATTACCAAGATTGCAAGGCACCAGTGGGACAGGAAGCCTATGAAGGACCCTCGCCCTAGACCCCAAACCCGGTGCAAAAGACCTTGAACCTCTAAACTTTGAAACCCGAAGCCCTCCCCAACTGCCCGAACCATATGCTGCTTGCTTGACAAGGCGGAGCCGGGCATGGAGATGATTTACGTGAAGAACGAGGCGAATTTAGCATCCAATCCCCGATCATCTACAGTCCTCATCAATGGATTTTGGCCTTGAGAATGCTAGGCTCACAAATCATGGAAGGCATTGGAATGGCAGGGCAGGAGTGTGGATTTACCTTCCAGCCTTCCAGCACCATCGGACTTCCTGCAACTCAGACCCAGCACCGCAAATGCCACATGCAGGTTGTGCTAAATGCTAGGCACTTTGAAGGTGCTTTAAATGTAGGGTCAGTACCGCTAGCTACAATAGGGACCCCGCAAAAAGGGCCCGAAGTTCTCGAAGCTCCAAGGCCGCGAATCAGCCCCAAGGCGGCAGCTGCCGCTGCTCCACCTGCTCCTGGCTTTGCGGGCAGCTAGCACAAGGACCAGGGCCTGGGGGAAGGGTTCAGAGGTTTGGAATGTAGGGTTTGGGACGCCACTCAGGGTTCGAGGAAGACGGAGGTGTCACGTACAGCTTCTGCTTAGAATTGGGCCCGACCTTTCGTGACAACGAAGAGTTGGTGCTTGATGTCCAGCCCAAGCATGAAGGACGCCGACCCGAAATCCTAGACCTCAAACCCCCTGAACCCCCAAACCCCTGAATCCCCCAAAATGAAGGAATCAAGGAAAGTCCGCGTTTCCTTGCCAACCTGTGCAGCTGGTCCCGGACCAAGGCACCTTGGTCTGCCATTGGGGCTTAGGACCCTTTAGGGGTTCAGGATGGGGCTTAGATGGGTTTAGGAAGCTCAGTGCTTTTGTGGGTTTTAGGCCCCCTGCTCTTCTTCAAGCGGCAACGTGCCCCTAAGCCCCGAGGCCTACATGAAGCCATCAGCCGGGATTCCAGTCCCGGAAGGGATCTCTGAAGCTCCAGAGTGAAGGGTTTCGGGATTTGGGTCGAGATCCCAATTCAGGGCCAAAAACAACCACTCGAGTGCACAGTGCACAGTCGATGGCTGATGCATTGCAGTGCGAGTCTGTGCCAGCGCGTTTCAATTTGAGCATGACAGCGATGACGATGCGAATCGAGGTGATATCACGCCTGGTACGCACGATCTCCGTGATTGGACGCGCTGTTCCGACATGCTTGTGTTGTTCAGCACTCCGCTGCTGGGGGCCTACCCTGTGACTAAACCGTGTGATGGCAACCCCGGCGCATATCACAAATCGTTGTTGCCAGCGTCGGGCTTGGACGGTGTATCCTCAACCCAGCAGAACTTTGCATTTTGCCTTGCGTGAGTTTGACATGCTCGTTGCTTGTTGAGCTTTCGTCCCGTCCTTCTTGCCGCCCCAGCAAGACACCTCCGCCCTGTCGAGCCAAGTAAATCCCTGCCAGTCTGCCAGTTTGTTTTCTTTTGCACAACATGCCCTGACACCACTCAAACCAAAACCAGCCGGCCAGTGTGCAGTTACTGTAAGCAAATTTCCTTTAGGTAGGCGACGATTGGAACTTTATTGGAAGGGAATGACATGGACAATTTTGTTGCCGTGCTCTCCTGACGAAGGCACGAAGAGGAGTGTTGAAACGCATGCTTCTGTACATGTCCACCTCTGTGCGCTTTAGGCCGCCCAAAACACAGAAGCCTTCAGCATGTATTCCACTTGTTTAATGTCATTGCACACTTGAGATTGCATCACGCGCAATCCCTAAGGCCCCAAGGTGTGCTGTGCGTTTAACACTCTGCCTTTATCTGAGCCCATTTTTGGTATGGGGGAAAATGAAGAACCACTTGTCCTTGTTACATTGTTGGGTCACACCAGCAGTTTAGGTTGTTTAGGGTTTGGGGTGGCCTAGGGCTTGTCGACTGTGAGGCACGTGCGCGGGCAAGGCTTGCAGCCGTGATCAAGAAATGCGTTGCGTCCATGCACGCGAGAACGAACCTCGGCATGCTTCCCGAAGCTTTGAGCCATATTAATATATGGGGGCTTGTCTATGAACCCTTTTTTCGTACTTGCCCCGAACTATAAACATACTATACTATGTTGCACTGGGGACCAGATCTTTGCCAACCTCCAAATATTCATTTAAGTTTTCTTTAAGGCTGACACATATAGATGGGTATTGTCGCAGCTTGCCGCGACTGTTTGCAAGCAACTGTTACAGTCTTAACATTGCAGCGGGCATCGCTCTACTGAGCACGAAGGCCACTGTGCGTCTCTCAGCGCGCTTGATCACACAGCGGTGTGTGTGCCACAGGTTTGGGGGTTGCACCCAGGCCCGAAACCCTCGAACCGTAAAGGTTCCCGAGCCCTAACCAATACTGATCTATAGAAACGTGAGCCCGCTTTGACCCTCAATGTAATGAGGCCGTATTCAGTTTACTTCGGGTGTTCTGTTTGGGGAAGAGATCCACAGCCACACAGCTCAACTTTCTGAGTCTAAGGGTCCAAACTGCACCCAAGCCCTAAAGGCCTAGGCCCTCAACTCTTACTGCCGACCGGTCTGAGCGGAGGAGTGGAATTCATGCGAAGTCCATTCGGCTCATCATGGACGCTGAAGCCAAGGTACGGGCAGCGTGGCGCCTAGGTTCTTTGAGTTTTCTGGGTTCTATCCCATTGTATCAATATCTTTGTGGGATCACGGCACACAATAGTAGAGTGTGCCAAGACAGGGCCACACGGCCTTGACATTCTATGTATGAAGATTTCAATGTTAAAAACCAGCTGCCCCCAATGCAAGACGAGATGAGCCCCGGAGCGAATATAGAAGTGAAGACAGTGCATCCTTCACGATTGTTTGGCGCATGTTTGCTTGTAGGACATATTGCTTCCGTTTCCTGGCTTTGACAGGAGACGTCTAGGCCTACCGACGAAAAGATGTTCTCCATGACGCGCGGTACGAGGCAACTGTGGGCGCAACGTGGGTTTCAGGTTTCTCCAGTCTGCAAAGCATGTGCGGCAGGAGTGTGTGTTGAAAGGCCTCACTCCAGATGTCGCATCTTTATACCCCCCGAAACCCCCTCAACCTTTCACATGGGCAGGACGTTCCTGTCTATTGGCCGCCAGGTTGAAAGTCTCTTGGATGAACGGGTAGAGGGCCTCCCATCTGCATCATCTGCACAAAGACAGCCAGCGTCAACTTTCCAGACCTCAGACGCAATAGCTGTGTGAGAGTCTGATGGTCTGATGGAAGTTTATAAGTTTTCAGGAGTCGAGGCATTTCGGTGGATAGCTGCTGCTGACATCTCTGTGTCCGAAACGCTTTCCCTCATATCTACGCCCCGTAGTAATCAGGAGAAGGTTCTTTCAGCCACTCCAAGCCTCAACATTGCCAGATACGCTTCAGGGGAGAACATCAAAAACACCGCCGAGACATTCTTCGCTGCCTATCCGCTCAGACGAACGACGTGGCTGCTCCTAAGCTATCCTCAATGAGACTTTACATGGGGTTGTTCTGAATGGTGTTCCCCTTGCGGCTTTTGCTTTGTGTTATGGCTGTTATGGTATCCTTGCAGCTTGGGGTGCCAAAAGGTTTATAAAGTTAGGTCAGCCCCTCCCCCCCCCCCCTGTGTGCGGCTTAAACCGGGTTGATTTGGAGGAAGCTGGTACTCGGGTTTACAAGAGGAAATCAGGCCTCAACACCTTTACTTATTCACAAGAGCCAGCTTCCAAATAAAGCCTATTTAGGTTCCTGGGGGGGGATAGGCCGGAATTTAAATGATGTAAATATTTGGGGGCCCCAATACTTAAATTTTTTAAACTGTTAAATTCGGGCGGAATTTTGAATAATTCAAATAATTTGAATAATTTCTGTAGTTCAAATAATTTAAATAACAATCCTGGGGAGGGCCTTGGGGAGGGGGGCTGGAATTTTAATAGTTTAAATATTTGGGAGGCCTCAATATTTACATTATTAACGGCTACCGCCAGTGCCGCGGTAGGGGGGGAAGAGGGGGTGGGGAGTAAGGGGGGAACGGGTGGGGGGGGAGTGGGGGGGAGGCGGGAGGGGGGCTGCGGTAGGGCGGTGGGGCTGGAGGGTGAGGGGGTGGTGTGGGGGGAGAGGGGGGTAGGGGGTGTTGGGCATGCACTAAAGGCACGCTGAGAGCAACGCAGTAGACGAAGCACTGAAGGCATGGGGTGCTAGAGGGTAAGGGAAGGGCTTAGGTGGGGGTGGGGAGGGGTGAGGGCGGTACTAAGAGGCAGTGGGTCTTGACTGAGCGGCTGGGGTCGGCGAACCACCCCCCCCCCTCCCCAGCATTTAGATTGTTTAAATTATATAAATTATTTAAATTCCAGACTCCCCCCAAAGGCCCTCTCCAGGACTTAAATTTTTTGATGTTTTGAATTATTTATATTCCGCCCGAATTTGAATAATTTACACACTTTAGATATTTATTTAAATTGTTGAAATTCGGGTGGAATTTAAATAGTGTTAAAAAATATTAGTTATTTTACTTCGAACATCCCCACCTTAGCTCTCGAGGGTCTCTGGGGTTGGGCGCTCCAGGGGGTTTCTGGGGTTGGGCACTCCAGGAAGTCTCTGGGTTGGGCACTCCAGGGAGACTGTGAGGTTGTGAGATTGTGGGGACTCTGCGGTTGGGCACTCCAGGGAGTCTCTGGGTTGGGCACTCAGGGTTGGCACTTAGGAAGTTTTTTGGGGGGTTGGGTGGGTTGGGCACTCCAGCAAGTCTCTAGGTTTGGGGTTGGGCACTCCAGGGAGACTCTGGGTGACTGGGGAATTCTGACCACTCCAGGAATGTCTGGGTTGGGCACTCCAGGGAGTCGCTAGGAGGAGACCGGGCGAGGCGAGGAGAAGAGTTGAATTTAAAATCTAACAACCCCACACCGAAGGTGGGGAATAAAAAATCCTGGAGAGGGCCTGTGGGGGGCGGTCCGGAATTTAAATAATGTACACAATGTAAATATTTTCATAATTTAAGTAATTGAAATATTGAGGGGGGCCCCAATATTTACATTATTAAAATTAGTCAAATTCCAGCCCCCCTCTTCAAGGCCCTCCCCAGGATTTAATTTATTCAATTTATTCAAATTATTTAAATTCCACCCGAGTTTCAACAATTTGAGTACTTGTAAACGCTTGCGCGCAGCGCCTCGGCAGCCGGGTAGGAGCCGCCGACAGCTGGACCCTGCACGGCATCGGCAGGGAGGGGGGGTTGTGCAGCTTAAATAGGGAAGCTACGGCTCGGGTTTTTACCAAGAACACACACGGGAGCTTCCAAATAAACCCTATTTGGGCATCTGGGAGGTGGGGGGGTCAGGAATGAAAAAATTTTCATAATTTAAATATGACGGGCAGGTTTCGGATTTAAATTATTTAATTCGGCCGGGAATTGAATAATTTAAAATCCGAAAAGGGGGGGGGGGGGACCACCCCCCCTACCCCCTAAAAATTAAAAAATTTAAGTCATTTAAATCCGAAACCTCCCCGTCTTATTTAAAATATTTAAGTTATTTAGTTCTGGGGACGGGGGGGTGGTCCCCCCCTTTCGGATTTAAATTATTTAAATTATGCAAATGATTTAAATTATTTAATTCGGCTGGGAATTAAATAATGTAAGCAAATAAATAATTTAAAAAATGTAAATATGACGGGCAGGTTTCGGATTTAAATTATTTAAATTGTTTAATTCGGCCGGGAATTAAAAAAACTTAAATAATTTAAATCCGAAAAAGGGGGGGGGGGGGGGGACCACCCCCCTGCCCCCTAAGAATTCAATAATTTAAACAATTTAAATACGACGGGGAGGTTTCGGATATAATTATTTAAAATTCTTAGGAGGCGGGGGGGGGGGGGGGGGGGGTGGTCCGCCCCCCCGCCCCTTTTCGGATTTAAATTATTTAAATAATTAATGAGTTAAATTATGTAAATTATTTAACTTATCTACATTATTGAGATTTTATACATTGTTTAGATTATTTAAATTATTTAATTCGGCTGGGAATTAAATAATTTCAATAATTTAAATATGACGGGCAGGTTTCGGATTCAAATTATTTAAATTATTTAATTCGGCCCGGAATTCAATAACTTAAATAATGTAAATCATTTAAATAGTTCAAATAATTTCCGAAAAGGGGGGGGGGGGGGGGCACCCCCCTGCCCCCTAAGAACTACATAATTTAAATCATTTAAACACGACGGGCAGGCTTCGGATTTAAATTATTCAAAGTATTTAATTCTTAGGGGGCAGGGGTGTGCCCCCCCCCCTTTCGGATTTAAATTATTTGAAGTATTTAAATTGTTTAAATTATGAAAATTAACTTAAATTATATTTCAATTATTTACAATATTTAAATTATTTGAGTTTTTTTATTTTTTGTTCGGCTTGGAATTAAGTTTCTTTAATATTTATGACGGGCAGTTTTCGGATTTAAATGCTTTAAAGTATTTCATTCTGCCGAGAATTAAATAATGTAAATAATTTAAACAATTCAAATAATTTAAATCGGAAAAAGGGGGGGGACCACCCCCCCTGCCCCCTAAGAATTAACTAATTTTTTAAAATAATTTAAATCCGAAACCTCCCCGTCTTATGTAAATTATTTAAATTATTGAATTCTGGGGAGGGGGGGATGGCCCCCCCCACTGTCGGATTTAAACTATTTCAATTATTTATATTATTTAAATCATTTAAATGATTTAAATCATTTACATTATTTAAAGCTTCTAAATTATTGAAATTATTTAAATTATTTCATTCGGCTGGGAAATTCATAATTTAGATTTTTTATAATTGACGGGCAGGTTTCGGAGTTAAATTATTGAGATTATTTAATTCGGCCGGGACTTAAATAATTTAAATAACTTAAATAATTCAAATCCGAAAAGGGGAGGGGACCACCCCTCCGAATGAAATAATTTAAATAATTTAAATCCGAAACCTCCCCGTCGTATTTAAATTATTTACATTATTTAATTCTTGGGAGGGGGGGGGGGGTTGGTCCCCCCCTCTTTCGATTTAAATTATTTAGATTATGTAAATTGTTTAAATTATGTAAGTTATTGAAGTTTTTTAATTCGGCTGGGAATTAAATAATGTAAACAATTTAAATATGACGGGCAGGTTTCGGATTTAATTTATTTAAATTATTTAATTCGGCCGGGAATTAAATAATTTTAATAATTTAAATCCGAAAAGGGGGGGACCACCCCCGCCGCCCCCTAAGAATTAAATATTTTAAATAATTTACATCCGAAACCTCCCCGTGCTTTTTAAATTGTTTAAATTATTTACTTCTTGGGAGGGGGGGGGGTGGCTCCTTGCGGGGGAAGCCCGGGCTCGTAATTTAGGTATTGGGGGGAGGCCCGGGCTCGTAATTGAGTATTGGGGGGAGGCCCCGGCTCGTCATTTAGCATTGGGGGGAGGCCCGGGCTCGTAATTTAGTATTGGGGTGGTGGCCCCGAAACCAAAAAACAGCTGCTAGTTCCAGAAAGGCGCGGCTCGATTTGGCCGAATTTTGCCCGGCAGCCTCCGGGCAAAATTTGGCCAAATCGGGCTGCTCTTCGACTCTTTCACCCTTGTTCACTGGTACTAAAAGATAGAGACCAGTCCAACCGCAGCACAAAAGACAAATCGCAAGGCACCGTCCCCCTAAAATTTTTCAAAAACTTATGCTCTCACGACACAAATCGCAAGCGCCGTCCCCTAAGATTTTGGTAAAAATATGCTCCCAAAAGACAAATCGCAAGCACAGCCCCCCAAAATATTTTGGAAAAACTTATGCTCCCAATCAGTTTTCGTTGTTAAAGAGAAACATAAGAAGATAAGAGAGAAGAGGAGTTTTGCATGTCTTCCTACCTTGCTCCTTTCTTCTTCCGGCTCGCTCGCTCGTCCGCTCTCTCTCTCTCTCTCTCTGTCTTTGTCTTTGTCTTTCTTTTCTCTTCTGAGTGGTATGTCTCGTAGAACTGGAAGGGGAGGCAGCTACAAAAAAACACCTAAGTCTAGGATCCCAGCAGCAAGGACACGAGTTCTCTTGTTCTTATGGACTCGTATGAGGCCACCAGAGTACGACTAACGTGACAACAGCGTGCCCTCGCGGGAACGAGTATGGCATGAAAACCCCCCCCCCGCCCCCCCATGTGGGGGTTTAAGAGAACAAGGGGCCCCTAATATGGACCCAAAGGAGGACCCCAATAAGGTACCCCTAATTTCCGAACTCCACAACGCCGCCCAACCTGCTGAGCCACCTTGAGCCCTGATGTCACACAGTCCTAGGGAGGAAGGCTTGATGTAGCGCTTTGCCTCGTCCTTCCTGAAACCTAACCCTAAGCCCTGCACCGCAAATCCTGAACCCTAAATCTCATGGTTTAGGGTTTCAGGGTTGCTGCAGGTTGTTTCGACCCCAAAGCTCTCTGTGCTTGCCAGCTTGTTGCTTAGGTTTCTGGCTGTGCATCCTTGGGTGGCACTGGCGAGTCGCTTTCCTGAATCTGACCACGCTTGACCCAAACCCCGAACCCTAAACCCTATAGTAGAAGCAAAAAAGTTGCAAACTCAATAGCCTCAGTTCCTAAGAGTAAAGCATAGGGAATCCCAGCACTATTCGTCCTTAGGTTTCCAACTTGTTGGGGTTTACTGTAAACGCCCCTTCAGCGCTGCAAGATTCAGGGCCCGAGTTCAGACCGTGTATGCCCAAGGTTTGGGGTTTAGGGGTTTAGGGTTGAGGCGGTAATTTTCGGAGCTCCTGCCAGAGTTACAGGGCATATAAACTACTTCTCGACCAAAAGCAGTTCTCGACCACAAGTGTAGCAACCGAATCTGACTCAAAATCCTGTGGCGATGAGATGGAGCTCTCATCTTGGCGTCAAGCACCCACTTCTGGAACATTTACGTATAGCCAAAAACACTTAAAGTTGTCATGTCAAGGAAGCGGCAGGATGTTAGCCTTATCTGGAGTTCATGTGTCGGGCCGTTGTATGAACCAAGCGACTTGCTAGTGCAAAGGCTTCAGACAAGGCCAATAATCGTCGAAGGTGTATTTGCTATCTGTATTGTTGCAGAGCAGATTTCCTCATCTTGCAGCACCAAGGGCTCTGTGCAGTAACGACTGTTACAAGACGGACGTCTTTCATCATCATGAAGCTCCTCAGCGCTGGCAACTTTGCGAAACTGGGCTCAGGTTCGAGGCTTGCAGCGTGATCTAAGCCCCGAACCCTAACCCCTAGTCCCTGTCCCTAAACCCGAAAAGCTGTTCAAGCCAAGGGGCACTAAGTGCCGCCTTCTTCCAAACAGGGGCTGTCGATCGAGATGCACCAAAAGGCTGGCTAGCTCCAGCAAGTTTATTTGCGATGCTTCTCTATGCTGTCATGACGACTCCAGGCGAGGGCTTGATCTAAAGGATGGGCCTTTTCTCTTGCAGTTTTGGGTACCTATGAAGGACCCATAGTTCAGAACTAGAACAACTCCCACATACACTCTCTGAACAATCGGAGCTCATGAGTCACGACCTTGCAGGTTGCGAAGAGCCGTCGACCCCACTGCAAGAGTGGCTGCGCAGCGCTTTCACCGGCTCCTTGTCTTCACCCTACACCCTAAACTCTAAACCCGAAACCCTAAAGCCCCTAAGCCGGCCTAAGCCGGCCTAAGCCCCAGGCTTCTTGTCATCTTTGTGTGGAAACCTGGCCATCCTGGGCCTCATGCTGCTCCAGAGACGCGGTATTGCCACGCTGGCTACTTGGAGCCGAGATTTTGGGGTGATTTTGGGCTTTGTTGGGCTTAAGAGGGTTTCAGAGGTCAGCCTTGAACCTAATTACGACCCCAAACCGCTCATGGAGCAAGACCAACCTTATCTGAGGCAAATCAGAAGGCGGTCGACAAACACAAACGCATATGGATGATCAGACTCACCGTCTTCTGGGCCTCTCGGCATTGATTCAGTGCATGCGGTTCATCGACCTTAAGATGAATGTTATCAATTGCCAATTTATTACATATTCACTTCGAATTCCGAAAAAAAACAACTCAACCTCCAGTGTCTTCATGTTTCGAAATCTTCGCAGAGATCCCTTTCACACGCACCATGTCGGATAACTACAGTGAGTCAACAGCAATCATAGCGGCGGCTGGGATTCAGGGTTTTGGGGCTTTCGGAGTTTAAGGTTTTAGGGACCGAGAGCGACTTGGAGATTTGAGCTGTGTGATAGCAGGGACAATTTAGAGTGACCCTGAAATTTTCCGTCACACTAACGTTGAGACTGGCCCACCCTGAGCCTCGAGTTTTGATGACTACGACGAACATAATGAAAATGGTGGCAATACTGCATGCCAACCATACCATCGACTCTAGCAACCACAGCACTAAACATGATCACAACACTAAACATGATGGCGCCAGCAATCGCCATAAGGACCAAGTACGATGACCTATCACATCATGGCGTATTGCTCGGGAACCGGGCCTAGACAATCTTATAGAAACAGCCTGACAACATGTCCAGTGAATTCGCTTCTCCACACGGCTTAAGCCCTACACCCGAAACCTCTTGGCCCTAAACGCCTTTCGGAGGGGCTTGGCCGTCAGGGTTCACGGGCTTTGGGGCTGTGGGGTTTGATGGCTTCAGGGTTTCAGGGTGTGCGGTTTTAGGGTTTAGGGGCTGGGTGTCGACCTGTTTGTGATGCCACTGCCAGCGCCTGCTTGTCTTCCTTCTTCTCGTCCTTTTTGTCCAGTATCCTCGCAGGGTAAACCCTGAATCCTACAAACCCTAAATAGTCAAGCCTTAGCCCGAACGCCCTCATGAAGCAGGTCAACATGGCTTGCGGCATACCTAATTTTTGGACTTCGCTCAGAGGGTCCTGAGCAGTGTTTCAGTGTTTCTGCCCAAGAAGCTTCCCGAACTAATAGGGGGATCGCAAGTTGAATCACAAGTGCCTGCACGCATCGATAAAGAACGTTCAGCCAAGTCGATAGCCAAAACATATTCCCCTGTTTGCAGAATTGCATCAGCTGGGAAACGCGAGCGACAACACGACAGTAGCTAGTCCCCAGCGCAATCCGCATTCCCAAACTCGCCCTCAACTCCTCAACCGTTCGACCATCACAAACCTCGCCCCCAGGCTCTTGCATGGCTCTTGATGTTTGTCTGCATATTCTATATCCTGATCTTCCTTGCTAACGTCGGAGACAGTTTCCGGGACAAGTGGCTTCGAGCCGTCACCTTCAGCCTCCTTCAGGACTGGGCCAGCAGTATTGTCGGTTTTTCAGACGTGATGTGGCTGGATGTATGATTGCAGGATGGTGTCGGCAGCGAGTGATAAGTAAATAGCACCAAAAATGGATGCACATTCCTTGGCCTGAAAGTCAAGCCCTAAACCCAAAGCCCACATCTGGGTGGGAGGTTTGTCTAAGGAATGCTAGGTGCCCTGATGCCGGAAGATCCGAATACTAAGAGTCCGTCACCGGGAGCGCAAAGCCTGCTCAGCCGGCTTCCAGAAGCGGGTTTAGGGTTTCGGTTTGGGGCATACCCTGAACCGTTACCCTGAACCAAAAACTAGGGCCGTGCAGGCTGCAGTGCTGATGCCTGGGCTCGAGGCAGCCGCACTAGGTGCCAGATCTGAGCGAAGGTGTTCATCTTTGGGCTTAGGGTTTGGTGTTTAAGCGGGCACAAACCCTTGGCGATCATCTTGCCTCCTGCTCTGCCCGGACTCCTAAATTTTCCAAACACTACAGACTACACCCTAAACCCAGCTTCTCGTGCACCAGCGGGCAGGCATCGCGGTTTCTCTGGCCATGCTCTGCTTCCCGGGTGAGCTGGCAGAAGTTTCAGGGTTTTAAGTGGATGTCAGGCCACTCCACTTGGTACGGTCACGAACCGACTCCCACGCATGGCATCTTCATGCCGAGAAGACTGCTGCAATGTGAAGAGCCTTCGCCGATAGTACAAGCAGCAACATCCTACACCATGTCGCACATCATGGGGATCCAGGTTTAAGCTGAGCCTTCGCGTTGCCTCCCCATCAGTTTTTCTAGTGTCTATAGAGTTTGCGTCAACACGATGGGCCTTCTTTTGACAAGGTCTGGTTCACACCCGTACCCATACCCGCGTGACGAACTAAATCGCATGTCAGGCATCGCGCATGACTGGCGCGCGGAAAATCCGACGAAGGCCGAGCAGAATTGTGCGTGTTCCAATGCGCACAGTAGCGTCTGACGATTTGCAAGCTCGGAGATTTAGTGGGTGTGAGTGTTCTGCGTTCGGCTTACCCGTGCCTTGCGTTTCTTGAGTTAGTCGCTAGGCGAACTCACGTTTACGAGGGGCAAAGGGCTTGGTAGCATGTGGGTGTGTTGTTTTAAGTTTTCAGGCAAAGTTTAACAGGTTCCAAAGTTGCACATTGCATCCCTTAGCTCCAAACCCTAGTGTCCCATGATTGGAGTAAAAAGGCAAACGATATAGTTAATATAGTTGCTGTTCACAGTATTCAGAACCAAGCGCACCGGTGGATTCCCACTAGATTCTAGTATTTGCTGCAGCACCGAACATGATTACATCGGTCCAACTTTGAAGAGCCCAAACCCCACACCCCAAATCCAAACATCGAAGGATGAAGAAGCCTGTGGTGACACAGCCGAGGGAGGCAGGAGTGCCCCAATCCCAGAACGGCTCGGAGCAGGAGTCAAACACAGAATTGAAGTAAACACACGCCAAAACCTTGTTCTCGTGTTTAGGCTCCACTCCTAGCACCCTCATCCTGATAAGGCCTACTTGACTCCTTTTTTTCATCTCTACTCTACATGTTCCTCAATAAACTCCAGCAGCTTCGCATGATCCGGACCTCCATCTCGCCCATGGTATACAATCGGCTTTGAACGCATGCCGGCATGGCGCACTGAATCCAACAGTCAACCTCAGACGATTCGGTGGAGTTTGTTCCGGCTTCTGACAAAGCATTCGCGCAGGTTGGTAGTGGGACCTGCATGGTTATTTGTGTGGCTTATGGCTGGGCTCAGCAGGTCGGAGTCGTTTCGCCCAAAGCCCTCCAGATGCTAGACCCTAAACCCCAAACTCTTCCTGAGCCCAACTAATGTTATTTGGGCTTAGTGGAGATAATGGGCCCAGAATGGATGGGGGGGTACTTGGCACGGCAGGCCCCACCAGCGACGCGCCACTGATGATCTCTTCCCCAAGGCGGGGAACTCTTCTGCATTCCTGCTCTGAACCTGCTTCCACGTCCATGGTGGAGGCTTTGGTGAATTGTCCTTTGCGGGTCTTGAACGCAAACTGTGTCAAGTGGCTTGTGGGGCTCGCCTTACTGGCTTTGCCACTGCTCCAAACCCTGAGCCCGCTGTGCCAGTGCGACAGCAGTCATCCCGTTCGGCGTACTTCCATCAGGCGCGGCAGTCCGACTCCTGCACCGACCCCACCCAAGAACCTGTCCTCAAGCGCTGCATTGTGAGAAGGTGTGAAGGAAGGCTGTAACCAACATCGAATTGCAAAGACGGGCGCGCGTCGGTCTTTCTAACATGTTCTACGTGAGAGGGCCGCAGTTTGTAGTTGCCTTGACAGCTGTAGTTGGGTGGGCGGTGGCAGTAGCCATTCAGACCGTGGTCTGCACCAAAGCTACACGGCAGGCCCCAACAGCGATGCTCCAAAGATGAGCCCTTCCCCCAGGTGGGGCACTCCGACTTCTGAGCTCTGAACTGTACTGCTTCCATTGCAGAGTAACATTGGTGCGCATGGTGGGTTTTGTTCAGCAAATTTTGAACGCACGCTGTGTCAAGTGGCTTGGTTGCGGGGCTCGCCTTTCTCTCTACCTTTGCCACTGCTCCGAACCCTGAACCCTCTGTGCTAGTGCGACGGCAGGCCCATCTCGCACGACGGCATCCCAGCAGGTGGGCACTGCGACTCCCGCACCGACTCCAGCCACGAAGCAGTCCTCAAGCTCTGAATTGCCGATAGAACAGCTGGGCCTACTGTAGCAACTTGGATGTCGATCCAGGCTGTGATCTGCACCCTACACGGCAGGCCCCACCAGCGACGCGCCACTGATGATCTCTTCCCCAAGGCGGGGCACTCTTCTGCATTCCTGCTCTGAACCTGCTTCCACGTCCATGGTGGAGGCTTTGGTGAATTGTCCTTTGCGGGTCTTGAACGCAAACTGTGTCAAGTGGCTTGTGGGGCTCGCCTTACTGGCTTTGCCACTGCTCCAAACCCTGAACCCCCTGTGCCAGTGCGACAGCAGTCATCCCGTTCGGCGTACTTCCATCAGGCGCGGCAGTCCGACTCCTGCACCGACCCCACCCAAGAACCTGTCCTCAAGCGCTGCATTGTGAGAAGGTGTGAAGGAAGGCTGTAACCAACATCGAATTGCAAAGACGGGCGCGCGTCGGTCTTTCTAACATGTTCTACGTGAGAGGGCCGCAGTTTGTAGTTGCCTTGACAGCTGTAGTTGGGTGGGCGGTGGCAGTAGCCATTCAGACCGTGGTCTGCACCAAAGCTACACGGCAGGCCCCAACAGCGATGCTCCAAAGATGAGCCCTTCCCCCAGGTGGGGCACTCCGACTTCTGAGCTCTGAACTGTACTGCTTCCATTGCAGAGTAACATTGGTGCGCATGGTGGGTTTTGTTCAGCAAATTTTGAACGCACGCTGTGTCAAGTGGCTTGGTTGCGGGGCTCGCCTTTCTCTCTACCTTTGCCACTGCTCCGAACCCTGAACCCTCTGTGCTAGTGCGACGGCAGGCCCATCTCGCACGACGTCATCCCAGCAGGTGGGCACTGCGACTCCCGCACCGACTCCAGCCACGAAGCAGTCCTCAAGCTCTGAATTGCCGATAGAACAGCTGGGCCTACTGTAGCAACTTGGATGTCGATCCAGGCTGTGATCTGCACCCTACACGGCAGGCCCCACCAGCGACGCGCCACTGATGATCTCTTCCCCAAGGCGGGGCACTCCGACTTCTGCGTCCAATCCACCATCAAGCTCTGAAGTTTCTTGCTTCGCATGGGGGTTTTGTTGGTAAATGGTAGGTGTGAACTCTGTGGCAATGTTTTGTTTGGTCCTTGCAGCGCAGATTGAACCCACACGGTGTCAAGTGGCTTGGATGTGGGGCTCGCATTACTCTTTGGCTTTGCCACTGCTCCAAACCCTGAACCCGCTGTGCCAGTTCACTGGCAGGCCCATCTCGCGTGGCGGCATCCCGTCAGGCGGGGCACTCCGACTCCTGCACCGCCACCCTTCAAGCTCCTGAATTGTGAGAAGGAGTTGACCGTTTTTTGCAGCACTACGCATCATTAGTGAGAAAGACAAACTTGTAGACAAGTACGGTACGTTTCTTTACCGAAGTACAATCAAAGCAAGGCGTTTTCATGCTTGTGCGGAATTCGAAAGCCCGTCTTGGTTCCTGCAATTCTTTCTTAGCGACGGCAGGACATGTTGGGTGACATGGGTCATCCTTGCCAAGCTGTCTCCGGGGTTGTCATGACCCTTTTACGAAGAGCATCGTTAGAAGCGCTTGTTCCTTGCAGGCCTTTAGTTTCCAATATCCATACTGCAGCCCTGAAGTTGCGAAGGGGAACGGGACAGGTCAGCCAAGCGCATGGCAACCACTTTTGCATGGCGGCTGTGACACATCTACATGTCGCGGATCTCAGCAGCGGGTTTCAGGGTTCCGGGTTTAGGGCCAGCTCTGCCAGGCGCTCCATTGCCAGAGATGCCAGGACAAGTGCCAACTGACTGAGAAGGCCGGAAGATCGAGGCGGGGGGGGGTGGGGCAGGGGGGGAAGGGGGGGAGGGGGGGGAGGGGGAGGGGGGAGGGGAGGGGGGGGGAGGGGGGGGGAGGGGGGAGGGGGAGGTGGGGAGGGGGGGAGGGGGGAGTGGGGAGGGGGGAGGGGGGAGGGGGAGGGCAAGCCATAGTCATACTGAAGGACATGAAGGATTATGAGAAGCTTTGACACATGCTGCAAGCATCATCAGCGAAGCGAACATGAGATTCTTCCCTGTATTCCACGCATTTACAGTCGTGCAAAGCAAGTCCGATGCAACGGAAAACATGCACCTTTTTTGTGCAAAGGGAAAAATGCGGTTGTCTCCTTAACTACGACTCACGGAAAAATGTGGCTTTCCCGTTTCCAGGACCCCGCATACACATGTTTTTTAAATCTACGGACAGATGGCTAAATCATGAAGCCTTGAAACCGCAGGAATATTGAAACATGCTGAAGATATTGAGTTCGTATATTTCTGGATCCAACACCCAAGGTTTCAGGGATCCAAACCTGAAAATAATGAATTTAGTATGTGTTTGTCTAGACCCCAGACCCCAACAGCCTACTTTTCAGGCCTGCTGCATGTGGCGTGTCGTATGGAGTCTGACAGATAAAACAGATACAATAGCGAGCAAGTTGTTTGGGAGGGTTTAGCGTTTCGAGCGTTCTTCTGGACTTCGAGCCTCCCTCAGGCAATTGAGACGTGGTTATCCAAGCGACTGTGAGCCAACCGCCTTTCAGTTTCCAACAACTCCTTTGTCCAGAGAGCAGCGCAAAGCCTGGGGTTGTGCGAAGGAAGGCTGTAGCCAGTTTCGACATCTTCCAACTGCCAAGACGTGTGCACGGCGGTACTTTCTAGCATCTTCGACAAGAGAGCAGTTGTAGTCACTGTGGTAGTTGGGCTGGTGGTGGCAGTGGCCATAGAGGCTTGCTGCCCAAGGGCTTTCTGAAGCAATAAGCTGTGAACCGTGATCGCTGCTAGGATACGGGCACAAGTCCAGGCTCAGCGCCTGCGCATTTGAAATGCTTGAGCGTCCAGCTCACTACCCCGTGCCCCCCAAGACTCCCCCACCACTTTTCCGGAACAGAATGACGATCGTGTTTGGCGACGTCCTGCAGGCTTGAGAAATGCTTGAGCCGAGCGAGGAATTCCGCAGGTTCGGGTTTCGGGGCATCCCAGTATGCCTAGTACAAAACGGGGTCGGACATACACGAGCTCTCGGGCTGGGCCCCCCAACATGATTGCGGCAGGATGCCAAGACTTGGTCTGAAATGGGTGCCAGGATGCATCCTCGAATGCAGGCACTATACAAGACACAAACGGGGTTAGATGGTGATGTACTAGTCCTCAAGCATTGTCAGCCTCTTGCGCTTACCAGACGTTGGTTGAAGATTTCGTCAAGCGACAAATCAGAGCATTTTCCTCACATTCACGGGGCGGCCACGTGGCCGAGCTGGCAATGTTGTCCTGAAGGGACTTGCTCCAGTCGACGCTGGGTGAGCCCTGGGAGATTTGCTCGGGCAGGGGAGGCCGGAGGCCCCTAGCTTGCTCCAGCATTCATTGAGCTCGGTTGGGGGGGGATTTTTCGTCCACGGGCCAAATGGACACGATTTTCCCCCTCAACTGCTTTGTCGTACAGAAGAAGTCATTCCATCCGATCCTTTTCACCACGCTGACAAATCAGAGCTCAAAGTTCTGATTTCATCATGACATGTATCCAAGTACCGCTTTGAGAAGCAGTAGTTAATTAGGCGCGGGCGGGAAATCACGGAAATCGCGCTCTTAGGCCGCTAAGTACCTGTGTTCTGTTACTTGTGTAAAGTGGTAAATGAAACGCAGGATCGAGTACACATGTATCGGCTTGCAAAGTTGGCCCAGACTGCACGTACAAACTTTGGGGTCGCGTACTCTCCAACAATGGTACAAGCTTGGTTCAGCACTTCAAGCAGGCGCTGGGTCACTGTTGCTCACTCATCATAGCCCTTCCACAGGCTGGATCAGAAGGACCCCTGCGGGGTAGACGGATGGGAGGCGTTGAGGACTACCAACTTACAACATTTTAAAATCTGCCTGTTATCAGGCGCACTACAAGAAGGGGCGAGGTCTTTGTCATCGGATACTTCATCATCGATTAAGCAGCGGATTGCTCAGAGCGGCTGTTCACATCCTGCAATAAATGGTGGTGATTTTCCACTGGTAGTAGCTGGGCAATGCTCAGCTCCGAATCATACAGCTACCACCTATGCGTCTGCCTTGTCATGACAGGGCAACGTACCTTACCAAGGGCACGCAGAAGGGCGTAGTTGTTATACCGACACACCGTCAAGTTTGTGGTCTGGTTTTATTTACCTTTTGGATATGTTGGGTTTAGGCGCTGCAAAAAGAACTTGCCATAAATCCCAGAGACGATGAGGCATGCGGGCCAGCCTAGCTTGCCGCCCTTTTTGACCTGGGAGCCAGCAGGAAAGGGCCGCTGGCCCTGAAAATTTCAACGGACTCCCAAAACTACACAACCCCCGATGCCCCAAACCGTCTCGGCACCCCAGGGGAACAGAAGCTAGGAGCCTCTGCAGCAGTGATCGCTCTTCAGACCTTAGCGTTTAACTTGATTTAATGTAGCATAATTATAGAGCCGTTGAAGATGGCTCATGGCGAGAATCCGGCTGGTGCAGTTCGAAGTAACCGTACCACTGCTACTACCACCTCCTACTACGATGACCTCTACTACCCAATTCTGTACCCCCCCAACCATGCACTCTAAAAAAGGTGGGGGCGAGATCGGTTTGTTGGTCATTGGGACGCACCGTGTCCTCAGAGTGTCCAGCTGCTCACGTTGTCAAGTGAATTGCTCCGTGCGTGATCCCAACGAGAGCCAGAAAGCATCGTCGGCATGTGCGCAACATTGCATCGATTACATTCTGGCGTGTTTTGCTCTTGGCTCGGTTTGTGTTTATGCGGCGCGCTGTAAGCACACACCGGATTTCAAGCTTGCATGCAGCCTCCAGAACGCTGGCAGCAAAGCCTAAGCGAACTGCATCAGTGTCAGTCAGCATTTCGTCGTTACACACCCTGGACATCAAGACGTGCCTGTGAACTGAGAGCATCACGATGGTGGGGCACCACCGTGTGCTTCCTGCCCATGTCTCAGTTCTTGGATTGGCATCCTAACATGGCTAAGTCTGATTACACTCCTGCTGGATATGCGGGGTTTCGACTCTTGTTATTAGTGAGTGTATACTGTGAACCGAGCGGGTTTGGGGCTACCAGCAAGCCCTAAACCCATGAACCGAAATCTCTGAGACAGCTGTGTTTTCCAAACAACAGCAGGTCTTGTTAACTGAAGGGTACTCAAGGTAGTACTTTTGTAAATAGTGCAGTGCCTTGCCAGTACCCGCGCTAAAGTCCCAGTGAGAAACACATCACCCCCCCCTGGATTGGACCGAGATGCTGTGGAAAGCACTGAAAGCACATAGCGCTAAATAGCATGTGCAAGGCAGGCACCGGGCATTGAAGCACGCCCAGGAACCAGCGGAAAGTCCACAATGGCTTGATGCAAAGGAGCACAGCGCGGCCTCGTAACTTGCACCGGTTCAGGAGGCGTGAGCTTCAACATGAGCCGTGCGAGGACCGCCGCGGTCAAGAAGAAGAACATTCAATCCCCGTCCCGGCCGCAGTCCCAGAACGGTTTCAGACTGGTATGTCAGCAGAGGTCTTCGTGGTCTGACGGATATCCAGATAGTAATTGGCCAGCCTGTCGTAGTGAGATTATCTACAGGCCTTGCGGCACGGGCCGGCCTGGCCGTCTGAAAGCTTTAGGGGTTTAGGGGGCGCAGGGAGTCGGGACGTAATCAAAGAAGAAAGGGAAAAAGAAAAAAAATAAGAAGAAGCGAAAGAAGAAGAATATAAGACAAAGAAGAAGAAGAAGAAGAAAAGAAAGAAGAAGAAAAAGAAGAAGAAACAGAAGAAGAAGAAAAGAAAGAATAATACACAGAAGAAGAAGAAGAAAAGAAAAGAAAGAAGAATGACAAGACGAAAGGGTAAAGGAAGAAAAAGAAGAAGAAGAAAACAAAGAAGAAGAAGAAGAAGAAAATAAAGAAGAATGAAAAGAAGAAAAGAAAGAAGAAGCAGAAGAAGAATAAAAGAAAGAAGAAGAAAATGAAGCATAATAAAAGAAAAGAAAGAAGAATAACAAGAAGAAAGGGAAAAGGAAGAAAAAGAAGAAGAAGAAGAAAAGAAAGAAGAATAACAAAAAGAATGAAAAAAAAAAGAAGAAAACAAGGAATAAAAAGAAAAATAATAAGAAAAACAAATGAACAGGAAGCAGAAGAGAAGAAAGAACAGGAAGCGACAGCCGAAACCCTCATATAATCCTCTGCGTGCGCGGGCGCGGGCGCGGGCGCGGGCGCGGGCGCGGGCGCGGGCGGGGCGCGGGCGGGGCAGCAGCGGGGGGGGGGGGGGGGGCAGCAAGGGCAGCGGGGGGGGGAGTCGGGCATGCACTGGAGCCCTTCACTTCAAAAAACACTTCATTTCAGGGTCGGGAAGGGGTGAGGTAAAGGTAAGAGGTGAGGGCGAGGGTAAGGGGGCGGGAGGGCGGCAGCAGCGGGGGGCGGGAGCAGCAAGTGTAGGGGCAGTGTGGGGGGGAGGCATGGACAAAAGCCCCTAAAACACGGTAAGGGGTGTGGGAGGCGGGGGGGGGGGACGGGGCCAGCAAGAGCAGTGGGGGGTCCCCTATAGCGGGGGCGGGGCACGCACTGAAGTTAAGGGGTTCAGGGCAAGGGGTGAGGCGGGGGAAGAGTGAGAGTGAAGGCGAGGGTAAGGGGTGCGGGAGGGCGCGGGGGGCGGGGAGGCGGCAAGAGCAGTGGGCGGGGCAGAGTCGGGCATGCACTGGCCCTTAAAACGAGCGTGGGGAGAAGCCGGGGTTGGGGGCGGGGGCAGCAAGGGCAGCGGGGGGGGGGGGGGGGGAGTTTGGCATGCACTGCAGGGGCACGGCGGGGGCAGCAAACGGGGCAGCGGGGGTGGGGGGATCAGGTATGCAAGGGTTCAGGGCAAGGGGTGAGGTAAAGGGGGGGGGGGGGGGGGGGGAAGGGCAGCGGCGGGGGTATGGGTCTTCACTGCCACCGCCCCGCTTTCGCTGGCGTCGGCGGACATTGCCAATGATCAGACTGAATTCTTGAGGGCATGCGGTCAGCAACGAGTTTCGGACCGCCTCGGCGGGCCGGCCCACTGCGGGGAGCAGATAGCGGCCCCATGCTCGAGTCCGGGTGGGTCCGAGGGTCCCAGAAAAATGTCAAGGAGCAGGTTGCGTCTTTGTTGGGCGCCCTCTTTGTTGGAGCCGCCCACAGGCAAAACCCCCCACGGCATCGGTTTGTAGTTCCGCAAGTTTCAAGAAGGCGGGGGGGGGGGGGGGGGAAGGTCCTCGTCTGATTGTTGTAGACGCCTCCGGCCAAAAGCCGAGACGAACTGGATTCAGAAAGTGCAGAGCCTATAGCCTGAGGTTTTGGCTAAATGTGTATAATGCTTGGGGCTGCCATTTCTTCCTAAGTAGACGTGTCCTTTCCATGTGTTGATGAGTTACTTAGTCGAGTGTAGCAAGCCACCTGACGCAGGAACCGGAAGATGAATCTGAAGAACAGGCGTGGAGAGTTGCCGTGTGAAGCGCAAAGATGTAGACTACAGCTACACATGTTCTTGTAATGACGCTGCAGGTGCCAATGTCGACAGGGAGGCAGCATTGCATGCGGATTCTACACGCGGGGCTGCATTTTTCTACACCTTCCAACTTAAACCCTAAACCGCCTGAACCCCATACCGGCAGGATGCGCCGTGCTTGCTTCCTCGTGATGGCAGCCGTGGTCGTAGTTGTGCTGCTGGCCACCTTGGGCCTAGCCTTCCTAGGTGGGTATTTCCAAACATAGGATACCCCTTATATACTCGCCAAATAGATTGTAGTCCCCTTTAACTACAGTTTTTTAAGGTGCCCCCAAAATAGGTACCCTCATTTGGCGAAAACCCCCCCAGGTCTGCTGTGTCTTATGGCATTACCACTGATCCTCTGTGCACGCAGACGCAAGGATGCAGATTCCAAGTTTCTGATCGTCGCAGTCATGCTGGGAATGGTGATCTTTCTTGTGGGCCTCATATTTCTGTCCACAATATACGTGATCCTCGGCCCTTTGCTTCTAACGGCTGTCCTGGCCTGGGACCTTCAATCCTTGGACTTGAAGCGGCCCAGCACGATTTGCCTCACGCTATGCTTCGGCTTGATGTTTACGTGGTGCTGCTGCACCTTGTCCTTCCCCTGGATGTTCTGGATATTGCAGGATTACCTAGTGCCAGAGTATGTCATCTTGCTCGGATTCTTTCTTGCACAGATGCTCCTCACGGCAGCTCTGCTGCTGCTGGCATACATGGGACCGCCAGGCAGCTTCTATGCAAGCGAGAAAGTTGAGGACATGCACTGGGGCGTCTTCTCCAGGCTCTCCTTGAGACTTTGTGGTCTCGCGATTGATTGGCACACTTACACAACTCTCCTGTTCAATCTTCCTTCTGTGCAATTTGTCCCACCCGCCTTGCAAACGTACGTTGACAGATTCATCGTGCGCCCTTGGGGCCTGCTCAGTGAATTGCGTGATAGTCAAGACACGAACTTAGCTGGACTCTTGGTGATCATGGCCATTCTGCTGCTGGGCATCCCTGCGTTCTTGATGTTGTCCATGTTCAAGGAGGACACCTTCAAGGCAGCGCGCAAGATGCGAGGCACATCATTCCTTGTCCCTGTACTCAGCATGGTCCCCCCACCTGGGGACGCAGTGGATGCTGTAGAAGAAGTGTGCGGCGTCATGCTCCTGCCCTGCTTAAGTTGCTTCCTCAGGATTCTCGCTTGCAAGGGTGATGACTGCAGGGTGGGCTTGTCCCGTGAAGCCGGCAGCTTCTTGGCCAGTGCGCTGCTCGCCTCCTACCTGCCCTTTGTCTATGCCGGGGGCGTGTGGATCCGATTGACAGATCCGCACCATTCCAGACACCGTTCAGGTAGCAAACTGGTAAAGGCTGCGGGGCATCTGCTGTTGGAGAGGCCTCTGAAGGTGCTTGTGGTTGGAGTGATGATTGCTTGGCCATCAGAATTCCCTGATGTAGCCTGGACTGCTATTGCACTCGCAGCTTCCACCGGACTGGCCTTGAGCAGTCGGTATATTGGTGCCAGCAACCATCGGGGCTTTAACCACCTTCACGAGTTTGTTTGCTGGTCGATGTGCCTCAACACTGCCATTGGCTTTGTTGTCACATGCTTGCATGATGCGAAAGTTCTTGAGGTCTCTATTCTGCCAGCTGTGGCTTGGCTCATTCTGCAAATGATTCTCTGGCAGTGCTTCTACGGTTCCCTTGCAGATCAGGGAGTGGTAGCCGGCATCTTTGTAGCGAAGAGAAATCAGGCTGCACTGCGGCGATGTGTCCGTTCCTGTGCGTTCTTCACATCTCTGGGACTTCTGCTTCTCTGCACGTTTACGAACGTCCTGGTCGACAGCCTTGGTGTCCACCTCGAGGAAACCTTCAACTACAGCTCGAACTTTAGCATTTACATGGAGGACTGCTCCCTCATCATTGTGCCGTGCAATCAAGTCCCAATTGGGGAACAGAAGGCTAGGTGCAAGTCCGGGGAGGCGGGTGGGATCATCAGACTGTGGACGGGCGTACAGGACCCTTTCCCCCAAGAAAATCGTATTCGATTCCACGCAGACAACATGCTGGGCAGTATGAACCATCCGGTGCCATCCAAGGATGCTCTCAATTACAAGACATGCGAGATCCTTATGTGGACCGAACCAGGGGACAGCCTCGAGATTTTCAGCGCAGGCTCTAGCACGATATACATCAACACCTCTCTGAGTGCACTTACTATCCGTCATCTCAGGAAGCTCGACGGTGGTGCCAATGCCAACACTGTTAATGCTTCCGGGAATGCTTCCGGGTGCCCGACCCTGCATTCATCTGTCACAGTGACTGGCGTGCAAAACTTGTATTTCTGGTCTGAATGCCCGAGCAACTTCTGGGCTGTGCTTGAGAAGAGCTCAAGCCCACATAGCTTACTCAACTTGACGGTCAACATCAGCCACGCTGAGCGCAGCAACGTGGACATCAGGTTTACGGGCGCGCAGGCTGGCAGCATTGTGGACTGCCTGGATCTTGAGAACTTCACCTGCCTCGACACAGAACTGGCACCAGACCCTGCTTCCCCTGTTACTTGTGGCAGCAGCAGCAGCAACCCAGACCTTGTCATGCTGACTGATTTGAAGAATGCACACCTTGCAGTTGGAGAAGACCAGGAGCAGAGGCTTCTGAAGATCCCTGGCAACCTGCGCAACCGCACGCGCACGGAAATGCTGAAGGCCCTCACCAGGAAGACCTTCACTGTCTTCAAGCGGGGATCGCTCGAAGAAACAGCCTTTCTGCAGCCGACAGCTTGCCCAACATTCGTGCATCTGCCTTGGCAGACCCTGAAAGGGATGAAGCCCTGGTGGATCGTGGCCTCGTCCAGTGGATTGTTCCCAAGTCGGCCATCTTTCGTTGAATTGGAGTACGAGGGCTGTGCCGAGCCGCGTGGCCCAGCGGAGCTTCTGGCAGAGACACTTCCACACGTTGCCCTCGTCCCTTCCGCAGGCAGCGGGGAGCTCTATGAGACAACATGGGTGCTCTTTACGACTACGGGAGGGTATGACGACATCCCTTTAAGCGAAAACGCTTGGGCAGTTCTTGCTATTACACTGTGCGTTCTGGTTGCGCTCTGCGTTGGTCTTGCTGGTGGATTCGCTGCCATACTTGGAATGCGCTACTTGGGTGACCGCATAGTGCCCGCAGCATCGCAGCAAAGCATCCGCTCCCCATGGCAAGCCTTTCGCGTACTACAACATCTCCCGTGTTTTTGGAGCTGCCTTTCTTCCGGTGTGGCCTCTGGCGTGGCTGGTGCTGAGAATGTCATGTCCGAGCTCTTGTCCATGCCGCAGGTCCTGTTGCGATCCCGGCAAGAAGCGGAAGACCTCGTTTCCGCAACGACCATTTGGGACATGCTGGATTCCAGTAGACGAATCTCCCAAAACAGCCAGACAAACCCAGCAAGCCCTGAGTATGACAGATTGTGGCTTGAGTTTCTTGAGATCGTCAGCCAACATAGACAGCGGCGGCAGAGTTTCGCCGATGTGGCTTTGAATCTGCACCGGAAGCAGAAGGTGATGAGAAGGTTTCAAAAGTTCCGGAACACAGTGCAGAAAGTGAATCTGAAGCAGCTCAAACGAGGTGCTTCCATGAATCTGCAGGCTCTCAGACAAGGTCGGGACAAGCTGCACGTTATCCAACGTCTCGAAGCACTTTCACCAAAATCAAGAAGTTTCGAGCGGCTGCCTCTTCGGCCGGACGAGCCGGAGCCCATTGAGCCCAATTACGGCATTAAAGATCTTGATGAGCTTGTGTCCGAACTGAAGCAAGATAAGCGCAAAGGGCAGGAAGCAGTGGCCGATGTGGCAGCCAACATCAGGGACATCTTACCTCGCGCGCGTTGGGCCGCCACAAGGCGATTGAAGGAACTTGCCCAACTTGCCCAACTTGCCCAACCCACCGCGCAGGACCAAGCCGATACCCTTGGCGACTTGAAAATTCAGCCTGACTTGCTGAAAGAGTCGCTGGAAATGGTTCTGCCCGACCTGTTCAGTGCAGTCACTGATGATGCCCCTAACGTTGGAGAGAACGCAGCCCTTGCACTGCACGCTGCCCACATGGCACACATCTGCTCCGACGGGTTGAAAGTTGCAAGTGCTGTGTCACAGGCTGCAGTGCGCAATGTGCTCCTTACCAGTACGAGCCGTACGAGCTGTGCAGATAGTACAGACGCGGATGACAACATCACGAGCCTCATCAATGCCATGAGTGACCTCAAAGTTTCTGAGAGCAGAAGCATGGTCTATACCATTCCTGCTTTGATGCAGATTGCAATCCTGGGAGCAAAAGACCGCACGCCCATCAGCGATCTTGCCGTCAGTACATTAAAGAAGTTCTGCGAGTCAGAATCTCAGAAGGAGAAAGACCAATGTGATGTCGCAAGAGCGAGGTATGCGTTCAGCCATTCTGTGTCTCTCAGCAGCGCCGCTATGCAGCTGCCAGCGATGAATACTTCAGAGCCGAAAAGCTCCAGTCACGGACCGTCCGTGCGGTCACAGATGCTGTCGCAGCCCAAGGCCATGAAGAACGTTTGCTGTCGCCGGTGCAGGACACGCACAAAATCAGCGGAGGAGAGGGTCTACCGCCAGCAGCTGACCCATCATGAGGCCAGTCGCCTGGTAGATGCGATTTCCCGCTACCAGCAGATCACACGACCACAGGTGACAGATCTCTTCGACATGACGGGCACGGAGACGAAGAGGGCCTTCCGTGCCTTCGGCATCAACGTGAAAAGCCCCGAGGACTTTGAGCATCCCGAGGATTTACAGGAAGGTGTGACGCTTGTCCTGGAGTCCTACCAAAAGCCTCGGCATGTCAATCTCTTCGCCATTCAAATACTTGCACAAAGAGCAGAGGCTTTGCAGACAATTATCAAGAATGGTCCACCCCCAGCTTCATCGGATCGGAAGGTGAGACTCCGCTTGCCACATGTGGTCCCAGTTTTCCGACCTGGATGGCTCCAAACGGACCTCTTGTCAGGATTATTTCACGCCTTCATTTGCGTGTTCTTCTCCTTCTGGCCCTGTGGTATCGCTTTGGGCTTGGCCCTGGCTGCGGAGCCCTATGGACATTGGGCACCTCGGGAGAGACTGTCGAGCCTGTATGTCTTTGACAGAGTGAACCTACTACCCTGGCGACTTATCACCATGGAGCCGCCTTTCTGGTACCTTGTTCCTTTCTGCATGGCTGTCTTTGCAGTGCTCTGCCTGAGCAGCCTCTGGGCCCACTGGTCTTCCTCTATTCCCAGCACATTCATGTACCTTGCAGCAGATGCCTTGAATCGCAAGACCGTGTTGCAGAAGCGGCAGGTCCTTGCGGACGGTGCTTTGAACCAGAACTCCAAGCATAGCAGCATAGCGCTAGACGCCTCTACAGGCACTAGCTGCTGGTCTTGCGTGTCATTCCTTTACCAGCTTTGTAACAGTGCAGTGATCGGCGTTCATGAACTTTGTCACGTATACCCCTGGATCTGTTGCGCCTTCATGGCCGCCGCAGCTTCCGCGTACGGAGCACTAGTCCTGATTTGGCTTGCAGTGGGCTTGTTGGTTGACAGCGCCCGCGTCGTGCCGCTGGTCACGTCACTTGTAAGTTTCGGGGCTCTGGTGGGACGGCGAGCAAGCGCCTGGTTCAGCTTCAAAGCAAAGGTGCGAGCAGAGCTTCAGGAGCTTGCTGACAACTTCTTGTTTCGCCTCGTTGGGGCGGGTGTGGCTTCGCTGACGCTCCCATCGGAAGCATCGCAGACAAGCTACGAGCGGCTGAGAGCTGGCAACGGCAATGACTCCGACTTGTTTGATGTCCTTGCTCGACAGCAGGGCGAGAGTGAGAAGGTCGTCAGTGTATTGCGGGCACGCCTCATCTACAGACTTTTGCTCTCGAAGGCACGCATCGATGCAGTGCTGAAGGACGTCGACGTGGAGTTCGTGATGAACATCGACGGATTCTTGAAGTTTCAGAAGGCAATCCGAGCCAATGTAATCCAATGCATGTTAAACCACTTGGGCTTGGACAACGCCTCGGGCTTTCGATTCTTGAGGCGAGTCTCCGTCTTTGCCTTCTTGCTCTTTACTGCGCTCTTGGTCGTGCTCTGGGCATTTCCGATAACGTCTTCTGGGGATGATCCTTTCGCGGTGATTTTTTCGGGCTTGATGCCTGCAGCACTGGGATTCGTCCTCAGTGGCACCTTGCCGTCGAGGCCAGAGAACCAAGATCTAGTCCAGAAACTGCAGGACTGGCTCACGGAGTGGCAGGTGCGGGCAGTGGACTTTGTGAGCCATTCACAAGTTGCGGCGAAGAATGCTGCTTTGGAACAATGCCCGGACAACCCCTTATTCCACAAAGTGAAGGCCTGGTTGCAGCGCCTGGACCTCTTCACTATTGGTGGCCTGGTTGAATCAGCTAGACTCTGGACCTCTTCACATCTGTTCACCATATCGCAGATTGCCTGACAGTGAGAAGTCGAACAAACCAATAGCAGCACCTGGGTAGCACACGAACCTGTGCAGACTTGCTGACAACTCCTAGACTGGTGAGAGGCTACGACGCAGGGCTGAGCCAGTAGGTCCCTGCTTCAGCGTGCAGCCTCTGGTGGAAGACCAAGTTACCAAAAAAAAATCCCTAAAGCGCATTGGTATGTCATTAAATGCAGGGTTGGATCTCCTATAATCTGCTTGTGCTCTCTTTTGGCCAAGGCTGCATGCTGGAAGAGCTCGGGGATTCGAAATCTTTCATCGACATCACTTTACATCCTGCGCTGTTATTGTCGAAGCTCTCCAAGTGGGAAGCCCAGGACCTTGTCCCAGCCTCCCTGTTGGATTCCTTGTGGTGCACCTTCGTCGACCAGGGCTTGGAGCTCCTGAACACCACACTGAAGACTCCCTTGCCTGAAAGAGTCGAAGAGGAACTGAAAAACTTCCGGCATTCGAAGCACTTTATCCTGCTGCTGAAGGATGCAGCCGATGCCAGCGGCAGCCTTTCGAACATTGATGGCCAGATCATGCAGTTGCTTTGCAGACTGTTGAGAGGCTTGATCATTGGTCTTGCCGAGGATGTTTTGCAAGACCTTTGGGATCGATTGCTGGTTTCTGTGTGTTTCGTCGGCACCAACTGTGGAGCGTCGCCGGAACTGCTTGCCAGATGCCGCAATCTGGACATGGCCTCTGCCAAGAGATGCCTTCAGATGGGCCTAGTGCGTGTGGAGAAAGATCTGGCGATTGCAGGAGCGTCCGGCTTGAGGTCCGTCGTCGAACAGCTGGCTTTGCAGGTCTTCACCTGCACGCTACAGTCCATGCTCCAAGAGCTGGTGGTCCATCCACAAGCAGCCACTGCTTTGGAATATCTCCTCGAGCTCCTAGACGAGGTGGAAACCTTCTCAGACCTACTGGACATCCTAAGAGACCCTAAGAAATGGATGCGTCTTGCTACTGCCGGTGGAGATATGGGCATCCACCTCATCGTCATGGGCCAGAAGCAGTTCTTGGAGCAAGCAGTCGGGAGAAGCCTTAACGAAGAGCAGGTCACGCTTCTTTGCAAGAGTTGCGGGACCTTCTTTGCTCAAGGCGTCGCCAAAGGCGGATTGCCTTGGATGATGGAGACGCTGAAGAATCCAGAGCCCTTAGCCCTGCACTTGCTGGACTTGGAGCTGGACCAGCTGATGGTTTTGGAGCCTATTTGGGATTTTGCGCAAAAGAAATGCCTGGCAAACTTCCCTTGGGCAAGGGACTTGCTTCAGGCGCCTCTGGAAAATCTTGGGCTGCAGGAGCTGCTAATGGGTGTACAGGAGGTCAGGAACCTTCGCCCACCCGGCCAGGCACTCACGGATCTTGGCCTTGTCCTCGTCAAGGGTGCGTTGCTTCAAGCATTCCCGCAGCTCAAGCCGAAGCTCAAGCCGGTACTGCACTGTGTGACATTACAGAGCATCCAGGGGCTGAGGATTCAACCCATGACCTTCACATCACTTCAGGAGCGCCTGGAGGAGCTTGCAGAGGGGCTCGTCAGTGACTTCGGCGAGGTGATCGTGGACCTGGCAATGCGGAACGTGCCGGTCGGTGCCCGAGTTGCCCGGGTTTGGCAAGTCTTCAAGTGCTGCTTTCGTCTTATAGGGTTAAGGTGGATGTAACACGTCCCCTAAGTGAGGATCAGATGGCCATTGGCGCCATGAAGTTTAGCCGCGAGCAAGTGCGTTCCTTCGCGAAGCTTTTCCTCGAGCAGAACGCCAAGGCCACCAAGGCCAGGGGGGAAACTCTGGGGCATCAAGAGCCATAATGAAAGGCCAGGATTGTGGCTTCACCTCGCTTACAGTCTCATAGTGCATGTTGTTGAGTAGATTGTACTTTGTTTTGTGCCTCCGCTCGGCAAGGCCTATGGCTCTCCATGGGCAGCTGCCGAGGCCTTCATGAAGGCGTTGTCACAACCCCACAGATTTCTGGACCTGATCCTGCAGCCGCTGCTTCAAAAGAAACTCCCAGAAGAGCTGGAGCCGGAAGCTCAGTCGTTTTGCTGGGGATGTTGTTGCAAACAGAATCCTGGAAACTCGGGCGGGGGGCGGGGGGGGGGTGATGTCATGTCAGGGAGTTGCTCCAAGATGTGTGGAAGAAGGCAATGAGCGCCATTCGAAAGATTGTGCCGGAAGATGGGTGCATTGCCGAGCTTCTCAAGGAGTTGCCTGAGGTGGAGTTGAGCATCGACCGCACGCAGTGTCTTCAGCAGGTCTTTGGCAGCATACGGGATATTCAGCAGCAGATGATGGCTGGCAGCATGGATGAGCTCTGCTTTCTGATCTTTAAGAGCGGCCTTGTGAGCCTCTGCGACGCCAAAAGTTCCAAGATACAGGATTTCCTGGGTTACAAGCTGGACAGGGGGGTGGCTAAATCAATCCTCATGAGCCTCACCCTGCCTGAGTTGAAGCAGCTGGTCTACCAGCTGGTGCAGGTGAAGGACAGACTCACACAAGCACTGACGCAGTTTGCCGTGTCGAACCTGGAGCTTGCCCTCACGCAGCTTGTCGCACATCATCTGGACGATATCCTCCCCAAAGAAGTCCAAAGACATTTCGAGCAGAGATTGGAGGTGGAGCATGTGATCGCAGTGGCAAAGATGCTCCGATCACAGAAGTTCGTCGAATGGACGAAGCCGGAGGAGATACTGGTGAGCGTGAAGAAGCTCCTCCAGGATCCCACAACCTTGCTGCTGAGGGTCCTTCAGGGTCCCATTCCGAAGGAGCTGCCCGGGCCTCAGTGGATCTCAGCGGATCGCAGCGGCGGCTTATGTAGAGCTTCGAATCTTCGAGTGGCTTAGACTCCGTAAGCTTAGGAAGGAGCTGTGCGAGCCCCTTCTGAATCTTGCGAAGGGCGAGCTCAAGAACTTCATGCACAGTGTTACTGGTGCTGCGGGTGTCAAGTCGGCCGACCAAACCTCGCAGTCATTGGCCGACAAGATTATGAGCAATTTAGAGGACATCACAATTGAGGAGCTACAAGACGTTTTTCGGAAGACCATCCGGCCGGGTAAGAAGAGAGAATACCTCCCATTCGTGTTTCTGAAGGCGGTCCTGCTTCATGCGGCGGAGGAGATAAGTGACCTGCTGCACCTTGAGGAGCGATTGCCCGAGTTCGATTTTGAGTCGGTCATCATGCCTCTTACTATGGCCGAGATGAAGAGGCTCCTACAACAGAATGACTGGGACGTTGTAGTAGAGACTCTCAAGGAGTTTGCGCGCAAGAACACCGAGCTTGTCCTCGCGATGGCCATCACAAAGGCCTTGGAAGAATCGAGCCTCGTCCTCCCGGAAGAGGTCCGCCCCTATCTGGACGCAAAATGCATCATAGCCAGCGCCAGGGCCCTGAAATCACACTTGAAGTTGACAAATCCCGCCGCTATGGTGGACAAGTTGAAGGACCTGCTTCAAGACCCTTGGGCTATGGTGCTGCAACTTCTCAAAGACCTCACCGAGGAGCAGGCGTCGCCACCTCAGCTGAAGCCCAGCCCGGAAAGGGTTGGAGGAGGAGGTGGGCAGCCTGAAAAAAACTCCGCAACACATGAATAGACTGGGGACACTATACACATTATATGTGTGTGTGACTACGTTGGACACGTCTTTGTGGCTTCCACCTGTCCGCACCAGCACGCACGAGGGGTTTTGATATCAGGCATCATGGTGCCATCTGGCTGAGGTCCTTGCTGGAGCCCTTGTGGATGGCAGCGGTGAAATGGCTCTTTGCATTGCTGGACGGCCAGATCGGCGTCCGCGAAGCGATGAAGAAACTTGGTGAGAAGAACTTCTTCCACTGTGTCCCCTCGCTCCTGCAACAGCTGAAGCAAGCAGTGATCACAAAGGGAACTCAATGCCTCCAATCTTGGGAGGAACTTGTGCTGCTCATGCTAAGAGTCTCGCTTCTGAGTCTCGAGGATGTTTTTGAAGAACGTCTTGGCCGAAAAGGGCGTGTTTGTGTTCATTGCATGCTGCAGCAAACAACTGCAGCCGACTTGAAAAAGGTGTGTGCCGACTTCTACCAGGAACCAGAAGCAACGCTGGAGCGTTTCACAAGCCACCTTGACATTGATGTAGCAATCATGCTTGCGGTTGCCACGTGCCCCCAACTGGGCCAACTCGATGATGCCGGCTACGATGTGGCGGGCATTGCCAAGCTCCTGGTCAGCTGTTCTGACTCTTTCGAGCTGTCTCGCTTGCCGTCAATGCTCTCCGACTTGCTCCAAGGTCCCAGTTGGGGGATAAAGTCGAGAGAAAGCACATTTGAAAAGATAGGAAGTGATAGGACCAGAACCGCAAGATAACGAGACTTCGCCCTGCTCCTCTTGAAAAGGTGATCCTGAAGGGTCCTGGGCGCTGTTGCTGAGGCTGCTCAGAAAGGTGGAAGCTGATCAGCTGCTCCTCCGCCTGTATTTGGACTTCCGTTTGGACTTCCAACTTCCATATGAGCTTCCTTTTCATCTTTTCGCTCCATGCCCCTCCGTGACCCCCTGTGTGCCGCCATTCTCGTTGCTGTCATGTGTGTTTGTGCGCGTGCGTTCCAGTACTTCTCGGAAAGTCGAACCCTTATCTATGATGCAATTTTAACGCTACGCAACCCACCTCGGCCTGGTCCAGTGAGGGGGCGGTGGTGCGGGGTCGGGGGGCAGTGGGGGAAGGGGGGTGGGGAGGGGCGGGGGGGGGGTGGGGTGCCTGTTCTGACAGCTCTAGAAACCTACGGTTCAAGGCCTCGGCGGATTTTATGCCTTGTGCATGACAGTCTTGCTGTCCAATTGACCCATTTCGTGTGAGGTCGCCGTTGGAGGGTATTTGGGCCAAGGCGCGCGACAAGGTCTTGATCCTGTGGAGCTCTTGGAGCTCTGCAGTGGAGGCGAAGCTGGAGGCAGGAGTCGTCCAGGTGCTGAAGGAGACCACGCTGAAGGACGTGCACCTGCACTTGAAAGTTGCAGCAGAGCAATATACAAGCTACGACGCTGTAATCCTGAAGGCCGTCCTCTTGTACCTGCAAGCCGGCGTGAAGCCAAAGCTCCAAGCAATGCTTGAAGACAGGCCAGGGCTAGAGAATTTCTTTCGCGAGAAACTCCGCGCCTTCGACGCAGTCGAGATCACGGATCTCCACGCGGCCATCCGCGCGGTCAGGAGTTTTGATTGGACGAGCTTTGCTTGCAAGAGCAAGCTGATTTTGGCTCGTTTTCAGGTTTCATAATGTTTCAAAAACCGCTCGCTCACAACAGGGAACAAAGCATGTGCACATACGCTGTCTTGGACAGGGCTTTCCCGAAAGACCTCACCAACCCCGCGGAGTGGCTGCCCAAGCTGCTGAATCCTGGAAGCTGAGAGATTCTGATTTTGGCCAACTTTCGGGTGGTTGGGGGTCTAAGAGCCTAGGACTCAGTGAGAACCCATCTGAAGCTGTTTTTTGACCCCAAACCCTATACCCTAAACAGGAACAACCTGGCCGTGGAGCAGCTCCGGAGCTTGGCCAAAGATGCTTGGAAGGCGACTTTCAAGGGGGCTTTTGAGGCTTTTGAGGTCAGATTTTTACCCACATCCCCGGACCCCTCTTGAACGCATTTGAAGGCCTTAAGTAAACCATCTCAGGACCTGGAAGTGGAAATCCAAAGCCTTGACCTCGAGAACCTCAGCAGTCCCTTGAAGCAGCTCTTGGCCAACATTTGGCCACCGCAGCTACGAGGACTTCTAAAAGATTCGAAAGCTTTAGTGAGCTCAGCCAGCTCAGCCAGCTCTCTTCATCGGCTTCCGGAAGAGTTGGCTAAACGCTTGCTTGGTCAAGCAGTTGCTAATGCTAAAGAACCCCATGCCAACATTGCCATTGATGACCTCTACGAACTCAGCGGCGCAGAGTTGTCCAAGGTTCTGGAGTCCGCCGGAGAGTTGGATGCGGGTATGGTAGGAGATTCCGGGAGCTGGTTGCCGAAGTATTCGAGGAAGTTGCTCAGGCAACTTGCCGACGAAGTCATGGAAGCGGGCGCCTTCAATCTCGATGACAAGGAAGTTAACCAGCTCATCGCCACTTCTTTAAGCTCGGAGGCGTGGCGTGAGTCTCAAAGGCTATCGAAGGGCACCCCATGACCCTTCTTCGGATACACTTACGTTTCCCAAAATTAGGGTACCTTGTGTTCCTCATAAACGGATTATTGCATTCATTTGTGGAAGATGGAGGCCATCTCATCCATCTCCAGCCTTCAGAAGCCAGCCAGATGGCTACAAGACCGCCTTGAGAAATCGGCCCAGCAGTTTCTTAAGAAGTTGGCCACGAAGCTGTTGCAAGATAGCGTGGAGATCTTGAACGGGGACGCTTGGTTTCATGCTTGGTGGGCAAGATGTATACATATATACGTATACATATACACATATATATGTATGTATGTATGTATGTATGTATGTATGTATGTATGTATGTATGTATGTATGTATGTATGTATGTATGTATGTATGTATGTGTGTGTGTGTGTGTATGTATGTGTGTGTGTTTGTTGTATTTTTACCTATGTATATATATATATATATATAAATATAAATGTAGATCCACCTTTGCTACCCTCATATGCATTAACGTGTGCCTGAACATCAGCGAGCCCACTGGAATATCTGAGTTTCAGTATTCACAAAAGCCAAGATCCAAGATGCCTTGCGCAAGACCCTCTGGCACTTTCGATCACGCAATCGGGTTTCAATCGCCCAATCGCAGCGCAATCTGGAAAAACCGTGATCTCATGAATTCAGTATTCAGGGGGCTTAAGTCCCAAGATCCAAGATTGTGGGGACTCTAGAATCCGAATCTCAGATCCTCCGAAACTTATGAACATACAGAAGTACATCAAAAGATCAATACTCTGAGATCCAGGATTTTGGATCGCTATGTAAATGTATATGTTTTTATTCTATACGGATATATATATATATGTACTTGTATATTGTACATACACATATTAAGTATTTAGTTGTTTGTTTTGTGTCAGTCGAAAAGTTCTAGTATTGTTTAAGAACAAAACCCTAAACCCCAAATACGTTCCAAGGCCATTGCGTCGCTTGATCTGGAGAAACTTCGGTCTGACCCTACAAGCACTGTCCCTGCGTCTATGTTGGGCATGCTCAGGGTTTAGGGTTTAGGGTGAATTCCTTCCTGTGTGCATGGATGGCCCTAAACTACTTCAATTAACATAAAGCGGGCAAGCTTTCCCAAAGAGTCCTGGATTCGATTTACCTAACACTGGTGATCGAGTTGTGGCAAGTCTGTCCTCTGCATTCCAGGAGCCGCAAAAATAGCAAAATGAACGGTTACCATCACAGAGTGGGCAGAAGCTTTGCCTACCAATTGGACTTTTTTCCCTGAGGCCAGCCAGTCGCGCAGCTTGGTGAAGTATTTGGATTATCTGGGATGCCTGGATGGGGAACCTGGGCCGTCTTTGACTAATTACTGCCGGTTTCGTCTGTTTTCGGTTCCAACCAAGCATAACCTGATCGTTGTTTGACATTTGAGGCCGAGTATTCCGTACTACGCTGATTTTGTTGCGGCACTTTTGGTCACACAAGAAAACTCATCGCTTAAACGAGAGCTGGCAAACTTCCAAAAACACTCACCGGATTACTCGGGCTGTTTGGCACACAAGGAAAAGCTCGACGAGCCTGCTAAGTGGCTCCCGAGAGTTCTCGACAAGCTGGCTGTGGCTGGAAAGAAGTTGGCAGCTTACAACTTAATGGTTCAAGCCCATGGCAATTCTCATCGAACGGTCTACGTAACCACAATATTATGTTTCATTTGAGTGCGAACGCGGCTTGCCAGCAGGGGTCAGCCCACGACATTGCAGCACCCATTCAACTCTGCATCACCCAGGTTTAGTAGTATGTGCACAGAGACAGGCATCACAGACGAAACCATGCGCAGCTTGCACTACCAAGGATGTCATAAGAAGCAGTACGTGTATTTGGCAGGTATGTGGGAAGAATGTCTCCATTTGAGCCCTTAAACCTTAAACCCTCCAAGTTCACGACATTCTGTCTTGAAATGGTTTGAACAACGAGAGAAAGTAGTCGAAGCAAGCTGATCCGTTAACTTCTGCGCGGGCAGCCTCAGAACTCATAGGATTGGCTTGTCTCAGGCCTCTTCAGCCCTTGTGGAAGGCGATGGTCTCGAACATGCCGGAAGACATAGCGAAGTACTTGGAACGATGCTCCATGGAAAGTGCCTTGCCTAAAGCGTAGTCCCTTTGACACTTGGTCACAATGAGAGGACCTGGTTCAGGCAGCGTTTGCATGTCTCTATCTGTTTCCATGAATATGAGCTATTCTTGTCAATCTTCCAACTGTCTCCGCAATAGGTTTCTTGCCGATCTTCCAGCGTATTTATTTACTGTCTTCCGATGACGAGCTCACACTCGAGCACTTTCCGCGGCTGCTGCTGAAGTGCACCCTGTTGTGCCTAGAAAAGGAGCTGTCTTGAAGTGCCTTGAAGCTGGAGGGACCTTGAATCAAAAGCATGTCTCACAGCTTGCCAGAAAATTTGCCAGGATGGCATTCTGGACTCCGACCCTGGGACGTATCGTCTGGGCACACGTCTGTTGCTGGAGCCGTTGCTGAACTGGATTGTGACCAAACCGGAGATGTTGAAGGGACTGCAGGGCGCACATCCTTTCGAGCTTGAAAGCACGTTACGGGAGATGCGGGAAAAGGTCAGAGAATGGGCTACGCCAAAGCTCGGCCATCACGTGAGTAGCATGCATGCCGACTACCTTGACGTCCTTTTGAATACGATCGACTTGAGCGATCTCCTCGCAAAAGGAGGCACTGCTTCAGGATGTGACGTGGATGCAAGGCAGCGTCATGGGCCCTCTCTCTCTCTCACTCACTCTCGCTCTTTACTCTTTCATGAAGTAAAGTGGTACCTGCTGAGGCCTTGGTCTGAAGACCTTTGCCCAGATGCTGGTGCGGCTTCCAGCCCACCTCCAGGTGGGGGCTGGTAGAGTAGCATGAGTTAGCTGTCACATGTCCACGACTCGTGGTCAGGGCCTTGGCCCTCTTTGGGGCGCAGCCAAGGCTGCGCTGTGCAACCAGGATGGTGAAGGTACTAGCTGAGTTGTTTCGCCTTAGTGACATATTGTGAAATGGTGCGAGCCGCTTGTGGAGGACTCTATGCAGCTGGCCAGAACCTACTGGAGATCACTCCAGCAACTACAGCTGCCGGAAGTGGGTCCATTGCTCCAGTCAATCGTCCATGCACACGCCTCACCAGAAGAACTGTTGGCAAGTCCTGGTCACGGGGATGGTCTTGCGATGCTTTGTGGCAGCCTTTTGGTGACGTGCAGTGAGCAGATCCAGCGCGCAGCACGGACACATCATTTCCTCTTTGACACCAAGATCCTGGAAGCCCTCATGACGTCAGCTCACTTCCTTCGCATTCAGCAGTTCATGAAGATCGAGCCGAAGTGGTTTTTTGCGAAGCTCAGAGACCTTGTGTCGAAAGACGTTGAGCAGCAACTGAAGAAGTTCCACCTGTCCCAGGGGGACCTTCTGCCCTTGCTCCTCCTGGGTGGGCAGGGCAGTGTGGAGCCGCTCCAAAGTACCAGGCCCTGCCACACCATGCGTACACCAAAAAGGATCATGTCTACTGGTCTACTCGAATCGGGCGCTTACACACAGACATTCGCAGTTTGCTGGGCGGGGCGCAGCAAAAGCAAGCACTAGCAAACAGATCAACCTTGCCTATGGACACCCACTTGAGCCGGGCCAATGCAAAAAATAGGCGCCACGGGCCCATGGGCCACTTAACTGTAAACAGGACACGCGAGGTTTGCTGCAAAGTAGATGTTGGCTGGCAAGGCCCCAAGCCCGAAAAGAGGATCCCTAATCAAAAAAGGGGCGTTGGCTCGCAAGCTACTGAACCCTAAAAGGAGATGTTGGCTGGCAAGCCTACGAAACCTAACGAAACCTGAACGGGGATCTTGGCTAGCAAGCTTCTAAACGCTAAAGTAGGTGTTGGCTTGGTTGCCCGAAACCGTCAAACGAGATGTTTTGGCAAGCCCCACGTTGGTGTTAGCATACGAACGGAAAAGCTGTAGAGCATACTGGTAGTCAGGTAGTCATACGCATCTTGTGACCCACGGATATGCCAATTGCTGCTTGCAGGTGCCATGAGATTTTGAGGCAGCTTGTGAAGCTATATCGGCTGGATATGGACAAGGGACCCCAGCAGGGGAAGAACCTGCAAGTTCAGGTGCAGCAAGTTCAGTTGCAGCAGAAGATGGAGGACTGGCTGAGGGAACCCGAGGCGCAAACACGAGTCCCAAAGCTTTCGAGTGTCGCTGAGGTTGCCCACCAGCGCCAGACATAACAACAGCGTAAAAGCCAGCTCCTAAAGCAGTCTGTCGTCTTCAAGAGTCTGCACTCTGCTGATTCCTTGGTCTCAGGCCAAGGTGATTCTCTTGTTGTCGATGCGGAAGAAGATGTCTTCCTGGGATGTGGCTTGGGAGGACAGCTTACCCTGAAGAGAGGTCAAAGTAGAGCTGCGAATGCTGCAGACAACTTGTCTGCCTTGCTGCAACTCCATTGTCCTGCTATGTTGTCTGATTTTTTGAGAGCATGATCTGGAGGGACCGCCGATAACTTCCTGCAGGACATGCAGGGGGTCATCCAGGCGTTGGATTCCCTTGACAAGCAGGTGCTGGAGATGGTGGAAAAAGCTGACGACTCTTGGGTGAAGCTTCTAGGTCTTGAGCAGGGGGGAGCAGCCTCCCGCAGCGCCAAGTTGCTTTGCCTGGCCAAGCGCCGTACGGAGCTCAAGCAGGCGCTGGAGCTTGCGGACCCGTGCCTCAGCTGGGCTCGCTTCCGGGATCGGCTCGCACAGTCCAGCCTCTCCCCGGCGGCCCTCCGGAAGGCCGATGCCAATCGGCTCGTTCAGCAATTTCAGCACTTGAGCCGCGGCAGGGTGAGGTGAGGCAAGCAAGGGGAAGAGCCCTTCAAGGGTTCTTTGCAAATCTCGGCGCGTGAGTGCTTTCAATGGCACAAATCTTCTCATTGTCTTGCTTTGTACCATGTACCGGGTGTGGATTAAAATGACTACTGATCCGACGCTCTGATCCGCCGGACTCAGTCAACTAATTCTGAACGGCTTGACGATTTCTCGAAACGAGAGTCTGCGAGCCGCAGTGTTCGAGCCATGTTGGCTGCAAAGGTCCTTTTGCACGACCCTGGGCAGCGAAAAAACGCTTCCGCACCGGCCCGAATGCGCCAGGCATGGCCACTAGATCACGTCTTCTGGCATGTTAGCATTATACGTAGAAGACCCTGACAGCTCACATCTCGCGAAGAGCATCGGAGCTGTCGAAAGCCGCGCTTCGCTTGGTAAACTGTGACCAGGAGACTGTGGCGGCACCCTTTTGAAGGATCGGTAGCGAAAACGCTACGCCTTTATTTTTGAACTTTCTAGCCACCCCAACACCAAACACCCTGACTCCCTTCACCCCCACGTGCCAAAACCTTCAGAAGAGCGGCTTTAAACGCGCTAAATCACGACAAGCTTTTTGATTCGTACATATTGTATAAGTACCCATGCGCTCTGATCTGGACTGAGTGAACTCTCGAAATGAGAACTCTCGAGATGCACTGATACAGCGGTATCATGAGGTACTCATGTACCATGCTGGCTGTGAAGGCCCTTTTGCAAGATCTTGGGCGGCGAAAACGCTACCCGCTGGCCCAATGTGCCAGGCAGGCCTAGTAGATCACGATCTCAGGCATGCTTGCACTTTGAGCACCTGACTGCACTGATTGAATCCACGGCCTGGCATTAAAGCCTGCGTGCATGCCATTTGACAGCACGAGACCTCCGGGCCTGTTTGCACCGTGCTCCTTCCCTCGTGATCCATGATAGGAACTTCAGGCTTCGTTCGGCTGCGATCGGTTGGGGTGCGCAGCCCAGGGGAGGAGATTCGCAGCAATGTGCCTTTCCTGTGCCTTCGCTCCTCCTCACGAACACACCAACACCCCAACAGACTAACACCTGGCCCTGACCCCCGAACAACCTTCACTTCAAGGTGATTTTCAAACCTTAAGTCCGAGCACCTTCGGCCCCAAACCTGGCAACCTCAAACCAAAATGTAGTAAACCCTCACGTAGTAAACTGGGCCTACTGTCGCTGAGTCCAGGAGCACAAAATGGCTCGAACGTCTCGAGACAGATCCGGGTTTGATCTTCTGATCCACAACCAAAAATGCTGCCAGTACTTCTTAGCAACTTGACAGAGAGCTCTTCTGTCTCTTGGGACGAGCATCGTTTGTTTAAAGAAATAGGGCATCGCATCGCGCTGCCTTCTTGAATCTCACACAGTCAGTGCATACAATGCTGGCTCAGAAGAAGAAGAATAGTAATGCGGCATGCCGACAAGGCCTGTCTCAGATTGTGCTGTGAAGGACCGAACCCATGTAGTGAGTAGCCTGTTCAGAAAGGGGCCATACATGCAGAAACACGTTGGTCTCGAAGTCCTTTCGCAGCTGGAACACGTGGACAGCAGCAGCAGTGCAAAAAAGTTCTGATTGCAAAGAGTGGCAGGGTGTGGACTCGTGATGGCCTTCACTCATGGTGCGACCGGCTGCAGCCGTGGCACTCACAGGGACCCAATCACATCTATATCTTTGTGCAGTTGAGTTTTTGTAGGCCGTGCCATGGACCACATCAGCAATCAGATGGATCAGTGATGGTCGGTATTTTGTTGGGGACACTGCTGATAGGGACGACTAGAGTGCGGTACCTGTCAACGCGATCCGAGAGAGAATCTAGAATAGCATTAACACGAGCACGAAGCGGCACCGTTACCACTTTAGCATGCTGGTACCCCATTTGCCGGGGGTTTGTTGTCTACACCTTGGTGGATAAGCAGCTTCGCAATTCTTGTCCTTGCCTGGCTGGCGCAAGTTGCATTCCTCCCAGTCAAGAAATATCCAAAGATGGGCTTCGTCGTGACATCGATTAACGGGAGAATGCCAGCCATGGCAGCAGGTTTCGATACCCTCAAGGACATTATGTTTGGATTCGAACAATGGCTGGACCCAAGCAAGGGGTGGGTGCCTGGGTCTGCGTGCTTGATTTCCACGTGGTTTTGTGCCGACAAGACAGGATGATAGCAGAACTGGCAAATCACTGGCTAGCTGTGTGGACTGTCTTGACGTGTCGCTTTCCGAAGCTTTGCGAAATCAACAGCAGGCCAAGATTGTGCCTGTGCTCTACAAGCAGCTCACCCCTGTGAAAAGGCGGCTCCTGCTTGTAGAAAACCTTCCGCAGGCCTTCATGGGTGCTGCCTACCTCTTGCTGGAAGCTGATGAAAGTGGCCAATCACGGTACTGGTCTTCAGTATTGCCGTGCCGACGCAAATCCTCACCTCACACCTCCTCTTTCAGTGCGCCGGCTTGCCGCGCCCTTCTATGCCAAGAAGCTCAGCATGGCTATACATCGGGGAGAGGCGGTTTGTTTTGTTAGATTCCCTGTTTTGTAGCATCATCTTGTTGACCTCCGACCTCCCGGTTTGTATTGTGGAGGCCGGTTGTATTTCTGCAGGGACAACATTGACCAGTGCCAGAGGAGATTGGCGTCCACGGACCATGTCCTGCAGAAGGACTCTAGTCTTCTGCAGATTGTATCGATGTTTCGAAAGCACGGTGGTCGCAGTGGGTTACAAGCGTGTTTCACCTGATGCCCATTGGATGCTGCAATTTTGTACACCATAAGAAGAACAATAGCTGGCGAAGCTCCTGGTGTAACTTAATACGCATTCACGGGTGCCCCGGTTCTGGTCGGACATCGGAAGCAGTTTCATTTGACATCGGCCTTCTCTGAGCGCAGGAGCAGGGAGACTCCAAGGCTTCATCAGCCAGGTGCCAAGCCGGCGGCGAGCAGCTAAGTCTCCGGGTCAGAAGGTTTCTGTCAGCGAGAGGACCCTAAGCTCGTCCAGGCCTTGGGAGGCAACGCTGCCGCTGCGCACAGCACCGCGCTCCCCGGCTTGCTCCTGAACCTGGGCAGAGCTAGCTGTGAACAAGAAGTTGCCCGGAAGTCTCAGACATGCTGCGGCCGGAAAAGTGGTTTCTGAACAGTGAGGCAGCCATTCTTTGTTTTGTCTCTTACCGTGGGGATCCGCGCATGAGTACATGGAAGCTCTTCAGACGCTCTTTGCTCGTCACGCCCGTTCTCTTGCCAGGCCTTTTTGCTCACGTGGTTTCTAGAGTCCTCTGATTTAGGAGACGCAGCCATGAAGATGATGAGAGTGAAAGTCATCTTGCTCCTGGCTGCAACTGCCCAAGGCAGCTTTTCCGGCGAGATGGAGTGCCCTTGTATTACAAGTAGCTCTGCTCTATATGCAGGCTTGACAAGTGATCTGGTGGCTTCAGGGCTGCCAATGAGTTATGGCACGCAAGGATGCGAAGCTTATGACAATGAAACCAACTATACCACGAATTGCCTGAAGAACTCGGAAGAGTACTGTTTGCATCAGTGGTGCTACGTCGATATGACGATGTGCCCGAAAGACAAGCAACTTTGCGAGGCTGCTGGGGGCAAGCTCGGCAGCGACGTCTCTCCCTACTGCCGTACCCGGCCCAACACCATGTCCAGCCTCTACGATGCCACACTACCGTACTTCTACAGCTACGAGACCTGCGGCTTCAAGAACAAGTACAACAAGACAAAACTCTACGAGCCCATCGTCGACCATGTCATGAAAGTGCAGTTGCTCGAGTCCAGCCCATGGCTCTTCAAGCGCGAAGACGGGACGACTTGGAGCGGGCCACTCTATGATTTCTTCACAGAGTCGCTGAAGCACTTTGCTCCAGCCCCTGCATTGAATCATGAAACAGGCAGAAACCGCTCAGATGGCACGGGCGCATACCCGGCCTGTGTTGATGATGTTGCTGTTGGGAACGTTGACGTCTGTGTGGCGGATCTCTGGGTCCTTCCAGAACGCTATGCGCTGGTCTTCTTTCTTCCAGCCTTGAGATATGACCTCTTCTACCTAGTCGTGGAAAAGAAAGGGCTCGAAAACGTGAGCTTTCTCACTCGTTTGCAAAGGCCCTTTGTGCCCTTTACCCTTGGGGGCTGGATGGCCATACTTGCCTTTCTGTGCGGCTTTGCAACAGTCCTTTGGCTCATACGGCTCGTTGAGAAAGCAAACGAAGCTCACGCAGCTCCCGAGGAGGAAAAAGCGATCAAGGCGAAGAGCCATTGTTTCGGCATCTTCGGCAAAGGCGGACGAAGAGGTGAAGCATTCACAGACTATGGAAACACATGCTTTGAAGTGTGGAATCACTTCTTCAGCCAGGGAATGGTCTACGAAGACCCCGACCATCCGCCGGCATACAGGCTGATGAGCCTCGCTTTTGTCTTCTTTAGCCTTGTGACGCTGGCAACCTACACGGCAAGCTTGGCAACGTTCCTCATCGTCGAGAAGAGCCCCGTTGGTGGAGTCGCCAATATCCAAGAAGCCATCCAAAACGACTTTGACATTTGCGTGCCAACGGCTTTGAAGCCATTGTTTTCGCAACTATACAGTAAGGGGACCTTTGTTGAGTGCAGCCAGATCGAAGACTGTCCCAAGCTCATGCATGCGGGCAACTGCAAGGCCATGATCTTGTCGCAGCAGGTCATTGACCGTCTGCATGCCGGGGAGATCAAAGAAGATGATGAAGACATTGGGCGTGATGACTGCAAATTCTTGCGTGTTGGGGATGTCCCTCTTTGGAGCATTCCAATTGCATTCCCGGTCGCAAGCAGCATGGCGCACGGTCTGTCATGGTCTTTCACACAAAGCCTGGCAACTGGAGTTATGGAGGAGATGAAGCTTAAGCACAGTAGGAACTTTCCGGAAAACACATGCCAGGCATCTAGCGAAACCGAGCAACAGGCCTTGAGCTTTTGGGATCTCAGCGGCACAATCTTCGTCACCATGATTCTCATGGGGCTGGCTGCCCTCCGCCTTGTGTTGCGAACATGCTGCTGTTCTTCAGGCCTTGCAAGGCGCCCGAAGGAATCGAAGTTGGAGGACAGTGAAATTAAACGGCCGGCGGCAGCTTGGCAAGGCCCCTTGCCATGCTCAGAGCCCCATGCCATGATCCCTTGACTAGAGTTATAACCAGGGTTCCAGGCGAAGAAGCCGTGCATGTAATGCTGAGTTTGTGGCCGCAGCCCTTAAATGAGACTGAACGGGGCCAATTCGCATTTTGCAGAAGATATTACATGACTTTGCATGACTTTGCATGACGTTTGCGAAGCAATTTCGTCAGAGACCGCCAGGGACTGAGCCGACCTCGTAGATCGTAGAATTCGGTGACGGAATTGTTTTCGTGACACTGTACCTCGAGTGGTTCGTTCCTTAGTGGGCAAGGTTGTGATCTTTTCAAACCGTGGCCGCAGCCCATAAATGAGGCTGAACGAGGCCAATTCATCCTCCGCAGAAAAGATGGCCGGAGTTTTGCAAGGCATCTCTCCCTGGCTTGCTCCTTAACCTGGGCAGAGCTAGCCGTGAACAAGAAGTTGCCCGGAAGTCTCAGACATGCTGCGGCCGGAAACGTGGTTTCTGAACAGTGAGGCAGCCATTCTTTGTTTTGTCTCTTACCGTGGGGATCCGCGCATGAGTACATGGAAGCTCTTCAGACGCTCTTTGCTCGTCACGCCCGTTCTCTTGCCAGGCCTTTTTGCTCACATGGTTCTAGAGTCCTCTGATTTAGGAGACGCAGCCATGAAGATGATGAGAGTGAAAGTCATCTTGCTCCTGGCTGCAACTGCCCAAGGCAGCTTTTCCGGCGAGATGGAGTGCCCTTGTATTACAAGTAGCTCTGCTCTATATGCAGGCTTGACAAGTGATCTGGTGGCTTCAGGGCTGCCAATGAGTTATGGCACGCAAGGATGCGAAGCTTATGACAATGAAACCAACTATACCACGAATTGCCTGAAGAACTCGGAAGAGTACTGTTTGCATCAGTGGTGCTACGTCGATATGACGATGTGCCCGAAAGACAAGCAACTTTGCGAGGCTGCTGGGGGCAAGCTCGGCAGCGACGTCTCTCCCTACTGCCGTACCCGGCCCAACACCATGTCCAGCCTCTACGATGCCACACTACCGTACTTCTACAGCTACGAGACCTGCGGCTTCAAGAACAAGTACAACAAGACAAAACTCTACGAGCCCATCGTCGACCATGTCATGAAAGTGCAGTTGCTCGAGTCCAGCCCATGGCTCTTCAAGCGCGAAGACGGGACGACTTGGAGCGGGCCACTCTATGATTTCTTCACAGAGTCGCTGAAGCACTTTGCTCCAGCCCCTGCATTGAATCATGAAACAGGCAGAAACCGCTCAGATGGCACGGGCGCATACCCGGCCTGTGTTGATGATGTTGCTGTTGGGAACGTTGACGTCTGTGTGGCGGATCTCTGGGTCCTTCCAGAACGCTATGCGCTGGTCTTCTTTCTTCCAGCCTTGAGATATGACCTCTTCTACCTAGTCGTGGAAAAGAAAGGGCTCGAAAACGTGAGCTTTCTCACTCGTTTGCAAAGGCCCTTTGTGCCCTTTACCCTTGGGGGCTGGATGGCCATACTTGCCTTTCTGTGCGGCTTTGCAACAGTCCTTTGGCTCATACGGCTCGTTGAGAAAGCAAACGAAGCTCACGCAGCTCCCGAGGAGGAAAAAGCGATCAAGGCGAAGAGCCATTGTTTCGGCATCTTCGGCAAAGGCGGACGAAGAGGTGAAGCATTCACAGACTATGGAAACACATGCTTTGAAGTGTGGAATCACTTCTTCAGCCAGGGAATGGTCTACGAAGACCCCGACCATCCGCCGGCATACAGGCTGATGAGCCTCGCTTTTGTCTTCTTTAGCCTTGTGACGCTGGCAACCTACACGGCAAGCTTGGCAACGTTCCTCATCGTCGAGAAGAGCCCCGTTGGTGGAGTCGCCAATATCCAAGAAGCCATCCAAAACGACTTTGACATTTGCGTGCCAACGGCTTTGAAGCCATTGTTTTCGCAACTATACAGTAAAGGGACCTTTGTTGAGTGCAGCCAGATCGAAGACTGTCCCAAGCTCATGCATGCGGGCAACTGCAAGGCCATGATCTTGTCGCAGCAGGTCATTGACCGTCTGCATGCCGGGGAGATCAAAGAAGATGATGAAGACATTGGGCGTGATGACTGCAAATTCTTGCGTGTTGGGGATGTCCCTCTTTGGAGCATTCCAATTGCATTCCCGGTCGCAAGCAGCATGGCGCACGGTCTGTCATGGTCTTTCACACAAAGCCTGGCAACTGGAGTTATGGAGGAGATGAAGCTTAAGCACAGTAGGAACTTTCCGGAAAACACATGCCAGGCATCTAGCGAAACCGAGCAACAGGCCTTGAGCTTTTGGGATCTCAGCGGCACAATCTTCGTCACCATGATTCTCATGGGGCTGGCTGCCCTCCGCCTTGTGTTGCGAACATGCTGCTGTTCTTCAGGCCTTGCAAGGCGCCCGAAGGAATCGAAGTTGGAGGACAGTGAAATTAAACGGCCGGCGGCAGCTTGGCAAGGCCCCTTGCCATGCTCAGAGCCCCATGCCATGATCCCTTGACTAGAGTTATAACCAGGGTTCCAGGCGAAGAAGCCGTGCATGTAATGCTGAGTTTGTGGCCGCAGCCCTTAAATGAGACTGAACGGGGCCAATTCGCATTTTGCAGAAGATATTACATGACTTTGCATGACTTTGCATGACGTTTGCGAAGCAATTTCGTCAGAGACCGCCAGGGACTGAGCCGACCTCGTAGATCGTAGAATTCGGTGACGGAATTGTTTTCGTGACACTGTACCTCGAGTGGTTCGTTCCTTAGTGGGCAAGGTTGTGATCTTTTCAAACCGTGGCCGCAGCCCATAAATGAGGCTGAACGAGGCCAATTCATCCTCCGCAGAAAAGATGGCCGGAGTTTTGCAAGGCATCTCTCCCTGGCTTGCTCCTTAACCTGGGCAGAGCTAGCCGTGAACAAGAAGTTGCCCGGAAGTCTCAGACATGCTGCGGCCGGAAACGTGGTTTCTGAACAGTGAGGCAGCCATTCTTTGTTTTGTCTCTTACCGTGGGGATCCGCGCATGAGTACATGGAAGCTCTTCAGACGCTCTTTGCTCGTCACGCCCGTTCTCTTGCCAGGCCTTTTTGCTCACGTGGTTTCTAGAGTCCTCTGATTTAGGAGACGCAGCCATGAAGATGATGAGAGTGAAAGTCATCTTGCTCCTGGCTGCAACTGCCCAAGGCAGCTTTTCCGGCGAGATGGAGTGCCCTTGTATTACAAGTAGCTCTGCTCTATATGCAGGCTTGACAAGTGATCTGGTGGCTTCAGGGCTGCCAATGAGTTATGGCACGCAAGGATGCGAAGCTTATGACAATGAAACCAACTATACCACGAATTGCCTGAAGAACTCGGAAGAGTACTGTTTGCATCAGTGGTGCTACGTCGATATGACGATGTGCCCGAAAGACAAGCAACTTTGCGAGGCTGCTGGGGGCAAGCTCGGCAGCGACGTCTCTCCCTACTGCCGTACCCGGCCCAACACCATGTCCAGCCTCTACGATGCCACACTACCGTACTTCTACAGCTACGAGACCTGCGGCTTCAAGAACAAGTACAACAAGACAAAACTCTACGAGCCCATCGTCGACCATGTCATGAAAGTGCAGTTGCTCGAGTCCAGCCCATGGCTCTTCAAGCGCGAAGACGGGACGACTTGGAGCGGGCCACTCTATGATTTCTTCACAGAGTCGCTGAAGCACTTTGCTCCAGCCCCTGCATTGAATCATGAAACAGGCAGAAACCGCTCAGATGGCACGGGCGCATACCCGGCCTGTGTTGATGATGTTGCTGTTGGGAACGTTGACGTCTGTGTGGCGGATCTCTGGGTCCTTCCAGAACGCTATGCGCTGGTCTTCTTTCTTCCAGCCTTGAGATATGACCTCTTCTACCTAGTCGTGGAAAAGAAAGGGCTCGAAAACGTGAGCTTTCTCACTCGTTTGCAAAGGCCCTTTGTGCCCTTTACCCTTGGGGGCTGGATGGCCATACTTGCCTTTCTGTGCGGCTTTGCAACAGTCCTTTGGCTCATACGGCTCGTTGAGAAAGCAAACGAAGCTCACGCAGCTCCCGAGGAGGAAAAAGCGATCAAGGCGAAGAGCCATTGTTTGGGCATCTTCGGCACGTTTTGTGAGCTCAATTGCAAAGGCGGACGAAGAGGTGAAGCATTCACAGACTATGGAAACACATGGTACCCCTGGTCTTGGAGCTCTCACCGAAATCCCTGCCGATCCCCAGGTCTGCATTTTCCAGGCCCTGGTAAGCTACGAGGATGACATGGGGAGGGCGGGTTTGAGCGGGGTCGTCGTCTCTTGTGGGGGGCTTCACAATAGGGGCACCTTGTTGGGGGTCCTTGTTCTAGGGGAATACTGGTATTTGGGGGTCTTTACGAGGGGTGCCCTGTTGTCGTGGATCCCCATGTGTATGTAGTTCGAAGCTGAACCCGCTGCTTGCAATCCGAAGCTCCACAGCCCAAGCTCCTCCACACTGTGGTACTTTGGTCTTTTTTGAGCATCCGTCGTATGCCTGATCATACCATGGCGAACCCGAGTTCCCTTGGCAGCTGCAAGCCTTCCAACTTTGGGGGAGAAGTCCTAAAGTGTAGTTCCATGGTGGATATCAGATTCTCTGAGCGTTGCCAAAAGGACGCCCTGGACTGGATGGTCTCCGCCGCACAAACCCTGGCCTTCTCCATCCTGCTGTGCGGCTCCCAGAAATCCACTCCAGCCCCAAACTTCTGCAGATTGCTCGAGGCATTGCTCTTAAGAGGCCCTCATTTCTGAAGAGGCTTCTAAACCCTAAACCCTAAACCCTAAAAGGCCTTCAGTTCTTAAGAGGCCCTTCAAAAAAGCGCTTCTGAGGACTCCCTTGGCGGCTGTCCGGACCCCAGCTGGCCCTAGGGTTGGCATCGGACGTCCTTATCTGCGCAAAGATCTGCAGAGTCTTCTAAGAAACCTGCTGAGAACGGTTTTTTAGACGCATCTAGATAACCATTGCTCTGCATCTGCTTTGGATGATTCTCCGCTTTCTGAGGGAGGCTTCTCATGGTGCTTTCGGGTGAGGATGGTCTAGCACTAACACTCCATGCGTTGTCGAGTTGGCAATGTATGATGGTATGCTTTGCAGAGATCCGGGTCTGAGCCTGTCAGCTTGAGGCTGCTTGCGTTGTCCTCTTCATGCCGCTGGGATGCAAACCATGCTTGCCACATCCAAGAAGGTTACAACACGCTTGCCATCTCTTGCCCTGCAACCTCGGCGCCTTGCAATGAGGGACCTCATTGATTCATGCCTCTGTAGCGCTGAGACCTAAAGCCTTCTGTGTCGGGCGTTTGCACGCCAACTCCCGGAGCCCAGGCACTCCGCAACCGTGGACCTCGACGAGCATCTTCCCTTCCACCCACAGGAAGATCGCTGCTACGAGGCCGGCCGTCACGTCTGGCCTAAAGGGAACATTCAGCGCCACCTTGAGGAGTATACTAGTCGCATACATTGGCATGCACAATATCGCATACGTATAGCATACAGCATCTATGCTACAGCAATATACACTTACTCTAACTCCGGGCTTGCGTGTCTCGGGTGTTGAACTATTGGCCTGTCTCTTTGGGCCGCGTGCTCTGGCACATAAGACATCGTAGGATTTTCTAGGCGACGGAGCTGAAAGATTCCATTCTGATTCTGTTTGAGATTCAAGCCTTAGAGCGAGCCGTTCAATCCTTCCCGAGATCCCAGGCGTGAAAAGCGCACTCCAAAATGATTAAGCTTCATGAAACTTGTGGAACTCCACGGGAACCCGTATCCACGGGTAGTGCGCGCCTGTCCCGCAACTCGACTTTTGCCAGGTCACCTTGCGGAACATGGCAGTCTCAGGCGGCTGGGTTATGCAATCCAATGTACTCAATGGAATCATCATTTGAATCATTTGTTTACTGTTTGTCCTTGATACTTGCTTCTGTACTGGCTGTCTGCTAGAGTAGAAAAGAGTCCGGAGATACCAGAAACGTCCGGGCACTGAGGCCCCAGGTCTTGAGGAGAATCCGGGCTATCGAGCCCTTCCAGTGAATCTAGATGCCCTTGCCAGTATCGGAGACCTGCTCTGAACTGCAATCTGCCTCTCTGCCTTCTCAGGTGACACTCTCCGAAAAAAGGTAGAAGCCGAAGGATCCCAGCTGTGCGCCCGCTGGGAGATCGCTGGGCACCCTGAAACTTTTCTGATTCAGACGGTGCGGTAGAGCTCCTTTTTTTTTGGGATACGGAGTATACAATGTCACAGCAACATGGTTTTCGACAGCAGCATTCTGCAAGAAGGAGAGCGCCACCATCACCACCTTCCAAGCAGATGCCGATGGGGAGATTCGCCTGGACGGCGTCATGGCCTACCATGCGATCCTGGTCTCCATCTACGCGAGGTCGAAGTCGTCCATGCGCCTGCTGGGCAACGCCGCCATCCCTGGTGAGAAGTTTGTCGATGGCGGCTTTGATGGTGAGCTGCAGCTTCATCTGCGCGGCAAGATGGTGCCGGAGGTTCACGTCAAGGTGTCCATTTCCCCCGTACTCAGCCGCCAAGCGGCTGTGCAGCGGGGTCGCAGTAGCATCCGACTGACCGTTCAGGGAAACAATGTGATGTCCCTCGAGGGAGAACTCGAGCAGGAGCTCGAGGATTGTGGCATCGCCTTCGACGACGAATGCAGTTCAAACGTGAAAGCCTGCGAGCTTGCTTGCGAGCTTGCAGGCATCAATTTTGAGCCTCTTGAAAACGAGCCCTCACTTGCGGAGATGACCGCAGACGACGACTTCCAAAGGAAGTGCAGCGAGCTGGGCATCGTCTTCACGTCTGACGAGGAGCCGGACGCCTCGGAAGACCTTCGAGTCCGCGGAGTGCCGCAGGATGACTTGGTCACCGTCGCCGTGATGCCGTGCACCTAAGCCCAGGGGCAGGGAAACAAAAGCAAAGCGCTAAGCAGAGTCGCAGAGGTCTTAGAATTCTGGCCACATTTAGAGGCTTGACTGCCCTTGACCTTGGTCTGGGGCAAAGGCTTCCGGCACAGCTCACGTATTGAGGGCTGCGGTCTGAGGATCTCGGAGCCAGAGCGTGCCGCTCTCTTTCCCTTCGCAAACATACAGCAAATCAAGGCGAGCAAAGACAGGTAGCGTCAAGGCACCGAAGGACACTGACTGACCGCTGCAGTTTGGTAGGAGGCCATCATGGCACATGGCGTAAACCTTTCACATCCTTAGACCGTGTGCCCCTCAGCGCATGCTCGGAGACTTTTGAGAATGGTGCGATAGCCGATTTCCCAACAGCCCTGAGAGAAATCATCGGTGAGTTGAATGCTGACAACCTTCACTCGGGTTTCGCGGCTGTGAGAAGTCTCCCATGTCAAATTGTTTGGCCGGTACGTTGCAATGCTGTGAGCCAAAGGCCAGAAGCTTCGCAGAACTTGCGCATTGAGGGCTGCGGTCTGAGGATCTCGGAGCCAGAGCGTGCCGCTCTCTTTCCCTTCGCAAACATACAGCAAATCAAGGCGAGCAAAGACAGGTAGCGTCAAGGCACCGAAGGACACTGGCTGACCGCTGCAGTTTGGTAGGAGGCCATCATGGCACATGGCGTAAACCTTTCACATCCTTAGACCGTGTGCCCCTCAGCACATGCTCGGAGACTTTTGAGAATGGTGCGATAGCCGATTTCCCAACAGCCCTGAAAGAAATCATCGGTGAGTTGAATGCTGACAACCTTCACTCGGGTTTCGCGGCTGTGAGAAGTCTCCCATGTCAAATTGTTTGGCCGGTACGTTGCAATGCTGTGAGCCAAAGGCCAGAAGCTTCGCAGCACTTGCGCATTGAGGGCTGCGGTCTGAGGATCTCGGAGCCAGAGCGTGCCGCTCTCTTTCCCTTCGCAAACATACAGCAAATCAAGGCGAGCAAAGACAGGTAGCGTCAAGGCACCGAAGGACACTGGCTGACCGCTGCAGTTTGGTAGGAGGCCATCATGGCACATGGCGTAAACCTTTCACATCCTTAGACCGTGTGCCCCTCAGCACATGCTCGGAGACTTTTGAGAATGGTGCGATAGCCGATTTCCCAACAGCCCTGAGAGAAATCATCGGTGAGTTGAATGCTGACAACCTTCACTCGGGTTTCGCGGCTGTGAGAAGTCTCCCATGTCAAATTGTTTGGCCGGTACGTTGCAATGCTGTGAGCCAAAGGCCAGAAGCTTCGCAGAACTTGCGCATTGAGGGCTGCGGTCTGAGGATCTCGGAGCCAGAGCGTGCCGCTCTCTTTCCCCTCGCAAACATACAGCAAATCAAGGCGAGCAAAGACAGGTAGCGTCAAGGCACCGAAGGACACTGGCTGACCGCTGCAGTTTGGTAGGAGGCCATCATGGCACATGGCGTAAACCTTTCACATCCTTAGACCGTGTGCCCCTCAGCACATGCTCGGAGACTTTTGAGAATGGTGCGATAGCCGATTTCCCAACAGCCCTGAAAGAAATCATCGGTGAGTTGAATGCTGACAACCTTCACTCGGGTTTCGCGGCTGTGAGAAGTCTCCCATGTCAAATTGTTTGGCCGGTACGTTGCAATGCTGTGAGCCAAAGGCCAGAAGCTTCGCAGCACTTGCGCATTGAGGGCTGCGGTCTGAGGATCTCGGAGCCAGAGCGTGCCGCTCTCTTTCCCTTCGCAAACATACAGCAAATCAAGGCGAGCAAAGACAGGTAGCGTCAAGGCACCGAAGGACACTGGCTGACCGCTGCAGTTTGGTAGGAGGCCATCATGGCACATGGCGTAAACCTTTCACATCCTTAGACCGTGTGCCCCTCAGCACATGCTCGGAGACTTTTGAGAATGGTGCGATAGCCGATTTCCCAACAGCCCTGAGAGAAATCATCGGTGAGTTGAATGCTGACAACCTTCACTCGGGTTTCGCGGCTGTGAGAAGTCTCCCATGTCAAATTGTTTGGCCGGTACGTTGCAATGCTGTGAGCCAACGGCCGGAAGCTTCGCAGAACTTGCGCATTGAGGGCTGCGGTCTGAGGATCTCGGAGCCAGCTATCTCCCTTCGCAAACATACAGCATATCGGGGCGAGCAAAGAGACGGCAGGTAGCGTCAAGACACCGCAGGACACAGGAGGCCATCATGGCACATGGCGTAAACCTTTCACATCCTTAGACCGTGTGCCCCTCAGCGCGTCCGAGCTGCTCGGAGACTTTTAAGAATGGTGCGATACCCCATTTCCCAACAGCCCTCTCACTCGGGTTTGGCGGCTGTGAGAACTCTCCCATGTCAAATTGTTTGGTACGTGGCAATGCCGTGAGCCACAGGGCTCGCGTACTTTCGGCTGCGGTCTGAGGCAAGTAGAGCACTGAAGAGGAGCGACCTTTAAAAGCAAACTCCCCAGTGCAACAGACATCGACATTTCCCAGTTATTTCAAATCGTGTCGGTCTTGTCGTGCGAAGAATAAGAAACGATCGCCGAGAGCCACATGGTCCGAGTGTCTCCAGTCAGGCTCTTGAAGCGCACCCAACTCAGAACGCCATGTGTATACACGGTTATATCCATTTCTTCCACTCAGCCAGCTGCCCGAAACGGGACCCCTCATGTGGGGGAAAAACCCTACCCCAAAACTTAGGGGTACTTGGAAATTTTTTTAAAGTTTTGGGCACTATAGTTCCCAAGAAACAGCAAAAGTCATAATCTTTGCTACGGGTCCAAGTTCAGAAAAGAAGCCAAAAGCAGGTCTTCAGGTCGCACCGTTCCCTGAACAGACCGAAGAATTGCATCTCGACACCTGCGGCTCAAAGCTTGAAGCTCACAAAGAATCATAAGAGCAAATAGCAGTGATACTGAACAAAAAACAACGGTGGGCATAGTACTGATACTTATACGAAGAATGATAGTATTGCTGGCACCTGATAGAAAGATGGCTGCTGCGGCACTTAGATTGTTGAGCCACCTCCTTGAACTTTGCAACGTGCACATCCGCCTGGCGAGCTATTGCATAAGATTGAATTTCCCTTCTGTTGCGATTTGAGATCCGATGAGTCAGGAGCGTCTCAGCTCGGATGATCTCTTGGACGCTCGAAGGCTCGGAGCCCCAAAGCCCTAAGCCCTAGGTTTCGAGCGCCAGCGCTGTTGCTGAAAGCAGCTCCTGGACTGAAAATCGATCTTGTCTAGGCTTTCACACGTGCCCTGACGCCAAGAGTGCGAGCTGCGAGATCAGAAGGCGCCAGTGAACCTTTAAAGAGTCGGCCACATGTCCTCCTGGCTTGCTACAGCACAGAAGCCATCGAACCTTCCTTCTGTTTCTCACACTCATATGACTCCTGCCTCGTGACAAAGCCAACATGCACCATTTCAATCACCTTTCTGAAGCTTTGTGTAGCTTCTTGCCTCATTCTTTGTTCTCTTAAGTCAAAGGTTCAGAGCAACTTCTTGAAGCCACGGGCCCACTGCCCGAGTGAGCTTTCGGAGTCGGCTTTTCTTACTTTTAAGAGGACCTCAGAGTGTTCGATGTTGCGCGCGCGACTGGGACTTAGAATCTTTGAGCTCGCAATAGTGAACTAGTACTAGCAACAGTTCCTTGCCACACGCAAGAACTTGGCGCGCAGGCACATCATCTTCCAGCTCTGCTCGTGACGGAGCCTTCATCGGTTTGGAGCTGAAAGCCTGTGGCGGAATCCGGCGGTGACGGAGAGGACAAGGAGGCAGGAATGCCACCATGTACAGCATGATGTCACGCCTGATGCCACGAAATGGTCCCTGCCTCGATTTTGTTTTGTACCATCTGAGCCTCTACAGCTGCTCGCATTGTTGCATTCAGTTCCAAATCCAGTCCTGTGTGGGGTGGCGTGTCGCAGCGCATGTGATGCCTTGTGCTGTGTTCCCAGGAAGGACACAACATACACAACTAAAGCATGAGCTTCGTGGCTCCAGGATCATCCCAGCTCCATCATGAGCGGGCGACCCGTCGCAGCGATAATATGCATGGGATCCGCTGGGGATTTGGTCCCCTACCTCGCACTGGCCCATGAGATCCGTGAGAAGCGACATGGCTCTGTCCTGGTCTTGACGTCCGAAGCACACCGCGCGATGGTCACGGCAAAGGGCATGCTCTTTGAGAACCTGGGCTCGGATCCTGTGGCGGAGATGTTGAAGAACCCCAAGAAGAATATCGACATGGGCGCCTTGACGAAGGACCATCTCAGAAACGCCCTGAAAGCCTGCCAGGAGCATCGGCCGGAGGGTGTCATCTTTACGACGATGACGCACCTGTCCTGCAGCAGTGTATGTGAGGCCCTAAAGCTGCCCTTCGTGATCACTCACCTGGTGCCCATGGCGCCCACCTCCGAGCATGCTCCCCCCGTTTTCGGAACCGCTGACACGTGGTTTTCCTGGACCGCCCACCTCAAGTGGCGAGTCTTCGAGACGATGGCCTTTCAGATGCACAAGAAGGCGGTGCAAACCGTGCGGGCCGAATTTGGCCTTGGGGCCATGAGCGAGTCGCCCATACTGGCAGCGCGGCGGATGCAGGTGCCTCTCATCATGGGCTACACTTCTGCTCTTTGTCCCAGGCCAAAGGACTGGCCTGAGGCAGCAAGGATCACCGGGCAATGGGTGGACTCGGAACAAGAGGCGGCGTCATCTTCGTCTCAGCTTCCTCAGGATGTATCCCTGTTCTTGCAAAGTGCGGAGGAAAGTGGCACTCAAGTGATCTTTGTAACCTTTGGCTCACTTCTGGCTCAGTGCCAAGAGATCAAGCAGTTTGAGAAGCTTATGGAAGCCCTGAGCACTGCCATCACTCAGGCGGGTGCACGGGCATTGATTGCAACAAAGGGCTGTGAGCACTTTGCCATCCCAGGGAGCGTGCAAGCTCTGCAGCAAGCGGGCAAAGTCCTCTTGGTCCCCGGGTTTCTTCCCCACGGGGCCATCATGTCGAGGTGTTTGGCTGTCATATGCCACGGTGGCTCGGGCACCGTGCACACGGCGCTCAGAGCTGGGGCGGTGGTGGTTGTGATCCCAGGCCGGCGCGGCGTGATAGATCAGACCTTCTGGGGCGCCAGGGTGCAGCGGTCGGGCGTGGGCTTCGGCCCTGTTTGCAGCGACATGCTCAGCGTGAAGCCCCGGGCGTTGCAGAGCGTCATGGAAGCTCTCTTGAAGAATTCTGAGGGCATGAAGTCTGCGGCCAAGACGATGGCAGCTTTCATGCAGTCGGAGGGAGGAGCAGCAGAAGCTGCAGAAATCTCCCTGACGCACTTTGCCGCGCACCCTGCGCCCACACAATCTTCTTGAGGATCAGGGCGCCCGGAGCACCATGCACCAGCATACCCGTAGTCACGTGAAGGGCTAACTGGGTTTGGTGAATTTGGCGACTTGGCCCTGCATGGAAACATACCAATGCGTGTGTCACCCCAACAGCGTTGGGCCGCACTCTGTCACCGCTGACTGGAATGTGCAGCAGCCCTGAGGGACACTTGTAGGTGGATGTGTTGAGCTCCGTGTTGAGTTTCTCATCTCGCATCATTGTTCGACCATGATGGGACGATGGATGTGTAGTGGAGGCCCGCGGCACACTGAACTTCCGGCAGCAACTTGGACTTTGAAGAGAGCGACAGCGGTTGCAACCATGATGGCAAGTACGGCGAAGTCTGGTTAAGCAACACCAAGTAGGGCTAATCTGCTCAAGGTGTGGTGAGCATGCGGGTGAACGGCCTCGCACGAAGCACGCGAGGAGAGCGAAGCTACCGGTCCTCTATCCTGAAAGCAGCCCGGCCGAACAGGCCACGCCTGCAGCGCGGGTCTCAGGAGCAGGGCAAGTGGGAGGAGTCAGGGACCTTAGGTTGGCTTCACGTCGGATGGAAGGTGGAGTTGCAACTGGTTTTTTGATGCTTAAGAAGGGAGGACATGCAAAGGACACAGAGAAACAGTAGCAGCAAGGCAGGAAAGAAATCAGCACAGCAAATGGAGGCACGAAGAACGCGAGGAACAAAGCAAAGACACCAGGAAAGGCCTCGCATTCAATATAAGCCAGAGGCAACAAGCCGTGTCCCCATCAATGCTGCACATTCAAAAGAGACAAGACATACAAATAATGTGAAGACATGCGTGTGTATACATATATGACTCGGATATGACATATACATACAGACGCATGTCATGTACCCTGGCTCCATCGTAGGCAACAAGACCGGTTTCTAACTGCACAGAATCCTTCCGTGGTGAATACGTCCGCGGTGTGCGTGTGCAAAACCCCGAATCTGCGTCCACGAGCCACGAGGTGTGGGTCGACAGTTGATAAGTATCTGGGATATTTGCCCATGGTCTTGACATGTTTAGGCTACAGGATCTGCTTGTGGCGGGGGTTGTGGTGGTTCTTTGCTTTGAGGCCCTCGCCATCTCGGATGTGGGTGTGCGTGTCCCTGACGATCACGGGCCCTGGATCCCGTGGATAAGGCAGCCGCGTGACAGCTGTCGCTGCACCTGAGACTTGTACAGGTCTGGACCCTCAAGATGTCCAGAAAATGTTGACCTAGCGCGATCGTAGAAATCCCAGAAGGTCCCTCGATGACTATGATCTGGATCCGGACGAGGCCCCTAAGCCCGGGGGGGTGGGGGGGGGAGAGATTTGTTTATGTCACCGCGCTCGTAGACATGAACGGGAACAACAGTCAGACATACTGTCGCTGGAGATGCACGACCAGAGCTCCAAGCTGTACTTGGTGTGACTAGGTGCACTCATACATCTGCGAGTTTTGCCATGGTGGAAAGGACTGTAGATCTTTCATTCATACAATGTATGCCTTAGTAACTTAGTAGTAGAGTAGGTAACCTTTAACCTTTCTGGGTCAATATATTCCCCTTACAATCCCAAAGGTTAATCTTTAAAACCCCTAGGTACTGGACAACGAAGATGCCCTAAACTCCCTGACACCCCCTTCGGGGCATACTACCCTAAACCCTAAACCCTAAACCCAGTTCGGGGCCCCTTCAATATCCGCAGGTCGGCGGCACGCTCTCCTTCACTGGAGCCAAAGCCGAGCCCAAGGTGGGCATCCCCGCCCCCCCCCCCACGGTTTAGGGTTTAGGGTTTAGGGTTTAGGGTTTAGGGTTTAGGGTTTAGGGTTTAGGGTTTAGGGTTTAGGGTTTAGGGTTTAGGGTGTCTCATTTGAGGGGGCGCGCTGGTGCTAAAAGCACCCTGGCGCGCCCCGACTTGTGGGTCTGGAACGCCACTTAGGGGACAAGTGGGACAGCACAGAGAAGAGAGTAACTGAGTGACACTTCAGTTCAGCAAGTGTTTTCAGCATCATGGCTGCGGTTTTGCAGACTTCAAGGTTAGGGTTTAGTGTCTAGGGTTTAGGGGTTAATGGGGTTTAGGATATCGCTCAACCGGCATCATGCGTGCGACATGCCAGTCGGTTCGCAGTGCGCAGCCGATTTCTGCAGTGGACGGGTTGTAGAGTCCTGTAGCGATTTCTGCAGCGGACGTGTTGTAGAGTCCCGTAGCAATGAAGCACAAAGCCATGACCGTTCTGACCGTCCTGCAGCTCCAAGTGACGGTGCTGTTGACTCCGTCCTGGGCTTTCAAGGTGTCCCAGTTTCCTCAGCAGAGGACGGGTGTGATGTGGCAGACGACTTTCTACGTCAGCGACCCAGTATTTTCGGCGATGTCCGACCCAAGCCAGTACGTCGACGCCGCAGCGTCACTGTCTTTTCTGGAGCTTTCCGAAGAGCAGCTCCATAAACAGATCGCCGATGCAGCGAACCAGACGCAGGCGCTTTCTGTCCAAGAGCATCAGTGGCCTTCGGCCGAGGGGGCCGCGGCAGCCCTCCTCGCGCTCCAAGATGAGGAGTGTCTTTACAAGCAGGCCAACGGTGAGTCCCACGGAGAGCCCAACGGTGAGTTGCACGGACGATGCAAATTCGCACTGCTGTCGCCCGTCTGGGAGGCTTCGCGTGCTCTGTTCGACGACCTTTGGAAGGTGCCAGGGAGTTTGTCTTGGACTCCGACTGCAAATCCCATAGCTTCGAAACTCCTACTAGCATGACCGGAGCAAACAGTAGGAGGTTCCGGAAACCTGACATCATCAGGAACCTAGCGTGAAACACCAATTTCTGAAACTTCGCGCTGGAGATTTCAGCAAGGCCCAACACCAACATACCTTGAACCAGTTGAAGTCGTGCGTACCCAGTGAAGAACTACAGCGTTTGAACACTAGACCAAGGTGCCGGCAAAGGAGGCAGTGGCCAAGACGACCCAGCGGACAGAACACGGAGGTCATCTTGGCACTTAAGACCCTGTTCTGGGCATGGTCCGGGACTCAAGGTCACTTAAAGGATCAGGGGACTTAGTAGGGTTATAAGTTTGATAAGTATAGTCAGAATCACTTATAGCCCCAATTCCAGAACTTGTAACCCTGCTTACTTAGTCCCATGATCCTCCAAGCAGGGTGTGAGTGTTGATAGGTTCCATGGTCCATGATTTCATGAAACCGGGGGTGGGGGGGGTGGGGGGGGGTCCCTGAACCCTCCCCTTAACCCCTGAACCCCAAGCTTTTGAAGGGTCCTTACGATGATTGGGGCTTTTAAGGCTTCACGGTCGGCCTAGAGGTTCTGTGGCTACTGGATAGGTCTGAGGTTTAGGGTTGTGAATGCCTTCCAGGAGGAAGGTTGCAGTACTCATACCCAACAGTTTGAGCGCTCGACGCTTCCTATCTGCGGTGATAGCTGCGTGTTGCACGGCCGTGTCGGTGCCAAGTGCCCTATGACACGACTGATGAGTCCTCACAACTCGATGCCCCAGCAGCGCCATCATGCTGAAGGCCACCCCTCCCAGGAGGCAGTGCCATCGACACCTGTGCGTCCTTCCTTGAACAGTTCTGTGGCGGGTAATTCTCAGTAGGCTCGACCCCCGCACCAACCACCAAAGGCCACACTCATCTGGCGGACCCTTGGTCACTGCAAGCATGGCTCATTTCCATGCCAAACCTGGGACCCCGAGGCCTAGGTACAACAGATGCGCAGTCGTTTTTTCCAGAGTTTGGGAGTGGATGGTCAAGACTGTCAGAGACATGGAGGAGTTTTGCAAGAGTGTTGACGGCAAGGTGTGATGATGATGAGGCGCCGAGTGTCAGCGGAACTCTGCTTTGGCCAAGGCTCCCGCCCGGAGTTTTCTGTTTGGCAAGTTGTGGATCCGGTTCTCCACTTGGCTTTTTTCGACGCATGGGCGTTGTGCGCTGCATCCCCACGCGCCCGTGCCATAGCCATTGAGTTCCAGACTGTGCCCCCACCAAAACAGACGGAGATGATCCAAGATCCAAACCAAAAGGGGCACCAATCCCAAACATAGTTTGCGACCTATCAGTGTCAGCGCCTCCCGCTGACACTGATAAGGCTACAGCGCCGGTGGTCCTGTAGCCATGCCCAAGCGTTGGGCTCATAACCTGCTGGTGTGAACCAGCAGGGAAAAGTGGGTTTGCAACTTCCCCCATCCCAGACATGGCTCCCACAAACGCAGAGTTTTACACACAGAAAAGAGATCCCTAAATTAGGGTTTGGAGATTGTCAGAATGGTTGCGGAATGGCCGTGCCGGTTCTTCTCTGGGGGTTCGCCTTTTCCCGAATGCGTAGCAGAAGGGTTCTCGTTTTGAGGTTGGGGGTCTGGCGGTTAGGGAGTTGACCCGAAATCCGTGCGCAGCATTCGCGAGCGTTCGCGAGTTGTTTAATTCAGAACTGTCGTCGCTTTTGGTCTCGTGTCGTGTCGTCGCATGTCAAAAATGACAACAGTCACAGGGACGAGGGGGGTCGTGGTCGCGAAATGCAGAACTGTCGTCGTTTTTGGCCAAAGTGACAACTGTCACCAGGAGAGGGGGGTCGTGGTCGCGAAATGCAGAACTGTCGTCACTTCGGACTCGCGTCGTGTCCTCGCATGTCAAAAGTGACGACAGTCACAGAGATGAGGGGGGGTCGTGCTCGCGAAATGAAGAATTGTCGTCGCTTTTGGCCTCGCATCTTGTCGTTGCATGTCCAAAGTGTCAACAGTCGTCGTCCTCGTGTCCCGTCCTATCTTTGCGTCGTGTCCTCGTCTCCTGCCTTCGTATCGTGTTTTCGTCTTCGTGTCGTGTCCTCGTGTCGTGTCTTCGTGTCTCGTTTCGTGTCTTCGCGTCGTATCTTTCTTGCCGAAGCTGGTGACACGTGTCTGCATTCGGGTTCGTGGCTCCTATCAGGATGTTTTTGGGGCCTCTTGATCACAGCAGTCCCGAAGCCCAGCCCCGATGAAACGGAGATCCTGAGCTTCCTCCCTAAACCCTGAAACCCTAAACCCTAAACTGGATTCCCCTATGAAGGGGGGGCCATGTCGCCAAGTATGTACCTCCTATGCAACTTAGAATATTGACCAGCCCCTAACGCAGGCTACTTCGAACCCTTTGTAACTTTGAGTGTTGGCATGTCCTTAATGTGGGTTACTCTGATTGCTGATGTTATCTTTGGGTTTGTATCTTTGGGGCTGAAGAGGGTTTTGAAGTTCTGCCGTTACGACTGGGGAAAGTTTCTGAGGCGTGTACTAATGTGACTCCCTGCAGTTCTAGGCTGGTGGTAAAAAAAAAACCCTAAACCCCAAACCCCAAACCCCAAACCCCTGAACCCCAGAGATATTCGAGCCTGAGAGCCTGTAGGCCAGAGACCCCCAAGGCCCCACATCCTTGCGGCTCAAGTCCAAGGTGTCGTCCATGACCCTGAGCCTGCTCATCGGCATGTTGGACAGGGGTGGGGAAGATTCTTCCTCAGCCAACAGTTGAACTTTAAACCATTTTTGGTTTCCTTCATGTTGGGTTTCCTTCTTTCGGAGGAATAAGAGCGCTTAGCCTGTTTTTAGTCCTTGGTTGTTTGAGAAGTCAGGATTGTTTGAGAAGTCAGGATTTCAACATGGTCTACCACGGCCTTATGCTGGACTCGGGCTTGTTCATTGACGACAAGTCGCCGGAGGACGGGTTTTGGCAGTGCAGTTGAAAGGGCGGAAGGGACTCTGTATTCACGGGCTTTGGGCGTAGGGTTGAGGGTTTAGGCTTCAGGGTTCAGGGTTCAAGGTTTAAGGTTTTCTTGGGCTATGGCCCCAGACGCATCAGGCTGCGGCAAGTCTCGGCGTGGAGAAGCTGTTGTCTTTTCGCTGAAGGTGATGCCCAGTGTGCTGGGTGCAACGCAGGACGTGGTTTGGTTGAAACTTGACGGTCGTTGTACTAAATACCTGTCCACAGAATAGCCACTTTGGAACCATCTCGGCTCCCATCCTGCAGAGGTTTGGGGTTTGGGGTTCAGGGTTTAGGGTTTACTGCTCCTGGAAAAAGGCCTTGAGTCATTGAGAGCCCGTGACTGGGGGCTGGCTGGGTCCCCGAAGGTGTTGCAGGCGAATTCGGCTTTCCAGTTTTCCTGCGGGCGCCTACACGACTGGGGACAAGCCCAAATCAACAGCAGTGTTGGGCCAGACACTGTCATATACCATAATCGACTACAATTTACTATCTAACGGGCTGTCGCCCCACAGCCGGCTCGAAGAGGGCGCAACGAGAACAACAACAGCAGCAGCAGCAGCAGCAGCAACAACAACAACAACAACAACAACAACAACAACAACAACAACAACAACAACAACAACAAGCACAACAACAACCAACAACCACAATCACAACCACAACCACAACCACAACCACCACAACAACCACCACAACAACCACCACAACAACCGCCACAACCACCACGACAACCACCACGACAGCCACCACGACAACCACCACAACAACCACCACGACAACCACCACGACGACCAAGACCACGACCACGACCACAACCACAGCTACAACCACAACCACAAGAACAAGAAGAAGAAGAAGAAGAAGAAGAAGAGGAAGAAGAACGACAGCGACAGCAACAAGAACACCAAACGCGCGATTGCACACGCGTGTGCAAGCGAGCGCGTGCCCGTGCGCGCCGGTGCCAAACATGGCTTTGCGGGGTTTTTGCTTTCTCTGGATCGGAACCGGCTGATGCTCATGATGCTCACCTTCCTGGCCCCTTGTGGGCCTTCGAACATGCAGAAAACACCGTAAATACCGTGTTTTCCTGCGTTTCTGAAGAAGCTTCACCGTTCGGCGTGCGCGAGGTCCCCAAGCATCATTGACGCCGGGGCTGGTGGGGTGAGGAGGGCGGGGATAGTGGAGACGAGCGGGTTTTTCGAGCAGGTTTGGGCACGTCAAGAGACCTTCAGACTTTAAGAGAAGGCAAGGCGGGGGGGGGGGGTGGGGAGAGTGAGGAGGGTGGGAAGGGTAGGGTAAGGTTGGGTCTGGGTCCCACGCAGCTTTTGGGGCTACGGTCGGATGACTTCGGAACTGAACGAGTTGTGCAGGAAGATGTCGAGACCATTGAAATCGGCCCCATTCGCCTGGTCACCGGTATCATGCTCTTCCGTGATGTCAGTACTGTGGCGGAGAACGTCAAGCGCTGGAGCCTTGACAACTTGGACAGAAGCCTCTTCGTGCTTCAGCACCTCCTATTGATGTTGCAGGTGAACCTCCTGATCGACATCTGCTCCCTGCTGGAGACCGGCAGTGAGGGTGCCATGCGCTACTTGACGGAGCTTGTGTGGATGCCCTCGAACCACATGGACGCCTTAGGAGCCTCGCTGCGCCAAGCCACCAAAGCAGTCAGTGTGAAGGCCCAGTCCGCGCTGAAGTGCCTTGGGGTCCAAAGCCCATACTACTAGACTCCCTATGAAGGTATATGAGCCCTAGCCCTAAACCCTAAACCCTAAACCCCTTTTAAGGTTCATGCAGTCCCCAAGGTGGAAAGTTGCAACTCCCCCGGGGGGGGGGGGCGTCGGAGCGGTTGGACATCGCCGGCGGGTCCGGGAAGTGCGATCGGAGCTGCTGGCGTGCGAATTCTCCGCCAGGGGACACTTGCTTCGCCAAGAGGTGAACTTTGAACTGTCGGGTTTCCTTATTTTTGTAGGAAGCATAGAGTTTGTAAGCCTCTTGGCGAAGTAAGGAGACTGTAACTTTCGTGCGGGGCGCGAGTCCTTCAACGCCTGCGAGAAGATGAGCTGCACCACCGAGGGGCATGTGCGATGTGCAGCCTACGATGAAGAGTGCTGCAGCAACAACTACATGGCGGCCAAGGATGTAACGAAGCCTTTTCCTTCCGGCCTTGGCATCTCGGGGTTTTGCAGCCCGGCACTGATGGTCTCCTTTGTGAATCAATACGTGATTCCCACTTTGACAGAAACGTTTGTGGAGTCTGCGAAAGTCCTCTGGCCCATCCAGGGTGTGGCCATGGGAGACGCAGAGGAGCACGACTACGCAGAGGAGCAGCCATCTTATCAAGAGGAGCCCTATCAAGCTCCGAGCGATGGGCACACGAGATTGCTGCAGAAGTTTGTGGGCATGGGCCCCGGCCGGGTGTCGAGCTTCCAGGGTGGACAGGTGGGAAAGGCAAGCGTGCCCTTGGAGAGATGCTCGGCAGGCCCTTGGAGTATTTGTGTAAATGTGTAAAACAATTCAGCCCTGAACCCTAAAGCCCCAAACCCCAAACCTTAAACCCTAAGGCCCAAACCCTAGACCCTGTAACCCTATTTCTTTCAAGAACCATTCCTATTTAGGTCGTTTTTGTTTTTTTTTTTTTTTGGGGGGGGGGGGGGGGGGTAGGGGTTTCGAGATTTGCGGACCCAGGATGCAAGGCGATGTGCATGGAGACCGGTCTCTGGGCCATTCTTGAAAATCATTTCATTACGTATGAGTACTTAAACCCTAAACCCTAAACCCAATAAGGAATAGAATTGGTCATTTTCAATAGTACCCCCAACAATGGCACAGGTCTTTGCCGCAGCTTGGTCTACTGCCCTGGGACCTCCTCCTGCAACTTGCAGGATTTCTTCCTCTCTGGCAAGGAGGGGCGGGCTAAACTTTGTTTTTTGTTGGCGGAGGGGGGTCTCTCTAGTATATTACAGTGTATTCTAGTCTAGTATATTGTAGCAGAGTATATTGCAAGTATGTTTTTTTCGTCCAATAGAGTAGAGATGATTCTCGTACGTTCCTGATAAGTTCTTTTAGGGCACCAAGACGTCCCCAGGAGACCACCATGGCCTCTGAGAACCAGTGTGAGAGCTTCTAGGTCGGAAAGGGGCCCTATGCTTTTTTAAATATACTTTTTTTTGTTCTCTCTCTCTCTCTCTATATATATATACATGTATTTGCTTCTTTTTTTGCTTTAACAACACTTTTCCGCTTGTTGGGGTTCAGGGGATCCCATGTAGGACTATTTTCTCAGAGGGTTTCCCGGACCAACCGAGGCTTTTATTTCCTCAATCACCACGACAGCCTGTATGAATATGAGGAAGAGGATCTGGAGGCTCGAATGGAGTTTCCAGGGTGAGCAACCTGGCTGATATGCGGAAGGCGGAAGACAGTCTGGGCGCGGCACCGTGCAAAAGACCCGCGTGCCCCGGTTTCTGCCGGTGAAGCGGCCAAAACCCCCTAATTACTAAACCCAAACCTTAAACCCTAAACCACATGCCAGGGCTTCTTTACGCTGCGGGTTTCGGGCGCTGCCCTGCCATCGTTTGAGGATCTGATTGCGGGGCCGAGGCCCTTCTTCAAGGCATATTATACTTAAGAGTTTAAGTATATCTTCATAGTATAGTATAGTATAGTATAGTATATAGTATCGTACAGTATAGTACAGTATAGTTTTGGATAGTATATTGTAATATATTGTAATCGCATATTATTTTGTAGAACAGGAAGTTGTAGTCCATTACAATATTTCATAGTATCTTATGGTATGTATAGCATTTTATACTATTTTGTAGTATATTGTATATTTTGTAGAAAAGTGTAGTATATTGAAGTAGATTATGGTATCTTTTAGCATACTATTGTGATTATCGTATTTTGTCGTTTCATGCCATGTATTACAGTATATATGATCGCTTTTTGTAGTATATTATAGTATATTATAGTATAACATAGTATATTATCGTCTATTATAGTCCATTATAGTCTATTAATTATAGTCCATTATAGTCTATTATAGTCTATTATAGTCGATTATAGTCGATTATAGTCTATTATAGTCTATTACAGTATATTATAGTATTTTTTGTATATTATAGTATACTATAGTGTATTATAGTGTATTGTAGTAAAGCATGAGGAATTGCAGGTCTCACCGTTGTTTGGGGTCTGTGTGTGCTTCGCAGGAAGTGTTTCGGCTACGAGGGAATTCGGGTAGCTGGTCCAGCAGATGGCATGAAGTAGAGAACATCTGCGGTTTATGACGCTGTAAGCGGGCGAAGGTTATGGCCGGTTGCGATGGAAACGCTTGTGAGCGCGGCCATTGGCTGCTGACCCCCGGTTGGCTGGCACGTTGTTTTGTAAGCTCAAGATGTCCCAGTATGTCCTAGTGCACGTGCTAAGGCGCTGACACCTAATGCATGTAGAATAATGAGAGTGCGCATGAAGCGTGAGGAGGCCAATGTACTTCCTCGCGGAGAGCCGCGGCAACCGATCGACTACCAGGACCACGGCCGCCTCATTGTTCTCGGCACTATGCTCGACGCACTTGCCGTCTATAATTCAGCTGTTATCTATCAGATGTAGAGTAGAGCGAAAAGTAAAGGAGAGCGGTTTCATCTTCACATATCTCGCATTCGGCCCTTGAAAATCTCACTGAGCCAAGGAGCAACCGCCCCTGGAACGACCCAGGAGAGAGAGGCTTCTTTGCAGCTACCCTGAGTTTGCGACAGGGGAAAAAGGAACGTGGGGAGCAACTTTAGGGCTGAGGGGTCCTTGAAGGCCTCCGCGGGAAGTCGGGAAAGTCGGGGGTTGAAGGGCGTTTCGATCGCATCTCTAATCGCAGCACTTTCCAATCGATGGAATTGCGAATCTGCAGTTTTTTGGGCTCCGCCGCGACGACTTGTTGGATGCCCGACGCAACGGACAGTCGCCCAATGTTGGCGGCCTTTATGATCCACGCCGTCGGCGCAAGTTTCACATCTAGCGGATGTAGCGGCCCTGCCAGAGGATCCCGGTTTTGAGCGCAATGTGTTGCGCATCTGTGCTGTGCTCAACATGGCACTTACCCGACTTACCCCCAAGCTGAACCGAACACAACCTCCAGGATTTTTCCCAAGTGCACATCAGAATGGATTATCTGAGCGCTCCCTGTCGAAATTCAATTGGGCAGCGCGGGAGGTTCAGGAACTTCAGTCTCAGAGACATTTCGAAACGTTTGCACTGCATTTGGGTTCACGCTACAGCTCAAGCACTGGGGTTTGGCGACACGGCATCCGCCTACTTCGTTTGTTTCCGGGTTGAGGAGCCAGAAGTTCACCCAAAGCCCCCAAGCGCTTACGACACATCGCAAACTCCCCGACCTCGAAACGCAACTCCAAACGAAACCCGACGCAAGAGGGTACCTTGCGGCGCCGGTGTAGCAAGCTACTCATCATTCCCATGCCGCCCCGAGCCGTCTTGGAACTCCTGATTCCGTTGATGCACAAAGAAAGCTCCCCATGAGAAGCACGGAGCCTCCCCGCAAAGAAGCCTCCCGAAACCTCAGATTCCTCTGCCTTGTCCGTGATGCGTGGCTTCGACGGCGTCGTCTCCCTAGGCGAAGAGCTACCACGCCATGAATCAGTGTAAGCTCCTTTGTAGGCCCACTGTGTAGTGCTCAGGGCTGCAGTATAGTTGGTGCTCAAGCCGCGCGCTATCGATAAACGAGCTCCGGGTGTGCTTTCAGGTTGCAAGGCGTTCGCTACAAGGGGTACCGAAGCCCTGAGGTTAGAGTCAAAGGACCGTCTTTTTCGGAAAAGTATACAGGGCCCAAAGTTTTTCCCGATATCAGTTTTCTCGTTTGTGCTCTGCTCGCCCCGTGGTTTGCTTTGCGTGCTGTGGGTTTGCCGAGAGCGATGTCGCACCCTTTTTTTTAGAGCGTAAGTCCCTTTGATGGAACCCGCAGTTATGTTTGGGACAGTTTTGGTGGAGTGCAAGAGTGCAAGGCTAGTGGCTCAGTGCAAGATCATGCAAGAGGGCAAAGTCAACGTGCGTGCATGTGTGCGTGCTGGTGTGCGGGGGTGTGGGTGTGCGGGTGTGTGGGTGTGTGGGTGCGTGGGTGTGCGGGCGTACGGGGGTGGAGCATTCTAGAATGGATGGACGGGGTCACTCCCATTAGCATACAATTTTGCACGATGAAATTTGACATCACTTTTGGATTCAACAAGCCATTTTTTTGACCCCATGAGTTTTCACCAGCCAGTTTGCGCAGTGAACACGAAGCTCTTCACAACTGCCGACCTGCACAATGCCGCCAAGCAGGTCAAACAAGACCTCCTTCAGCAGATGGCACACATGCAGACCCAGGCTGTCAGCAGCACCCCGCCACAGAACACTGAGCCTCCTTGTACACGAGCCATGTAGACATGAAATTGAAACGAAAGTACGACGCAATTAAACGCCCTTCGGCTCGTCTCCACTACAGAAAACATGAGGGTTGTAGGTTCACTCCGTTTGCATGTCGCTGCAATGACACCGCCGGGAGTTTATTGTGTTCATTTTGTCTTCATTTCGTTGCAATGATTCCATCTGGGGTTGATTCTCAGGGGGTGAGCGTGGGGGGGTGGATGAGGGTGTGTGTCTGTTTGTCTGTTCGTCTGTGTGTCTCTCTGTGTGTGTGTGTGTGTGTGTGTGTGTCTCTGTGTGTGTGTGTGTGTGTGTGTGTGTGTGTGTGTGTGTGTGTGTGTGTGTGTGTGTGTCTGTGTGTGTGTGTGTGTTTGTGCATGCCGTAAACGGTGCCTTAAAATTGTTTCAAGTTTATTCTAGGAGAACCCCGAACCTGGTTGAAAGCTCTTGTCCCTGAAGCCTATGCCCGGACGGGGCACGTATCGAAACTCTAGACCTCTCGAACTTCCAAGCCCCGTTGTCAGGCGCTTGCTCCGTTGAAGTGTCCCATGCAGGGTCGCTTCCTGCTCTGGAGACCGATGCTAGGTGGGCATCTGGATTTATGAGTCCCTGCAGTTTTGTTCAAGCAAAGCAGTGGTTTCACACTTCTGTCAGAAATGTCTGGGTTGGCATTGTTTACACACACAGTCCATATATATATATATATATGTGTAGAGGTTGTCTTCTTCGTTTGACGTTCGTAGAAGCAGTTTTAGAATGTTTTGGTAATTCCAGTATGAGTCAGTATGGGTTTCTCCCAGTCGGAACAAGCTCCGTGCAGGTCTTCGGATTTGTGATGCTTATTTAGTGCGGGCATGTTTGTCACCCGCCAAGTCAGAAGTCAGCTCACCCCCATCGCGCACAACTCACCCCACATTTGCAGAAGTCATCCCAGAGGCCGTTCACCCAAGGCACAGCGGTGTTCAAGAGCCCCAATTCCACGACGATTTCGAACGTCACACCACCCTTCGAGATTGCCTAATTCAAGGGCCTTCAACACAAGCCAAAACTCATCTTCAACCAATGATTCCCTCCAAAGCGCAGGCTCTTTTGTCGTGATGCGGCCGTGCCCATGACTCACCCCTACTCTCCCAAGAAAGCTGCTGCAGTTGACTGTGCACGAGCCCACAAACCCTCGCCTAAGCCTGTGGCCCGGCGTCCTCCACGAAGCTTCTGGGTAGCCCCCCTTTTTCAACCCCAGCCGGACCTCAACCGGTAAACTTTGCCAGATTCACAGACTCCCACAAGGATGGCAGCCCCACACAGGGCCTCACGGACCGCGCATCGCTGCTTGCGAGCCCCGGTTCAATGGAGCAGGGTTCAAGTGGGTTTCAGGTGCACTTGGAGGTTCATGGTACTTACCTTTTATAACTGTACTTCTAACTGTACTTCTATAACCATATTAGCGCACTTAAGGGGATTATAAGTGGGTTATAAGTACAGTTATACTTGGTTCATAAGTACCATGAACCTCCAAGCATGTGAAAGACTCAAAGGCCTCGAGTCTTGTCGTTCCCCGGGCGACACGTGACGAGGCGTTCGGCCTAGGACCTTCTGGGCAACAGGAGACACGGGAGAAGAGTTTTCGGGACGAGTTTTAGGTGTAGGGTTTACGGGACGTTTACAGGTTCACGGGTCAACCGCTGTTCAGTATATGTCCAGCTAACAGAGCGCAACGTGCATGTACGACTGCCCTCTCCTGAGTTCTATATCCCCCTTGGGAATTCTTGTTTATTGTTGCTTAAATAAACCCAAGAGGATGTTAAACATACTATTTTTATTAAGGTTCTAAGGGGAGTTTTGAGTTTGCTCTCCCCCGGGAGCCAGCAACTTCTGGCGTCCGAGCAGTGACAATGGCCTTGGACGTGCTTGCAGTTTGCAGTTTGACAGAGTTTGACTCCTTAGCTTCTTGATTGGGGACCCAAATAGAAATTGAGAAAGCCGAGGGAAAGCGAGCCCAAGATCGCTGCGCTTGACGCCTTCAACATCCCCCAGGCTTGCAGGCTTTGTCTCCAAATAGGAGAAACCAGTCAATGCCTGCAGGATTGGAGTTGATCGGAAGTGTGTCTCATGTCGCAAGATAGTATGAAGAAGGCAAACCTTGCGAACATTCGCAAGGGCCTTGTGTGTTGTGCCTGACGATAATGCAAGAAGCACGGGGTGAACTTTGGCAGACTCACCACCACGAGACTTAACATCCTGTCCATCTTGGATATTTTTGAACCATTCGTACCTTCACCACGTCGCAAAAACTCTTGACTCTCCGTGCTGCTCAGGCGATCGTAAGACGTTTCGGAGTAGGGGCCGCCGCGCTGATAAGCGTGGTCGTGGCCTCCTTGATCTTCTTGGGATCCAAGAAGAGACCTTCGAGTTCGTCGCAAAGCCCTTTGGCCACAACGATGCCTAAGCCGGCGAGCTTGAAGTCAATCTTCTTTCCTTCCTAGTTCCTGTTTGGTATGCTAGTGACTCGCAGGTGCACAAGGGACAGCTGCATACCAATTACCTTTACGGTCGTACCGTCGTACACGCGAACAATGTAGGACCCGAAAGAAACCACAGTGAATTGTTTAGCACCACATGCTGCCATTCAGCAGTGCATGCTGCAAGCGGAGTGGGTTTCGGGATTCACCTAAAGTATCCTAAAGTGCTATGTCCTCAGGCCACATCAAGCTTGCCCGCTAATGAATATTCCCCAAAGCCAGGTGATCTAGTAAGCAGCATACCCCTCAACCGACTAGAATGTTTTGAAGTCTGACCACCTTTTGCTTCAAGGCGTCCTTGTGCTCCTTTGCGGGGCGGTTCTGTTCATGGCGGTGCCTTCTGAAGGCACTGCCACCGCCGTTTATGCGACTTGGCTTGGGTTTGGGGTCGTTTGGGGTGCTGTCAAAGCCATTCGCCGTTAAGGGAAAGGCACCATGGCCGGGAAGGCAAGCAGTGGAGTTGATTTTCGTTCGTTCTTCTTGATGGGATTTGGGGTTCAGGGTTTAGGGTGCAGGGTTAAAGAAATCCGTCCCAAGGTGACGGACGGTGCGGGCGCAGCTGTATTGGATGATGGACGGCTGGTGACCTGGGGCGATGCAGGCGGGCCTCGCAGGAAGATCAAGGGCTGCTGTTTCAGGTTGCGGACTCAAGGTTTTAAGCCGTGCACGTGGGTTGCGGACTCTAGGGTTGTGTGTTTCTCTGGGTCCCGTCACGGCCCACTCCCAAACGTGCGGCAAGTTTGTAATTTCGCTTGTGGTTGACTCTTTGCGGTATCAAGTGTTGTTCTTCCATGCGTGGCTCTTTCTGCGTACTGGATGTTGTTTAATAACGTCGTGTGCCCAACAGACGTCCTGGGCTGTGCTTTAGACGCAAAGAACTTCTGGAGGGGACTCCAAGTGTGAGGCTATGGAGGCGACTCCTCGTCCGTGGCATCTCAACTGACAAATGTTCAAGAGGTGGTCACCACTTCAAGGGCATTTGGGGCCCTGAAAAGCGATGGCAGCGTCGTTGTGTGGGGTGATTCCGGCTATGCTGGCGACGCAAGCTCACTCGCTGCACCACTGTCAAGCGGCGTGAGCAAGATTGTGTCTGGTTTCTTCGCCATGGCCGCGCTAAAGTCTGATGGTAGTGTCGTTGCCTGGGGCAATTCCCATTTTGGTGGTGACACCAGCTCTGTTGCTGCCCAGCTAACCTCGGGCTGCGTGGGTTTGTACTCGAACAAGCACGCCTTCGTAGTGCTGAAGAGCGACGGATCAGCGGTAACCTGGGGTAGCGGTGCCGGATTGACATCACCAGAAGACGTCACATCGCTCATCGACTCCACGGTAACTGAGATCTTAGGATCTCATCATGCCTTTGCTGCATTGCGGGCCGATGGAAGAGTGGTCACCTGGGGCGACGTCAATACAGGGGGCGACTCCAGGATGCTTTCTTCACAGCTGTCCTCTGGTGTGACCAGCCTTCATGGAGGTTCCATGCAGTTTGCCGCCTTGAAGCCCGGCCCTCATCTTGATGCGAATCCTTAAGGTCCTTGCTTCTACAACTTACTAAGATTAAGGTCCGATGGCACAGCATTGGTGTGGGGCATGGGGCCTGGGCAGAGTACTTGGGGCGAAGCCTTCTCGTCAGCCAAGAGCTTTGCTTTCTCCCATACAGCCGTGGCCATAGTGTTCACGGATGGCACAGTGGCCTCCCGCGGACACTGGTCTGCTTTGGAGCGAATTCGCCATGACAAGGGTTTTATATAGTTTTGACGCCAGAGAGCACAGAAGCTTAACTCCAAGAGCTCTCCAGGAAATACCAATGATCAGTATGGCGCGGATTCGAGCGCGGTCTCAGCACAGTTGACGGATGTGGATCGCATCTATGGCGGCTGGCATGCCAGTGCCTTCATCGCAGTGACCGTGCTGCAGTTCAGAGATTCAGGGCTTCCGAGAATTGGGGGGGTACCTTACTGAGGTCCTTATTATGAGGGGATCCTATTATTTGGGGATCTATATCGGGGATCCCCTGTTTTCCTAAACCCCCATATGCATAAACATACAAGTGTCAATGGCAAGGATGAGCCTGGGGGTTTGGGCCAAGTTCGTCCAAGAGCACCTTAAGGGCTCCGAGCGTTCTGTGAATTAGTTTTTTTACACGTACGTGTACTGAGAATTAGTTTTGTTACACGTACGTGTAAAAAAACTAATTCTCAGTATGCTCTGTGTTTCTTTCTTCCTTATTCAAGTTTGTTTTCCCTCGTTTTTTTGTTGTCAGACACAGGTCAAAAGCAATGGAGATGCAGTTGTATGGGGGCATCCTACGCGTGGTGGGGATGCATCCGGAGTGGATCTCTGTTGCACGGAAGCACAGCTAGAAACAAAGCAAGCATGACGTGGGCTCTAATCCCTACAATGCCCTCCGATCTCGCACTAGAAGCACGAGCAACTGCAAGCACCACCCTTTGATGGCCCCAAACATGCGCTTTTCCCATGATGGAGGTTCAGCGTATGGAGTTCCTGCGCATGTCGCATGTCCAGCCGACGTAGAACACCACACATTGCTGTGTTGCCTGTGTTGCAAGCGGCTCGCGCCCATCGCGCCCATCATCCTGCACTTAGGTTGCGTCCAAGCAGGCTTTGGTGGCTTCGATGCCACGGCAATACTCAAAACGGACGGCAGCGTAGTGGCCTTCGGAGAATCGGCCAACGGTGGAAACACCCAGCGCCTCGGACATGAGCCCATCTTTCCCCCGTTGAACCCTCGAGGGCGCTTTTTGGTACACGAAGCAGAGGCCAAAGTGTAACTTTCCCGATATGGCACTGCAAGTGAGCTGGACCGCGGGCCCTTGGATCTTGGATTTCACCTCGAAGTCTGTGGCTTGCTGTTCTAGGACTGGGCCTCACAAAGAACGAGACGAGCAGAGGCTAGCATATCCGCTAGCATATGTATTCTGGGTGATATTTTCTCAAGCTTGGATGGTTCATCTTTCTCATGTCGTCATGTCGGACGTGTATTTACATGGAGACAGGTTGGCACTGCGCTCGACCGAACGTTGTAAAATAATTCGGTCCGCATCCGCGTTCAAGTTTCGGAATTCAGCTTCGAGCTTCCACGGTTGAAACCCTAAACCCTACACCCTAAGCCCTAAACCCTAAACCCCTTTGCCATCCCCCGAAAGCCGCCCTCAGAGGCATCCGAACTCCGCAACCGACGTGACCTCGGGGGTGACGACCATTGCTATTCCGCCTCGAGATGGCGAGCTTAGGTTGCCTTTGAGAAGCCGTTGAAGCTTAATTTGAGAGGTCTCTCTCTCTCTCTCTCTCTCTCTCTCTCTCTCTGTATACCTATATATATGTATGTAAGCTCACCCCCCCCCATGATCAGGTCGGAAAACCTTTCGGCCACATCATTGAAGAAGTTGTAAATAGAAAGCTACATTCAAAGGCCACACTGTTTGCCCCGATGATTAGATAAAATGGCTACAGGGGCTTGCCTGTTCGTAACAAAATGATATTCAGAGGTTGCTCTGGGCTTCCTTCGTGTTTTATCTATTTTTTCATACAAGAAACCCACGCCCCAATAAATTCTCATCTGGGCTTCGTTCGTGGGTAAATATAGACAGAGTTTGATGATAAAAGCCACACCCTAACATATCATCTTCTCAGCCTTCTTCGTACTCAATCTACTTTTGACTCTATGTGCAATTGCCACATCCTATGAAGACATCCTCTTCTAAGCCTCGTTCCGAATGAAACCGAATTTAGACTTTTATATGAGAGACCACACCCTGTGAAATCCTCCTCTGGCCCCTATTCGTAATGAAGTGTTATGCGATTTTGTCTTAAAAAGCCACACCCTCAGAAATCCTCATTTGGGCTTCGTGCGAAACCCAATTAACCAGGTGAGGAAGTGTAGCAGGTGTAAAGCACAGGTGTTTTTATTACTGCTTGTAAGTTTTTCACATAGGGTCGAACTCCTTGAAAAAAATGACTTTGCTGTGCATGCTCAGGATCATTGTTTTTGCGGTATTTACGAGGGTTTTTGTACGAAAAATAAAAAGCTAGATCAAGGGGGGGGGGGGGTGGCGGGGGCGTGACCATGCTATATAGATATATATATATATATACATACGTACATAAATATTTGCCGGACATTCCCTTATTGAGCGATGCAATGGATGTCATGCGCCTGCTCCAGGAGTTCTTCGCCGCTCTAAAATCAGATGGGACGCTGGCAGCCTGGGGAAACCGTGGGGGCTCTGTCCCAGATGGCCTGGTGCCGACAAGTACGGCAACTTCATCCACAAGCAGCACCGTCACATCCACCACCATGACCACCACCAGCCACTTGACATCAGGAAATGCAGGATCTGGGACTCCCGAGATGTTGAAAACATTGCTTTCGCACCTTAAAGGCTTTAGAAGGAAACCTGAGCGGGTTGGCTTACACACATTCTTGAGCCTGCACCCTGAAACCCTCTGAAGCAAGCTCTCACCTCGCGCCGGCTAGCCCTCACGCTGCAGGTCTGCTCCCTGGTGGCTCGAAAGTGGTGATCAACACCAGCGCCCTGGCGAGAGAGAGTCTTGTACGTTGTACAGACACCCAGTGAGTCATGACAGCAAAGGAGACTTGCAGCTCAGAGGTCCGGAAAGCCTAGTCTAGAACCCTGAACCCTGAACCCCAACCTTCTGCCAAGATGCCTTTGCCTCGTTGGGAACGGACGGCAGCGTCACCACGTGGGGCAATACCGGCAGGGGTGGGGACTCCTCTTCGGTGGCTGCCAGCCACCAGGCTTCAAAAAAGCTTCATCTCCGAGGGAAGGGTGGGGGAATTCAGGCGGAGTCCGCTCTTCTGCTCCTCCATGTTTCACTTGGGTTTGTCTGCTTGATTCTTGAGACCGGAGCATGCAGAGGTTTGGCCTCTGACGTGGTGTTCCTTGCCGGCAGTGAAAGTGCCTTTGCGGCCGCGAAGGCGGATGGCAGCGTTGTGACCTGGGGCGACACCAACAACGGGGGGGATCAGGGCACCGCCTCCTCGCAGCTGAGCGGCGTGGTGAGCTTGGCCTCCACCTTGTCCGGCTTCGCTGCGCTGAAGGCCGACGTACGAAGTAGTACGAAGTCCTCGAAGCAAAGTGCTATCGTCTCGACTCCGAGTTTCAATGATCAGTTTTGTCCTTGCTACCTTGTTCTGAGGCAGATGGCTCTGTGGTTTCCTGGGGTCGCACACTCTACTTCCCAAGTGGCCCTGAGACCTTCTCCGACGTGGTCAGCATCACCACCAGCATCCATTCGTTTGCGGCCATAAAGACGGATGGGAGCGTGGTGGCCTGGGGTGGTCCATCAGAAGGTGGCTCGATATCCGCTGCTGCGCCTGATTTCATTTGCATTTCCCGCAGGTTCGCGTTCGCACGATTTCGCACGCAATCAAGCTCTGGCAACTTGAGGCTGTGGCCGCAGACTTGACCTCCGGTGTCAAGTCCATTGTGTCCAGCAGCCATGCGACTCGATCCGAGTTTATTGGGTGCAGAAGAGTCTCAAGCTCTAGTGTCAGCTGGGTGCGAAGACATGGCAATCGTATGGTGAAGACACCCGCTATCCCAGGTCATGGTGGCCGTGAAAGATGATGGGAGCGTCGTTGCCTGGGGGACCGGCTTTCGAGGCGCCGACATCCCCGCGGCCGTGTCCTCCTCCCTCGCCAGCGGCGTTGCCGAGCAGCGACAGCAAAGGTTTTCTGTACACAGTTAACTGTCAACGTTACGTGCTATGACTCAGCTACGACTGGCTAGGACCCTCATCCTTGCGGATGGTAGTGCTGCCTTGTCTGTCTGCCTGCTGGCAGCGTTCTAGATTCTAGCCGATAGCACGCTTGTGCCTTCCAGGTGGACTACGTCGTCGCACCACCGGTTTACGATGGCAGGGCTTTCGCCGCGATCAAGTTCGACGGCACCGCAGTGATGTGGGGCAACTTTGACGGCATCGGGAGCTTTGGCTACACTTACAACAACGTGAGGCAGCATGGCCTGCAATTAGAATCAGGGTGTGTAGTACGGTGTGTAGTGCTTGATCAGCTTGGCTGTCAACATCCTCGTGCGAGTTGCAATTGCGTCAAGAACTGGAGGTCTGTGACCCTAACCTCGACGCTTGACTGCACTGCGCATGGTACTCGTAGTGATGTTGCGAGGAACTTGCAGCCTCCGAACAGAGAACGCATGTTCACATTGCAGTAGGCGCAGACCCGCACAGAGTTGCCAGGGGAGCCGGTGCCGTGCTGTACCAGGATGGCACAGTGGACGCAGTCGGCCCAAGCAATATGGGCGGCGACGCCAGCGCTGTCTCCGGCCAGCTTACCGGAGTTACGGCCATCTACCGAACGGCGCGAGCCTTCGCTGCGGTGAAATCAGATGGCAGCGTCGTTGCCTGGGGCGCCAGTGGCTACGGTGGCTCCAGCGATTTCAGCTCTGTCGCAGCGAATGCGGCATGCTGCGTGCAGGAGCCATGCGCCTGCGCCTGCACCCTTGGCCCCTTTAGTCCTTTAGCCTGCAAAGCCTGCAGGAAATCTTCGGGGGTGCCCAAGGCTTCGCAGCGCTGAAGGACGGGACTCGAGAAATAGAGCTTCGGATTCGCTTCTGTGACACATCCACCCTACCCCTCCTGCGTAGGAGGATGGAAGCGTGGTCGCATGGGGAGGGGGCGGCGCCGGCAACATCGGCTCTTCTTTGTCGTCTGGGGTGTCTTTGCCAGTTATTATGAGCATCACGATATGCGCACAGCCTCGGCTGCTGCATTGTGAAGTTGCACAGCTGCTTGTTCGCAGACCTGTGGTTGTTTTGCCTGAAGCTTAGGTCGAGTACATCTTCTACTCCAAATGGATGGACACCCAGTTTCTTGATCTCCCGTTTACACACTTTTCACCAGCGGGGCTTTAGTTCACTGATGTTCACTGTTATCACTGTTCTTGGGTTCCGGATAGAAAAGGCCGCAAGCCAGACTAGAACTGACTAAGCAGTTTGCGTGCTACTCGATTCGGCTTCATCCTAACACTCTCCGACATACTCTGACCCAGGTTTGCGGCGGTCAGCTCCGGTGGCACAGTACCCAAGATGCAACTAGGGATCTCGTCACGGGTGCCTTTTCCGGACACTCATCCTCAGATACCTCCAGCAGTCCTCAAGCATCTCCCCTCTCACGGAAGTGTTCCCTGAAAGCAAGATGCTTGGTGGCAGGGTTCAGAGGGTGCAAGATTTCAAGTTATGGGATGCACTCCCACCTGGTTCAGCGCTTGCAAATGGCTTGCTCAGGTGACGTCCTGGAGCCAATCTGCTCCAGCCAATTTGGCGCTGTGGACCACCAGCACATGGACCACCACCACAAGCAGCACCGTCACATCCACCACCATGACCACCACCAGCCACTTGACATCAGGAAATGCAGGATCTGGGACTCCCGAGATGTTGAAAACATTGCTTTCGCACCTTAAAGGCTTTAGAAGGAAACCTGAGCGGGTTGGCTTACACACATTCTTGAGCCTGCACCCTGAAACCCTCTGAAGCAAGCTCTCACCTCGCGCCGGCTAGCCCTCACGCTGCAGGTCTGCTCCCTGGTGGCTCGAAAGTGGTGATCAACACCAGCGCCCTGGCGAGAGAGAGTCTTGTACGTTGTACAGACACCCAGTGAGTCATGACAGCAAAGGAGACTTGCAGTTCAGAGGTCCGGAAAGCCTAGTCTAGAACCCTGAACCCTGAACCCCAACCTTCTGCCAAGATGCCTTTGCCTCGTTGGGAACGGACGGCAGCGTCACCACGTGGGGCAATACCGGCAGGGGTGGGGACTCCTCTTCGGTGGCTGCCAGCCACCAGGCTTCAAAAAAGCTTCATCTCCGAGGGAAGGGTGGGGGAATTCAGGCGGAGTCCGCTCTTCTGCTCCTCCATGTTTCACTTGGGTTTGTCTGCTTGATTCTTGAGACCGGAGCATGCAGAGGTTTGGCCTCTGACGTGGTGTTCCTTGCCGGCAGTGAAAGTGCCTTTGCGGCTGCGAAGGCGGATGGCAGCGTTGTGACCTGGGGCGACACCAACAACGGGGGGGATCAGGGCACCGCCTCCTCGCAGCTGAGCGGCGTGGTGAGCTTGGCCTCCACCTTGTCCGGCTTCGCTGCGCTGAAGGCCGACGTACGAAGTAGTACGAAGTAGTACGAAGTAGTACGAAGTAGTACGAAGTAGTACGAAGTAGTACGAAGTAGTACGAAGTAGTACGAAGTAGTACGAAGTAGTACGAAGCAGTACGAAGCAGTACGAAGCAATACGAAGTAGTACGAAGTCCTCGAAGTCCTCGAAGCAAAGTGCTATCGTCTCGACTCCGAGTTTCAATGATCAGTTTTGTCCTTGCTACCTTGTTCTGAGGCAGATGGCTCTGTGGTTTCCTGGGGTCGCGCACTCTACTTCCCAAGTGGCCCTGAGACCTTCTCCGACGTGGTCAGCATCACCACCAGCATCCATTCGTTTGCGGCCATCAAGACGGATGGGAGCGTGGTGGCCTGGGGTGGTCCATCAGAAGGTGGCTCGATATCCGCTGCTGCGCCTGATTTCATTTGCATTTCCCGCAGGTTCGCGTTCGCACGATTTCGCACGCAATCAAACTCTGGCAACTTGAGCAACTTGCAGCAACTTGAGGCTGTGGCCGCAGACTTGACCTCCGGTGTCAAGTCCATTGTGTCCAGCAGCCATGCGACTCGATCCGAGCTTATAGGGTGCAGAAGAGTCTCAAGCTATAGTGTCAGCTGGGTGCGAAGACATGGCAACCGTATGGTGAAGACACCCGCTATCCCAGGTCATGGTGGCCGTGAAAGATGATGGGAGCGTCGTTGCCTGGGGGACCGGCTTTCGAGGCGCCGACATCCCCGCGGCCGTGTCCTCCTCCCTCGCCAGCGGCGTTGCCGAGCAGCGACAGCAAAGGTTTTCTGTACACAGTTAACTGTCAACGTTACGTGCTATGACTCAGCTACGACTGGCTAGGACCCTCATCCTTGCGGATGGTAGTGCTGCCTTGTCTGTCTGCCTGCTGGCAGCGTTCTAGATTCTAGCCGATAGCACGCTTGTGCCTTCCAGGTGGACTACGTCGTCGCACCACCGGTTTACGATGGCAGGGCTTTCGCCGCGATCAAGTTCGACGGCACCGCAGTGATGTGGGGCAACTTTGACGGCATCGGGAGCTTTGGCTACACTTACAACAACGTGAGGCAGCATGGCCTGCAATTAGAATCAGGGTGTGTAGTACGGTGTGTAGTGCTTGATCAGCTTGGCTGTCAACATCCTCGTGCGAGTTGCAATTGCGTCAAGAACTGGAGGTCTGTGACCCTAACCTCGACGCTTGACTGCACTGCGCATGGTACTCGTAGTGATGTTGCGAGGAACTTGCAGCCTCCGAACAGAGAACGCATGTTCACATTGCAGTAGGCGCAGACCCGCACAGAGTTGCCAGGGGAGCCGGTGCCGTGCTGTACCAGGATGGCACAGTGGACGCAGTCGGCCCAAGCAATATGGGCGGCGACGCCAGCGCTGTCTCCGGCCAGCTTACCGGAGTTACGGCCATCTACCGAACGGCGCGAGCCTTCGCTGCGGTGAAATCAGATGGCAGCGTCGTTGCCTGGGGCGCCAGTGGCTACGGTGGCTCCAGCGATTTCAGCTCTGTCGCAGCGAATGCGGCATGCTGCGTGCAGGAGCCATGCGCCTGCGCCTGCACCCTTGGCCCCTTTAGTCCTTTAGCCTGCAAAGCCTGCAGGAAATCTTCGGGGGTGCCCAAGGCTTCGCAGCGCTGAAGGACGGGACTCGAGAAATAGAGCTTCGGATTCGCTTCTGTGACACATCCACCCTACCCCTCCTGGGTAGGAGGATGGAAGCGTGGTCGCATGGGGAGGGGGCGGCGCCGGCAACATCGGCTCTTCTTTGTCGTCTGGGGTGTCTTTGCCAGTTATTATGAGCAGCACGATATGCGCACAGCCTCGGCTGCTGCATTGTGAAGTTGCACAGCTGCTTGTTCGCAGACCTGTGGTTGTTTTGCCTGAAGCTTAGGTCGAGTACATCTTCTACTCCAAATGGATGGACACCCAGTTTCTGGATCTCCCTTTTACACACTTTTCACCAGCGGGGCTCTAGTTCACTGATGTTCACTGTAATCACTGTTCTTGGGTTCCGGATAGAAAAGGCCGCAAGCCAGACTAGAACTGACTAAGCAGTTTGCGTGCTACTCGATTCGGCTTCATCCTAACACTCTCCGACATACTCTGACCCAGGTTTGCGGCGGTCAGCTCCAGTGGCACAGTACCCAAGATGCAAATCTCCGTCAGGCAAAGCTCTGTAGCCCCCCATGTCCGGACACTCAACGTACACCCTCGGATGTCTCGCAAGATCAGGGTTCCGGGTAGTGGCTCAACCCTTACAAAATGCTTGCTCAGGTAACGTCCTGGAGCCAATCTGCCCCGGGCAATCTGGCACTGTGGACCACCACCACATGGACCACCACCTCATCCACAAGCAGCACCGTCACATCCACCACCATGACCACCACCAGCCACTTGACATCAGGAAATGCAGGATCTGGGACTCCCGAGGTGTTGAAAACATTGCTTTCGCACCTTAAAGGCGAGACCTGAGCGGGTTGGCTTACACACATTCTTGAGCCTGCACCCTGAAACCCTCTGAAGCAAGCTCTCACCTCGCGCCGGCTAGCCCTCACGCTGCAGGTCTGCTCCCTGGTGGCTCGAAAGTGGTGATCAACACCAGCGCCCTGGCGAGAGAGAGTCTTGTACGTTGTACAGACACCCAGTGAGTCATGACAGCAAAGGAGACTTGCAGCTCAGAGGTCCGGAAAGCCTAGTCTAGAACCCTGAACCCTGAACCCCAACCTTCTGCCAAGATGCCTTTGCCTCGTTGGGAACGGACGGCAGCGTCACCACGTGGGGCAATACCGGCAGGGGTGGGGACTCCTCTTCGGTGGCTGCCAGCCACCAGGCTTCAAAAAAGCTTCATCTCCGAGGGAAGGGTGGGGGAATTCAGGCGGAGTCCGCTCTTCTGCTCCTCCATGTTTCACTTGGGTTTGTCTGCTTGATTCTTGAGACCGGAGCATGCAGAGGTTTGGCCTCTGACGTGGTGTTCCTTGCCGGCAGTGAAAGTGCCTTTGCGGCCGCGAAGGCGGATGGCAGCGTTGTGACCTGGGGCGACACCAACAACGGGGGGGATCAGGGCACCGCCTCCTCGCAGCTGAGCGGCGTGGTGAGCTTGGCCTCCACCTTGTCCGGCTTCGCTGCGCTGAAGGCCGACGTACGCAGTAGTACGAAGTCCTCGAAGCAAAGTGCTATCGTCTCGACTCCGAGTTTCAATGATCAGTTTTGTCCTTGCTACCTTGTTCTGAGGCAGATGGCTCTGTGGTTTCCTGGGGTCGCACACTCTACTTCCCAAGTGGCCCTGAGACCTTCTCCGACGTGGTCAGCATCACCACCAGCATCCATTCGTTTGCGGCCATAAAGACGGATGGGAGCGTGGTGGCCTGGGGTGGTCCATCAGAAGGTGGCTCGATATCCGCTGCTGCGCCTGATTTCATTTGCATTTCCCGCAGGTTCGCGTTCGCACGATTTCGCACGCAATCAAGCTCTGGCAACTTGAGCAACTTGCAGCAACTTGAGGCTGTGGCCGCAGACTTGACCTCCGGTGTCAAGTCCATTGTGTCCAGCAGCCATGCGACTCGATCCGAGCTTATAGGGTGCAGAAGAGTCTCAAGCTATAGTGTCAGCTGGGTGCGAAGACATGGCAACCGTATGGTGAAGACACCCGCTATCCCAGGTCATGGTGGCCGTGAAAGATGATGGGAGCGTCGTTGCCTGGGGGACCGGCTTTCGAGGCGCCGACATCCCCGCGGCCGTGTCCTCCTCCCTCGCCAGCGGCGTTGCCGAGCAGCGACAGCAAAGGTTTTCTGTACACAGTTAACTGTCAACGTTACGTGCTATGACTCAGCTACGACTGGCTAGGACCCTCATCCTTGCGGATGGTAGTGCTGCCTTGTCTGTCTGCCTGCTGGCAGCGTTCTAGATTCTAGCCGATAGCACGCTTGTGCCTTCCAGGTGGACTACGTCGTCGCACCACCGGTTTACGATGGCAGGGCTTTCGCCGCGATCAAGTTCGACGGCACCGCAGTGATGTGGGGCAACTTTGACGGCATCGGGAGCTTTGGCTACACTTACAACAACGTGAGGCAGCATGGCCTGCAATTAGAATCAGGGTGTGTAGTACGGTGTGTAGTGCTTGATCAGCTTGGCTGTCAACATCCTCGTGCGAGTTGCAATTGCGTCAAGAACTGGAGGTCTGTGACCCTAACCTCGACGCTTGACTGCACTGCGCATGGTACTCGTAGTGATGTTGCGAGGAACTTGCAGCCTCCGAACAGAGAACGCATGTTCACATTGCAGTAGGCGCAGACCCGCACAGAGTTGCCAGGGGAGCCGGTGCCGTGCTGTACCAGGATGGCACAGTGGACGCAGTCGGCCCAAGCAATATGGGCGGCGACGCCAGCGCTGTCTCCGGCCAGCTTACCGGAGTTACGGCCATCTACCGAACGGCGCGAGCCTTCGCTGCGGTGAAATCAGATGGCAGCGTCGTTGCCTGGGGCGCCAGTGGCTACGGTGGCTCCAGCGATTTCAGCTCTGTCGCAGCGAATGCGGCATGCTGCGTGCAGGAGCCATGCGCCTGCGCCTGCACCCTTGGCCCCTTTAGTCCTTTAGCCTGCAAAGCCTGCAGGAAATCTTCGGGGGTGCCCAAGGCTTCGCAGCGCTGAAGGACGGGACTCGAGAAATAGAGCTTCGGATTCGCTTCTGTGACACATCCACCCTACCCCTCCTGCGTAGGAGGATGGAAGCGTGGTCGCATGGGGAGGGGGCGGCGCCGGCAACATCGGCTCTTCTTTGTCGTCCGGGGTGTCTTTGCCAGTTATTATGAGCATCACGATATGCGCACAGCCTCGGCTGCTGCATTGTGAAGTTGCACAGCTGCTTGTTCGCAGACCTGTGGTTGTTTTGCCTGAAGCTTAGGTCGAGTACATCTTCTACTCCAAATGGATGGACACCCAGTTTCTTGATCTCCCTTTTACACACTTTTCACCAGCGGGGCTCTAGTTCACTGATGTTCACTGTTATCACTGTTCTTGGGTTCCGGATAGAAAAGGCCGCAAGCCAGACTAGAACTGACTAAGCAGTTTGCGTGCTACTCGATTCGGCTTCATCCTAACACTCTCCGACATACTCTGACCCAGGTTTGCGGCGGTCAGCTCCGGTGGCACAGTACCCAAGATGCAATTAGGGATCTCGTCACGGGTGCCTTTTCCGGACACTCATCCTCAGATACCTCCAGCAGTCCTCAAGCATCTCCCCTCTCACGGAAGCCTGTTCCCTGAAAGGATGCATGTGTAAGATTTCAAGTTATTCTGGGAATGCACCCCCACCTCAACGCTTGCAAATGGCTTGCTCAGGTGACGTCCTGGAGCCAATCTGCTCCAGCCAATCTGGCGCTGTGGACCACCACTACGATGTGCTCAGTCTCCAATGCGTAATGTGTGAGGGTTGTTTGGAAGGACAAGGAATTGAATTCTCGTGTTGTTTTTTGGGGATTGAGTGTGTTGAGTACCAAACACCTCACTGATTGTTTCATGTCTCGCTTGGGACCGCTGTTCCTTGCGCATGCAAGGGCCCTGCTGCGACCCCCCCGTTGTGCACTGCCACGTTTGGGAGTAGATACTGTTGTTTACGAGCTGCTGCTAGGTCCTGCATACGGGAAAACAGACCAAGTCAATCCATTGCCTGGCAAGGTCGAGCACGAGCACCTCCACGACCTCGACGACCACGGTCACCAGAACCAGGCCACGTGAGGGGTTGTTAATGTTGAAGTTTTGCTTGTGGTTTCGACGCTCTTGCTGAAGAAAGTTGTCGGTTTTATGGCTGTCTGGGAATTTTGGGAGTTCAACTGCTGACCAGATCGACCACGACCAGCATCACCGCAACCACCTCCACGACTTCAACAGCAACCGGAACGACTTCGACCAGCTCGACTCACACATTGACAACTTCCACCTCTTCGACGGCCACTACCACGTACACACCGGTGGAGTGCTTCCAGGGGTCGCACTGCAGTGACGTGACCATTTATGTCGGAGATGGTATTGCTGTTGCGTTGTACACAAGCGGCTACGCCGCAGCCTGGGGCACTTGGTACGGGAACATCGATAGCTACCTTGAGTCAGGGGTCCAGAGCATCGTCATGGGAGCCAAGTCCTTTGCGGCAGTCAAAGCAGACGGCACAGTGGCCACCACCGGGCAATACTACTTCAGTCAGAGTGCCCTGGAGGCTGGCTTGGGCAACTTGGGTGTCACCAAGGTGGTTGGAAGCAGATGGGCCTTCGCTGCTCTGAAGACCGATGGAAGCGTGCACTCGTGGGGGTTTGCCGATGAGAGCGATACCTCCTCAGTAGATATCTCGTCCAACATCGTTGATGTTGTGCCCAACAGTGCTGGCTTTGCTGCGATCAAGGATGATGGAACCATCCTAACTTGGGGCAGAAGCGGCAGCCACGACCCAGGATCCACGGACTTGTCGAATGTAGTGCAGATTGTGGGAGGAGATTGGGCTTTTGCGGCCCTGAAAACCGATGGCTCGGTCGTAACTTGGGGTGCTGGAAGGGGCGGCGACTCCAGTTCCGTAGCCTCCGAACTTGCATCGGGCGTCCTGTCCATTCAGCCTCCAAGGGCCGATTGGTCACAGCAGGGCTTTGTTGCTTGGAAGGCCGGCAACACAGCCGTGATTTGGGGCTACAACACGGACGGCACGCACATAGCCTTGCCTTCCCAATCGATCTCGGATGTGAAGAAGGTGGAGATCGCATCGTTAAGTGTTGGAGTATTGAAAAATGATGGGACCGTGATTACTGCTGGCCGGGCAGATGACTCAAGGAGCTTTGCTGATTCAAGCAGCGTTGCGGCACAGCTCACGAATGTCGTGGACCTCGTGTGCCCGGCGTACGCGTGCGCGGCGCTCAAGGTCGACGGCACGGTGGTGACTTGGGGTTACGCAGACTGGTTTGGATCGAGAAGGCTTGCCGGCGGCTCCGGTGGTCTCATAAACATCCAGAGAATATCTGGCTCGATTCTTGGTGGCAGCTAGTAAGCAACGTACTACAAGTTTTGGATCAGCCGTGTTTGCGTAAACGATAGAGAGCAGCCCAGGTTTTACTCTTTCGCAGGACTCAAGACTGACGGGAGCGTGGTTGCTTGGGGCCGGAGCGGTTCCCAGTATGGCACGGACTTCTCATATCCCCAAAGCAGCACGAGCGGCGAGGTCCAATCGGATGTCGTCGCGATCTACTCTCACACTGTTGCCACTGAGGGAGGTGGAGCTTTCGTGGCCGTCAAGCAGGACGGTGGCATAGTAGCTTGGGGCAATGCGCAGACTGCGAACATCCCTTACAACAGGCTGACAACTGTCACCACCACAACAATCACCAGCACCAGCACTTCCACCGGTACCACATCTTCAAGCACGACTGGAACATCAACATCGTCCACAATCACTTCAAGCACCTCCACCAGCAGCGCAAGCACTTCATCCACCAGCACATATTCCACATCAAGTTCTTCTACTTCGACCAGCAGTAAAAGCACCTCATCAACAAGCACTCTATCCACAAGCAGCAGTAGCACGTCAACTTCTTCGGCTTCTTCCAGCTCTTCTTCCACGAGCACATCATCAACTAGCAGCACCACCACGTCGACTTCATCGACTTCTTCGTCCACGACAAGCACATCTTCCACATCAACATCCACTTCGTCGACATCCGCGAGCAGCACGAGCACCTCATCCACAAGCACATCTTCAACTAGCAGCAGTACGACGTCGACTTCATCGACTTCGTCGTCCACTACAAGCACATCTTCCACATCAACATCCACTTCGTCGACTTCCACGAGCAGTACGAGCACCTCATCCACAAGCACATCGTCAACTAGCAGCAGTACGACGTCGACTTCGTCGACCTCTTCGTCTACTACAAGCACATCTTCCACATCAACATCCACTTCGTCGACTTCCACGAGCAGTACGAGCACCTCATCCACAAGCACATCTTCAACTAGCAGCACCACCACGTCGACTTCATCGACCTCGTCGTCCACGACAAGCACATCTTCCACATCAACATCCACTTCGTCGACTTCCACGAGCAGTACGAGCACCTCATCCACAAGCACATCTTCAACTAGCAGCAGTACGACGTCGACTTCATCGACCTCTTCGTCCACGACAAGCACATCTTCCACATCAACATCCACTTCGTCGACTTCCACGAGCAGTACGAGTACCTCATCCACAAGCACATCTTCAACTAGCAGCAGTACGACGTCGACTTCGTCGACCTCTTCGTCTACTACAAGCACATCTTCCACATCAACATCCACTTCGTCGACTTCCACGAGCAGTACGAGCACCACATCCACAAGCACATCTTCAACCAGCAGCACCACCACGTCGACTTCATCGACCTCTTCGTCCGCGACAAGCACATCTTCCACATCAACATCCACTTCGTCGACTGCCACGAGCAGTACGAGCTCCTCATCCACAAGCACATCTTCAACTAGCAGCAGTACGACGTCGACTTCATCGACCTCTTCGTCTACGACAAGCACATCTTCCACATCAACATCCACTTCGTCGACTTCCACGAGCAGTACGAGCACCTCATCCACGAGCACATCTTCAACTAGCAGCACCACCACGTCGACTTCATCGACCTCTTCGTCTACTACAAGCACATCTTCCACATCAACATCCACTTCGTCGACTTCCACGAGCAGCACGAGCACCTCATCCACAAGCACATCTTCAACTAGCAGCAGTACGACGTCGACTTCATCGACTTCGTCGTCCACTACAAGCACATCTTCCACATCAACATCCACTTCGTCGACTTCCACGAGCAGTACGAGCACCTCATCCACAAGCACATCGTCAACTAGCAGCAGTACGACGTCGACTTCGTCGACCTCTTCGTCTACTACAAGCACATCTTCCACATCAACATCCACTTCGTCGACTTCCACGAGCAGTACGAGCACCTCATCCACAAGCACATCTTCAACCAGCAGCAGTACGACGTCGACTTCATCGACCTCGTCGTCCACGACAAGCACATCTTCCACATCAACATCCACTTCGTCGACTTCCACGAGCAGTACGAGTACCTCATCCACAAGCACATCTTCAACTAGCAGCAGTACGACGTCGACTTCGTCGACCTCTTCGTCTACTACAAGCACATCTTCCACATCAACATCCACTTCGTCGACTTCCACGAGCACTACGAGCACCACATCCACAAGCACATCTTCAACCAGCAGCAGGACGACGTCGACTTCATCGACCTCTTCGTCCACGACAAGCACATCTTCCACATCAACATCCACTTCGTCGACTTCCACCAGCAGTACGAGCACCTCATCCACAAGCACATCTTCAACTAGCAGCAGTACGACGTCGACTTCGTCGACCTCTTCGTCTACTACAAGCACATCTTCCACATCAACATCCACTTCGTCGACTTCCACGAGCACTACGAGCACCACATCCACAAGCACATCTTCAACTAGCAGCAGGACGACGTCGACTTCATCGACTTCGTCGTCCACTACAAGCACATCCTCGACTTCAGCATCTTCGACGCGCACTTACAGGGTCCGAAACGGTGGGCGAAGGACAACCCTACGTATGCCAAGGATGTTTTTCATTGTCTAGCACAGGTTTGGGTGTAGGCTTAACGTGCCAAACGGGTTTGCGTTCCACGTTTGTCAACTCATAATGTCGAGTCCGAAGATTGAGACGTTGCACCATGTCCCTTCGAGCACCCTGAAGAAGGGCAGCGTTTCAGGGGAGTTTTGAAGGGTTCAGGGCCATTCAGGGCCGTTCAGGGTCTTAGGATTCAGGGCCGGGCTCTGTCAAGTGGAATACGTTTACATTTGCCCAGTTAACATCAACTACCTCGACCACCACGCTGACGACACAAACTTTCACCGAAGGCGAAGAGCATGTGCTTCGGGCCGAGGGAGGGTTTGGAGTTGCTCCGCAGATTGCCCTGAGCCCAAAACTTGACAGCCTCAACCCTTGCAGTGCCGTGACCGAGACCCGAAATCTCTAGCTCTCTCTACTTGGAGGTTCATGGTACTTGATAACCAATTCCAACTGTACTTAACACCCACTGATAAGCCCCGTTAAGTGTCCTAATACGGTTCTAAGTACAGTTTTTATGCACAGCTATTGGTGAATAAGTCCCATGAACCTCCAAGTAGGCCCTCAAACCGTCTGGGCCTGACCACGAATTGAAGGGTCGCGCGTTCTGAGCTCTGCGCAACGAGCCAGGCAGCTTTGCCGTTCTCGCGGCGCAAGTCAGTCGCAGCGTCCAGGAGGTGAGTATGCGAAAGGCGCCGAAGTTGGCAAATTTCGGAGTTGAAATTATGGAGTCCAGGTGAGGTTTGATTCTTTGCCAGGTCCCAGGCTTTCTTGAGGCTTTAACCCAAAACCCCAAACCCTGAACCCCAAATAATTCTACTGGTTCCAGGTGTTTCAGGTTCGGAGGCTTGGGGCGACTCTCCCAGGCACGTGCCGTCAACGACGTCTTCAAGATGCTGAACGACATGACGGCGCGAGGGACCTCTTAAGTGGTAAGAGTAATTCCATTACGAGCTCCACCCGAACCCGAACCCGAACCCGAACCCGAACCGGAACCCACCCCCCCCCCCCCGGGGGGGAGGGGTAGCATATGTATGTGTGTATATATATGTATAAATATATATATATATATTCACAGAACATAAAGAAGCAGAGCTCCAGAGTTCACTGCTGTGGGGCTCGGAGGGAGGCCTCCATGTATGCATCTAAGCTGACAACGCTTGGCCGCTGTTCGAGTAGGTGGCAGAGATCAACGGGACGATTCCCGACGACGACCCCGACTTGCTGCTGAAGGTGGTCACCAAGGACGGTGATAGTACAACAAAATATTTACGTTAATGGAATACTACATGCATTTTTTATTATATGCCATAATCAAAATCACAATCATAAGATTGGAGTTGCCTTGCCTCCCACCCCCCCTCCCACCCCCCCCACCTAGCCACAAACGCTCAACCAATCAGCTCTTTCGCGTGTCGGAGTTGGGTTTCCGTAACAATGGCCGCATCAACACCTTGTGGTCCAAGAGCGGGAGTCCGCTCCTGTCGCTTGGGGCCATTTTCCCCAAAAACTCCCCAAAAGAAAGGGCCTAGGATGAATCAGGGGGCCGAAACATGATGGGGCAAACCTTCTTTTGCCCTTCTGCGATGACTGGCCAAGCAAGTCGAGGCCTTGACCCCCAAGCAGTATATGGGTCCATCAATGGGTCCATTATGGGTTTATGTGGGTCCAAATTGGGCCACGAAAGCTCCCATTCTCGAAAGGGCGCAGACGGGTCCAACATCGGAACCTATGCCTACAAAGTCACCGACAAGTCCGTGGAAGTGACGATTCTCGACAGATCAGCAGCCTCTGCAGCCTTTGCAGCCTGTGATCCTTTGTAGTACCTTGTGGTTTTGAGCCGAAGCAAACCTCTTCAAACTCCCAGGTTCGAGACAGTTGAGATCGAACTGCCAGCTTCCCACCTGCAGAGATTCCAAACTTGACGTCCGAAATCTTCCGAACTTCGAAATTCTAGTCATTCTGATCACTCATGCTGGGAATCGGTTCATGTTTTGGATTTCAGGTTTCAGGCGGGCCGCGGATTTGCGCCAGGTTCCTTTTCTTCGAGCAATGCAGCTGCACACAGACGACCCAATCGTCCTCAGCCTAGCCAGATTTGCCAATGCCTCTCTTGCTTCTTGGCTTTCAAGATGGCTTGGGAAACAGGCACGACATTACGTCACCATTTCATGTCAGACGTAGGTTACTTAGCAGACAGATTACGGCTGTGCCGACGTCATATCCTCGAGCACGAAAAACCTACGACAGAGGGCCACAAGGGATGCGCCGGGTAGTCATGTGAAATCAGCTGAAAGCAGCATTGTAGGATTCTGAAAAGAATTGCAAGGATCCTTTGGCACCTTTCGATGCAAATAAAAGCGAGGCCTTCCAGATGTTGGAGAACTTGGCTGAAGGCTCCGACGCCCGACTCGTCGCCGAGCCTTTGCCACCTGCCACGATTTCCATCTACTCGTCCCCTTTGATGCCCCGACTTCGTCCCCGAGTTGCTTTTGCAATAGATGCATGCAAGGCCGCAAGGCTCCGAGGTCCAGTCAGGCCTATTTAGTTACGTTGTGGCCATCTTCTTTTGGCTGCAAATGTTCCCAGGAGCATGTCCTTTTACAACACGCAAGGGCCCATCACGCAGAACTTCTCCGCCGATCCCGTAAGGCAGGAAAGGGTGCTAACAAGGTTAAGGACAAGAGATTCATGGAGGTTTGGCTTGGTTTGGCCATGAGATTCAGTTTGAGGCAGATGGCGAGCAAACGTGACTACCCTAACCCTGAAGTCACGGCATCGGTCATGCCTTTACGGATCAGCGTGTGCTCATGGCTTGCACATGGTCGAAAGCTCGGTTGCAGACCGTTCTTCTTCATGCCCTTGTGAACACTCCGAACGTGCCTTAAACCGACTTAAACCACATACTCCGAAAATCTTCACTTATCACTTCATCCCTTCATCCTCAAAGCCCCCCCCGACTTCGCGCCGAAAAATGTTGGCTCTTTACAGGCTCCGCATGGAATTGCTCATCGAAGTTGATTCGGTTTCTGGGCTTTGATCAGGGCTGCTGTAGCCTGTTCGGGCATTTGGAGCAGGGCGGTGGAGCTCGAGTAGTGAAGAATACACATTAAGGTCAGGGCTTCGGAGGCAGACGTTTATTCTTTTGAGGGAGTTTTTTTGCAACTGGTTTATGTGGTGTGTCCTTCAACCCCAGAGGAGTGCGTTTCTTAGTTTGGAAGGTTTCAGGGTGATTGTTAAGGCTAAGGGTTTAGGGTTTATGGTGACTATTGGTGACTCATATCCCGTAAACCGAGGAGTGCGTCTTTTGGGACGATACCGAGAACCACTGGTCGACCATCGGCATGAGCCTTCTGGAGTCTGGGAATGGCACCCGGGCCTCTGACTGAGACTGGTGGTGCCTCTGTTGTGTTCTGAATGGATTCTTTGGTTCTTTGATCACTCTTGGGTCCCGGAAATGTCCATCTTCACGGTTGTTTGATTCCAAGGGCCCACAGCACGAGACTTACACGCGCCCGAGATTCCAAGTAGCGCGATTTCCCGGCAGCCGTCGACACAAGACGAGAACGGTGGAGAGTGGTGGAGAGCCGCCTCAGCAGGGAGTGCAGCTCTGGAGCTCAGGTACTGCGACGTGCTCAGTCAGGCTGGTGCTTGGAGTCTAGCTCACAAAATGCCCTGCATACAACAGTCGATGTAAGCAGCTTTTCTTCGAGGTCTGACAAGGACTAAGGCAAGAAGGCGTTCATTTCAGGTTAGCGGCTTCGGGATGAGTTTTTTGAGTTTTCGCTCTGAGATCCAAGCTCGAAGGTACGACCAGTTGCCCACGCTCCCCGCCATGGAGGAGGATACAGAGGCCTTTTGCTCAAGATAGCGCTTTTCAGGTCACCATCGGTCACCCTTTGTCACCCTTGGTGTGAGAAGGCCGGAATTTTTGAGCGCACAGCCAACAGCCTGCAAACGGAATTCTCAGGGTCATGATGAAGCACCCTTGACGGTAAAACTTTGAGGTGTAGCTTACCCCATCAACCCTGATTTCTGGAGGTTTACGATCCCAACCCTGCATCAAGCCTAACATGCGAAAAGCCCGAAAAGCGAAGACCCTCAAAGAATCACTTGAGGCCAAAGGGGACCCCATCATTCCGGAGACCACAAGACCCTCTCAGAAGTTTCTCCAGCAGTCTCAGCATACAACAGATATAAAAGCCCTGTGTTCCACCTATGAGAGCCCTAAAGCAATTCCAGGCTGGAGTCGAAAGTATGCCTCCTCGGACGCAAGCCGGCATTGTCACCTTACACTGCATCATGTCGGCTTACTTCCCAAAACGACACGACGCGACCACGCTATCCCTAGCACTGTGACGACTTTTTGCCATGTGCACCGCTGTTGCTTCCACTCATGCTATTGCTGCTGCTACCAGATTCTACCAGCTCCCGCGGCCCAAGCTGATACGAAACTATTTCATGTGCCTGACTGCGGGAATACCAAGACACAAGCGCGGCATAGCAAGAGATACGTGCCAGTAGACCCTTTTCTCAGATATTTATGCTGGGCCAGGCTTATGTTGAAATGAGGGTCAGCTGGCGTCGCCGGATTCAGCTGTCTTAAGTGGCAGGGCCTTCTGGTGTCAGTATACACACAGACATGCTAACTCTCTTTGCCTCCGTGTACGTTCATGTGGTCAGTTCCCTAAACTATGGTCCCATACCCTAAATACGAGGGGCCGCCTCCCCAAAGGGACCATGGCATCACCACGTAGATGTAACTTAAACCAGCTTGAAGTGTCAAGCTTCAGACGATGACCTCTGCAAATCAGCTCGCGCCATTCAAGCTTTGTGAAATTCCATGGCTAGTTGAACAACACTAAGACTATGGCAAAACCCAACAAAACGAACAAGAATCGAAGAAAACTCAAAACAAATCAAGTAAGCGCACCAAATTCGCTCCAAACGGCACGTCGCTCGATTTCATGACTCAGTGCAAAGTATCAAAAGCAAATCGCTTCGATTTTTGCTTGGTATCAAAACTCCAAAGAAGATTCATGTCGCTTTTTCTGGTATCAAAAAATCGAGAACAGTCTCGCCGATTTTCTTCCAGCGATCCGGCATGTCGATGTTCTTGTTCATACTTCGGATCAGCCTAACCCTAGTGAGGCCACACCGAAATATTATTACTATATTCGAACTCCTTTTTTTGGCCGGAAAACTCACAGAAAGAATCGGCTTCGATTCCCTGCCATTCAAAATCGGAGAAACATCGATTTCGATTGCTCCGGCCGAAAGATGTAGAAAAAAAACGAATGATTTCAGTTTGATTTCTTTTCTTGATTTTCCCGAATGTATTCTGATTTTTCGGCAGCCACTATCCCTAAATCATATCACATTCGCCCGCATAACTTTCAAAAGCTTACTTTCTGTTGGTCAGCAGGGAATGAGGGAATGAGGTACCCTATCCCCCTAGATATACCCTGTTAAGGGATTGTATAGGGTACCTCATGCCCCCATTCCCAACTAACCAACCGTAACAAAGCTGCTCCACCAAGCCCTCAAGAGCTGGCTGTTTCCACCAAAGCCTTGGACCGCAGTCAAAGGAAGCCCACACTTTTCAGCCTCGTCGCCCGCGCTTTCGGGGCGACACGTGCCTGCAGTTGGCCATCAAGTTGGACCTTTAAATCCGCTGGGTTTTAAGGACGTCTGAAAGTGGGTTCCGCTACGCCGTTATGACGGTTTGGGGTGGCTTGGGAGTCTCTCAGGACTGAAACGAAATGCCTTTGAGTTCAGTTCTGATCTTTTTGCTCTCCTACAAGATGTTTGCCGGTAGAGTTGTGCCGAGAGAAGGGGGCTCTGAGTCGGTTTGACTCACACCATGTGCTTGCAGATGAGTTTTTCTGTACTGGGACTTGGCCCCTCGTTAGACACAGCTTCAAGCGTCTCCAAGGACGTTTGCTTGTTCTTTGGCCTCGCAGATCTTCTCCGCAGAGGACGGGGTTCAGACGAACATCAAGCCAGGAACCTCCCAAGCATGGCCTCAACACTGAGATGTGTGACGTTCACACGGCCTCAACCATTCAAGTGGCCAACCTCTAAACCTCCCCTCCCCCCCCCCAGGGTTTGGCTTCGCTGGCGGAGAGTCGGACCCTGGATGAAACTTGGGGGTCTTTTCTCTCAGCAGCTCCTAGCCTTCCAAGCCCTCCAGTGCAAAGCTTGAGATGAAGTGGTTCGGTCATGATTGTTTAGGGCCGAAGGGCCCGAACGGGTACAGAGGGAACTCTACATTGTATTGTTTTGTCAGGGAAGCCCTTTTGTAGCCAAAGTGGAACCAAGGGACTGGGTGATCCGATGGCCTGCCATCGCCATGTGGGCCCCTTGGACAAAGCCCAACTTCAAAAACAGTGCTTTGGGAAAACTCTGCTGTGGCGCAGCTGCTTTCAACTCTACCTTTTGATTTCAGGTTCCGACAGGTTCCGACAGGTTTCGACAGGTTTCGAGGTTGAGCCATTCCAACCGTTTTATGGATCCATGCCTTCGGCCGGGCTTCTGGGCTGTGAGATTCACCTGCTTCACGGCCGTGGCGTGACCAGCGTCAAGAGCAAAAGACAGACAAAGAAAAAAACAACCAAACCCTAAACCCTAAACCCTGAAACGCAGCTCTAACTTTTTTGCTTCAGAACTCTGAGATCTTAGAGGTCAGCATTGTGGCCGCCATCGGCCTCCTGCTCCGTGCTCGCCGGGCCGACAAGGAGTACGAGGTCGGCCCCAGGGCGCACGTCTTCATATGAAGTAGGGTTTAGGGTTTAGGGTGAAGTTCCTTGTGTTTAGGACCTTTAAAACTTTTAAGCAGTTTTGGGCTCTTCGCATCTCTTCACGCTTCGGACAACGAGGGATTCCGGTTCTCCTTCCAGGGACCAAGTCCAGCAGCTTCGGAGCAAGCAAAACAAGGCAAAATGCGTTCTGGAAGCACGCTCTTCAGTCACCTTTTTTTCAGCATCACGTGTCAATAATTCTTTGATGCACTTTGCTTTCACCCTTTTATCAAAGGGGCATGTTTAGTGCACAACTTATGGTCCTTTTACCAATACTTTTTGCCACAACTTCACGAATACTCTCTTCGCCTTAACGAGGGAACTCGGACTCCTTGTTCCTCGGCTGCACAGGAGAGGCTTCAGAAGCTTCTCCAGAAGGACACCGCGCGCCCCTTGAACTCAAGCGCGCGTGTCTTCGGAGAAACTGGCCTCGTTGTGGAGGGCGAAGGTTTGACTTCGGAGTTGCCAAGCGGACTTCTTTGTTGAAGTGGTTGTTGGTAGCCTTGCCTTTGCCAGGATCGTACTGGAAGAAGTCTTGAAAAGATTTGCAAGAGGCTTTTCCCTCGTCGCGGATTAGCACAGCTTGCAGTCTCCTGCTTGACATTCATTGCAAACTTCAGGCATTTGGGTTGAGAGCTGCGTGAGATCTAAGATCCCAAATCCATGCATCAGGTTTCAACAATCCTTGGTCACAAGAGACAAAGTCCTGCGCCCACGTTTCGCATGGATTAAGACGTTCATGCTTGAGAAAGCAAATCGCGTGGATTCCCGACCTGCGACAAGGCAAGATGCTCGTGCAGCAAGCAAAGGCGGAGTTCGTGCTGTTCGCAAAGTTGCGACAGTCACGGCCTCAGCGACACACTGGGCCCTGAGCTTTAGGGTTCAGGGCCTCGTGGTTTGGGCAAGTGTCATAAAGCGACGTTTGCATGCTGCGACTCATCTCTAATCTCTGTTTAGGTGTTTGGGTTTAAGGTGTGCCATTTGCACAGGCTTAAGGCTTGGGCTTAAGGCTTAAGGAAATAGCCAGCCCTGAACGGCGACGTTGCACCCGGTCGGAAAGCAAGCGATCTACATCGGATCGAGCACAGCACCCGATGCCGTCAAAAGCAAAAGCAAGTGTGGCCGTTACTGAACTTGACTTGCGACCGTGCGGCATGCGGCAGCCATGGTGAGGCACACGACAGCAACCGCAAGGCCGCAACCGTAGGGGGGGTGGGGGGGGGGGGGGGGGCAGCAGGGCGAGGACAAGCACGCGGGGGAGTACACAATCTGGCAGCTTGGTGGCTTGAATCCTCAAAAAAGCGTACGGGGGGGGTGCAAGCACGCAAGGGGTTCTACTGCTCGGCGGGTTCGAGCGTAGGTCTCGTGATCAAAGGAAGCAGCGAGCAAGTATGGAACCGAAAAGATGTGACCGGCTCACTGAGGTTGATGAAGCTCCGTGGCGAGCTCCAATCTTTGGGCGCGAGGCGAGTGGCTTCGGAAAGCGTGCATCTTGGCTTTCAGAGGGCAGAAGCAGCTCCTAACCTTTAAGACCAAGCTGCCGAGTTGATAGGGGCAGCAGGGGGCAGCAGGGGGCAGTAGCCACATCAGACAGAGAGCTGCGCAGAGCTCTAGACGTTGAACCTTTGGACTTCACTCAAGCAAATCTAATCGGAAGTCAAGCTGACACGGCCGGGCAGAGTGAGTGCTGGAGAAGAGCAATAATTCCACGTGATGGTACCCTGGATTTTCTAAAGTAGAGGTGCACGTTTTTTTCCCAGAAATACAACCTCACACCCTGAGTGTACCCTGATTTTTTGCATTTTCTGTTGTTTATTTCCAAACTCCTGTATTTCAGGGCCGAACCAAGCCGAAACTAGGTTGTTCTGGGCTTGCCATTTGGCTCCGAAAACCCCTCCCAACAGTCCCAAAACCAGCTCCAACATTCAAAAACCCTCCCCCAACCCTTCCAATTCCAGCAGGCCCGTCAGCAATGAATCCACCTAGGTCAAGAAGGAGCTCGTTGATGCAGTCTCAACCCGAAGACTTGTGAGTCTGTATAACCTACTCAAATAACAGCTTCTCTGAGGCATTGGAGCCTGGTTCAAGCTCACTTAGGTCCGGGGGGGCGGGGAAGAGTTGGGGGAGAGTCAGGAAGGGGTGCAGGGATTTTGGTTTGAGGGTTTGGCCAGTTTGCGGGCGACGTCAGGCCCGAATGGTTCTGCATTCTTTCAAACCTGATGGGAAGTGTTTCCCGCATGGCTTCAGGTTCTGAGGAAAGTGCTGGCGCATAGAGGGTTCAGCTTAGAGTTTGTGGCTTGGAGCGATGTGATGTGATGCGAAGTGCTTGACAAGAGTGTCCTGGCTCGTTAAGTGCAGCAAGTTGCATTTCTTCTTCGTGCAAGTAGGGAGGAAGAGAGCAGCTTAATACTCAAAACCTTGACAGCGCACGGCTTTACGAAAGCCGCGAGACACAACATACCCGAAGGCGTCGATTATGACTTCCTCCACTCCCTCTACCAAGTCAGTGGCCAGACAGACACATGGCGAGCACTTCCGAAATCCGGGCCTTGGAACCTCAAGGCATCCCAAAGACATCTAGACATCAAAGCTGCCTTCGCGTACTCGTTCAGCTCGATTTATGTGCTAGATGTTCGGCAGTTCTGGGCCATAAACAGACCTGCCCTCGATCACGCGTGCCTTCCTGCTTGATTGCCGCTCAGATACGCTAGACCCATGTCTGACCTAGCGAAACAAGGAATATGCCGTTACCGTTAAAGGTTTGGGAAGCTGACACTGCAGATGGTGCCATGCACTTGTCGTGTGGCTTTGGGTACAGTGCTCTGTGTTTCGACGTTCTGTGAAGCAAGTGTTTCAGGATCAGACTTGCTGCAGCTGCAAATCAGCCTCCCTGTAACCCCCTCCATGTGCTCGCGAGGGCACACCCTCCGACGTTAGAATGATTAGAACCTACCAAAGTTCCCAAAGTTCAAAAAACCAAAATGACAAAATGGGGCCCTTCTTACTTCTCAGGCGCTTCACCGAGAAGCCAGAAGCCTCCTGGAGCGGTTCCATGCGTCAGGCATCTTCCGGCAACTCCTTTACTTGCCACTCGCCAAAGACTGGTGCACCGCATTTACCTTATATGATTATTAATGTATCTAATATCATTAGATATTAATATATTGCTATTCTTATTCTTAATATTTTGAATCTTTTGGTTCAGCTCCTCCCCGTTTCGCGTACAGCGTGTCGGCCCTCAACTGTGACCTCGCAAAAACCTTGTTTAAGACAAGTTTCAGGATCAAGAACATGCAGGTGGGTGCTAACTTGACGAACCCACCAACAGCAAGACATACAACATCATACAACGCTTAGCACCGCCTCAAACCCTCAAACCAGGGTCCTCCCCACCCGAAGACTCAAGAACAAACTGCAGGTACACCACCTACTGCCAGTGGTCCCGTGTGCTGGAGCCAGCCTTGCGAGTCACCTGCGCCGCCTGGAAACGTGATTCATGGACTGTGCTGGAATGGAGTGGGCCTGCAAGCTGAACTGGTGTTGAAACGAAGTCCAACCAACTTGGTACTTATCCTCTTCAAGCAGGAACACAAACCGGACAGTGCACCCCTTTTAGGCCTCTAAAAGGTGGTTTTTGTTTTTGATTTTGTGGTTTTTTAGGCTTCAGGCCCCCAATTCTCAGGCAGAGCGCGGCGCCGTCACGATCTGCAAGTTTTACAGCGGCAGCTTGGACGGAATTGGGGAGCTCTCCGGAAGCTTTATGGGACTTTAGGGCTGGTGTTTTTTGGCAACGGGGTGCGAGAAAATTCACAAAAAAAGCCCGCTCTTGAGCCTATAGGGCCTAGGGTTCTTAGGGCTGTTAGCAGGAGAGAGTGCGTGAGGACTTGCTGTCGCGGCTGCGTTCTACAACCAGGGTGCCGCAGCGGGCGGACAAGAAGGACGAACCACAACACTTCTAGCGACTCATAGCAACTTTGGGAAGGACTCAGGGTTCTCCTGAGCCTGAGCTTCGAAGCAACTGAGATCCAAGCGAGGATGTGAACTCCTCGAAACGGACCACAGAGCAAGAATCGTCCGCAGCGCGGCGGCGTCCTCAAGAGGGAAAAGGAGAGTTGCTGCTTCCGATTCAGGCTTTGTATGGCTCGAATGTTTCGATTCATCGCAAAGTGAACTTTTGGCTTTGCAGGTGCTTTCTTTTTCGGGACCGACTGAATGCCTGTCAAGTTATGCGCTGGGTTGCATGCAGCTAACATCGGCAGTCTTTGGGAGTGTCCAAGTAGCATTGCCTAACATACTTGCCACTGCTTTTTGAGCCCACGGCGCGCAGACTGTCCCAGGACACGGTCAGGGGTTACACACGAATCGGGGCAATGTTGGGGCGAGGAGACACAGGATGAGCTGGGAGTTTTAACTTGGGGGGTTGTCGCAATCGTGGGCCGAAATGATTGGGACATTGGTGCGTTGGTACGGTTGGTTCATTGGCGTCGGTACACATTGATAAAACGCAGGGAATGCAGACAAAGCAGACGATTTTCAAAATTGAGGACTTGCAGAAAAGGGTAGGGAGGGGATAGGGATAGGCATGTACCCTTTTTTTACATACATATGCCTCTCCAGATCATCGCCTGGGTCTCGGGCGTCATCGGTCTACTTCCATTCCTGGTCTTGACGCTCGGATGCGCTGGGCCCTTTGGTGCTAGAGCTGCCCGCGGTGTCAAGCTATGAGGCTAAAGGAATCTACGGGAGATCTCGCTCAGGGATGGCAAGTGTATAGTTTTTTGTTACACATACATATACATATACATATATACATATCTTTCTATACACATATACATGCATACCTCTGTGTATATACACATATATATAGACATATCTCGTGGAGCCGAACAAATAGTCAGCTCCACCGGCCTTTCTCAGCCTGTGAATGGCCCCAGATTTTTTGGGGGCTCCCTAAGGATGCCACTCTTCGAGAAGATCCGCGGCCAGTTGCTGCAGAGTCACCACATCATCTTCTGGACCCTTCATTTGGGTTTTTTGAGTCGTTCTCTGGGGGTTGGGACCAGCTGTCAACATCGGCCACTCCAAGTCCTTCCTGGCCCGGAAGTCAGAGAGTGCAGGAGGGTCCTTGCTAGGACATTCATCGCCGTCTACTTCTTGCTCTGCATCCTCACTGTGTGCGGCTGAGCATTGGTGCACTGTTCTATGTTTTGTTGGTTGCGTCTGGCTCGGAGTATATCGGCAGGCTGTGCCATTTTGCCGCCGCCTGCATTTCGACATGTCTTCGCAGAAAGACCCCGCATCGCCACACACATGGCTACCAAAAGCCAAGGGCTTTTGGGTTTCTACTCCAATGTGTGTGCATCAGGAAGAACGCCAGTCACTGGCAAAACAGGTGTTGGCAGCAACGCGGAGGAGGTTTCGCGCACTGGAAGGATGTGACAATCTCGCTTGACAGCACATGTACTACATAACGCTGCTGGTGGAATAGCTTCTGACAAAATTTGGTGTTTCCTGCCGTACAACCCACAACGCATGCAGAACGTGGTGATGCCACCTGAATTGCAACGACCCACAAGACTTGGCAGCGTATTCAAGGGTCTGCTGGAAGACTGAACTCGAGTTAAGTTAATACGAGACTTCTTAGTGCTTTTTTTGCTTGTCATGTTCAGTCTTTTGTTCAAATGTTTCGGAGCATCCACCCGACTATGCTGGAGTACGCTGCACACCTCGGGGAGCCCCTGAGGTTTGCATTTTCCATTCCATCGTCAGCTACGACGCTGCCCTCGATTGGATGATCTCCGCATTGTGGACTGTATCTTCGAACATGTTAATGCCCCAAGCTCAGCAGGTTGTGGCTCTACGGACTGTGGGCAGGGGGTCTGATGCAGCCTTTTGGGCGCCGACAAAGTGTCAATGTAGAGCTGCTGGGGTTTCTATACTTACTTTTCTTGAGGCGTGTATGGGCTCCATGGTTATGGTCTCTTTGGTTTCTATGGTCCCGAGGGCCTCTTTATGTTTTTGGAGCCTCACAAACGAATGAATTTAGTGAATTCGCTTCGTTTATACGTTTCATGTGTCGTTCAATTAAAGAAAATGTAAAGCATAAGGAAAAGATGATAAAGTGTTTTTCACTCTCTACAAAATATGATTAATAGCACGCGAGAATAATGTAATCGCGGTCATAAAGGAAAAGAGAAGAAGATAAGGAGAAGAAGATAAGGAGAAGATAGAAAGAATCAAGTGAACATACGAACAGATGAATTGGATTACAAAGTACGCTCTTTTAACACTCTTTTTCTTAGTTCTTTCATTCACATCTCCAGCATTAAAGACCTCTTTTGGGGCGTTCGCATCGTTCTCGCACTCGCAAGCTCATTTATTCACTCTGTCCTCACCGTATATCATTAGTGACTGCTACGGCACGCTTGCTTTGTTCCCGTGATTCCCCTGATTCCTTCACACCGGGCTTAAGGAAAACTCAATTCTACTCCTCTATTCGAGGTTGACTCAGGTGTTTGGAAGCCCCGGTTCACCCAGAAACCTACTTGGACCAGCTCCGGAAGCCAAGGGCTCATGGCGCGAGGCAGCACGCAGTACAGGGTGAAAGCTAGAAAGCGTGTGTCGATTGAGGTTCCCCCCTAAACCCTAAACCCTAAACCCTTCCAACCACCAGTCCAAGGACTCCCATCGCGACTGTACGAGCCCCAGCCTTCTGCATTTCGGAGCTGGGCTTCCGGCACAGGGATTAAATGAGGCCGGAGAACAGCTTATAATAATAATGATCATCATAATCATAGTAGTAATACTAGTAATAGTAACAATAATAGAAATACAATAACAATATAATTGTAAACGCTTGCGCGCGCTGCCTCGGCAGCCGGGCCGGCCCCAGGACAGGAAAGGAGGAAAGAGGGTTTCGCAAAAAAAGGGGAGGAAGGGCAGAGGGGTTGAAAGGGGGGGGGGTGGGGGGGAGTTTTGAGGCACTCCCGCTGTAGGAGCCACAGACAGGCGGGACCCTCCACGGCATCGGTTTGCAGCTCCTCCAAGCGATTGGGGGGGGTCCCACAGGGCGGGGGGGGGGGGGGGGGGGGGGGCGTCAAAAAAATTTTGGATGGGAAGGAGGCCCGATCCGGTCTGCTTGTTCCAGACGCTTCTCGGCAGGAAGCCGAGGCGAATAATAATAATAATGATGATGATAATGATGATGATATTAATCGTAATAATAATAGCTTAGCCGGACCCTTCCTGAGGCCAGCGCAGTGCTGCTGATCCTCAATGCCACCGCCATTGATGCATGGCTGGATTCGGGGGATCCGGCAGCAACTCTGCAGGCTCCGGTCAGTCTTGTCTAGTTGTGTCTTACAAGCGAAGCGTAAACGACCAGGCAGGACCGTACGACCACTTGCCGCGAGTAGAAATGCCCAAACACTTGAGCCACATGACCCGAAAAAGCAGGGAGTAAAAGGCAGGCGATTCGAGCTTTGAACTCCGGGTGTACCCACACTCATGTCGCACCTAGCGCACTGCACGGCCTCCTCACCGGTTCTACCCTTCGCAGGTTCTGCCCTTCGCGTTTTTCGCCCTTCGAAGTATTCACCTCTGGCGGGTTTTGCCTTTGCGGGTTTTTGCACTTCGCGGATTCGTTTACCCTTCACGGGTTCTGCCTTTTGAGGTGGCTCCCTGTCCTTCCTGGGTTCAGCCCACGAAGTAGGTACATCAGCCAGCAAGTCGGCCTGTCGATAGTAGGCCTGTAGCTAGGCTTGTCCGTTGACCAGTAAAGGCTCCCACACGCCCTACCGGCTAGGCAACCACAGGACCTCACAGGCCACTAGCCCATGACCCGCCCGGTGCTTCCAAGACAGGACAGGTGTAGGCCCATGAGATCCATGAGATGCTAAACCGGTGGAGCCAAAGCTTCCCATCTCTCAGCATCGCCTTGCGCTTCCTTCTCATGCCTTTCGCCGCCTTTTCTGCTCTGCCACGCCATGTCGAAGCCATGAAAGAAACAGAAAGGCAGAGATGGAGTCGGGAACCAGTGAAGGGCGGGCTGGAGTCGACAACAATGAAGCACACGGCCGCTTTAGGGTTGAAAGCTTGGAGCATCATGCTGTTTCCGAACTTCATGGGCCTATATGAACCTCTTTCCTGATTCTGGGTTCTCGGGTTTTGTTTGCCTTTTTCCCTTCGCACGGCCTGAGTTTGAAAAAGTTCAGTGGGCTTCAGAACGTTTCCCGCCCTTTTGGGTTGTCCAAGGACCTGGATGAACACCTTCCTTTCGAGCCTTTGGATGACATCCGCTACAAGGCAAGTGGGAAGTGGGAGGTGCGGTGAAGGCCCCAACATGCGAATCCCCAAAAAAGCTCAGGTCTCATTGAAGAAGATGGCAGTCTCAGGCCTTTTTTTTTTTGGGGGGGGGGGGGGAGGGGGGGAGCTCAGCCTAGCCTTAAGTTTTCACGTAGGTGAGATCTGATCTGCATGTGGTCAACACATGTGCTACACACACTCTTGGTCATGAGTGTGCTGTGGTTTGTTTTAGAAGAACCTGAAAGGTTTCGGGCTTGGTCCTGCCATTGTCTTTTGAGTTGCCTAGAAGGTGCACTTCAGCTTCAGAGAACAAGGTGTGACGGATTTTCCAGCCTACTTCTGGCAGGCAGCACGCTCCTCAGACAGCTTCAAGGTTACAAGTCATCCGAAATCTTTGCGCGCTGGGAGATTGCGGGCCACCCAGGCGCTTCGTCCGACACAGCTCCGAACTTGAAAGGCCCTTTCCACCGAGGTTGCCGAAATTGCTCGTGTTCCCTGCAGGTGTTCGTTCATGTTTCGGAGACGTTCGATCTGAGGAAACCGCCACAATTTCCAACAATCTTCAACATGGCGAGACCAGCAAGGGGTCAATCACCCTGGACGGCGTGATGCCGCAGCATGCAATTCTGGCGTCGGTGTACATCCGGCACAATTCCCGCTCGGTGTGCCTTTGGCCCTTGAGAGGCTTCTTGAGTTCTCGCGCAGGTTGGCACAACTCATTCAACTCTCGTCCTCCGAGGCGCCTGCTGGGCAACGCCGTGCTTCCCGGAGAGTCCTTCATCGAAAACGGCTTCCAGGGCACCCTTCCACTCTTCCGCCAGGGGCAGAAGCTGCTCGCTACGGCCATCAGTGCCATCAGTGTACAGAATGCAGAGTAGGCCAGGACTTAGGACTCCAGGCCGCCTGAGAGTTGCAAGTTTGGGGAAGTCACCGAAAGCCCCAAGTCTGCATCCCATGAAAAATGTCGGGGGCACTTGAGAAGAGATAGACTTCACCCTAAGAAGCCCTTTTTGCCCCCGAGGTTAAAGGATGCCTTTGTCAGCATCTCCATCGAGCAGCCGAGTTTGAGCCGACTGGAGAACTTGCCCAAAAGGGGCCGCGGCAGCATCCGCATGAGCGTCCCTTGGGTGAAAGATGCAAAGAGAGTAGAAAGAGTGAGAGGAGAATCCCGCGAATCCCTGAGACCACTGAGGTCTCAGGGAGCAATGCCATCAACGCCATGCTCCCTCACAAGATGTCCGCAGAAGAGAAGGAGGAGTTGGAGCTGGCAGGCATCTCCTTCGAGCAGGATGAGCACGAGCAGGACAGTCTGCATAATCCTGTTTCCATTTTCGTAGGCAGCTCGCTACCATGACCTTCCTCATGGCCTCTGCCCTTTGCGCTAGGACGGTGGCGGGCCGTGTCAGGGCCAACTAGGGCCAACCAGTACCGTCTCATCATCTGTTTGCGACGAATTGCAGGAATGCCAGCTTGCCGGCATCATGTTCACGGGCAACGAAGTCGATCGCCTGAACGATGAAGACTTGCAAAGGACCTGTGACCTCATGGGCATCTCCTTCGCAGAAAACGAGGCAGAGTCAAACTTAGGGAATCTAGAGTTCGTTAAACCGGTTGAATCTGTCGTTGGTGTCATTGACAGGGCAGTAGCTTATGGATCGCCTGCCCGAGCCCCCTTCGCCGAAAGGCTCTTGGCCGGGAATCGGGCAGTGTCACCGAGCATGCGGCTGGTGTCGGTGACATTGGCGCCGCACTCACGGTCGTCCCGATCGCAGACGGGGCCCAGTCAACTGCAGGCGTTGATGGCATGTATGGGGTCGGAGACCCTGCAACTCAGCTGCACATGCACCTTCAAAAAACCGGTGAGGCCAAGTGAAAAGCCTGGGTCTCGACGTTTCTTTTGAATGTCCGAGGTACTTTTTCAACTGCGCGGTAGGCTCCTCTCAGGAAGCGTGGTCGACCCAGGCAGGGATATGACATCTGATGTTGAGGGTTTGAGGGCCAAGATCGTTATGAGTTATGAGCTTGAGGATTGGTCGATGGGGTACTGGGAACCAATGAAAAATGACCAAGACCAGGAGATCTACAAAAACTGAATAGGCAAGTCATCATCAAGAGGATCGTAAGTAGGTTGCATAGCTTACATGCACTACAAGCATGGACGTAACCCAGCCCCGATCCTTCCATGAAAACCCACACCACTGACAATCTTTTGTCGTACTTGAGCCATGTCGAACGATGATACACTTCTCGATCGTGTGTGTCATCTGGTACCATGATCCAAGAGCCATGCGATGACCCCGGGCCTTGCAAGGCTGTCCGCACGATCAGCACTTCATATGCACAGACACGATCTCCTGTCACCAATTGGAACATCGGCAGGAAGTCCCTGATCCAAGTGAGCCACCATTAGCCTCATTAGCCCCCCACAGCTACATCCCGACCTGTGGAAGAAGTAGCAGGGTAGCGTCGAGAAGTGCCTGACTTTCTAAGAGATTGCTGCACTCCGAAACTCCACCGAAAGTTGAATCCACCACACTCATTTCGTCAGCTTCGTAAGCCCAAGCTCCATGCCCGCTCCAGCCAGCCTATGACAGACTACAGTAGACTTAGACCGCTAAGTCACCGTTTTTTGTGACCGCAAAGTCACAGTTTGTTGAAGGTTCAGGGACTTCACCCAGCTCGACGGCAACAGTCCTGGCAGACGGATTTTTCCACCGTGTCCCCCTCAACCAGATCATGCCCATGTTTGAAACTTGGGCACCAGATTTGGAAGATCATATGAGCTATTGTCTTTCGTGAGGTTGAAGTTAAAGTTGGCATATGTAGAAGTCTTTGTCCTATCCACGAAACTCTGAACTGTGAGTGTTGAGCTTTGTGTTACTGCGAGCTGGTGAAGCACAGGAAGAATTGGACGATGTTCAAGTGTCCAAGGGGCAGCCATCGCAATGGAAGAGTGGACAGATGCTCCAGGCGCTACCTGAAGGATTTCATGTGGTGGTGGACGGCGACGTTCTCGTGGTCCAGGCGGAACACTTGCGCCGGCGCTTTGTGGAGGGCTCATCCGTTTTGGTCTACCAAAACGGCTGGGTGAAAGCCACTGTCCTTGAAGCCTTCATAGAGGAGAATCTGCTACATCGCAGCGACCGACGTGAACATCGAATTCAGGTCGGCATCTGATCGTTTTTGTTTCGGTTCTCTGTCCTCTGCCCATCATCTCAGCACCGCCCGCCCTGCGCCCTGAATCGAAGGTGCGGTTGTTGTCAGACGATCTGTTCGTGCCGTCATGGCAAGCAAAAGCAATGCCGCACTTCCAGATGTGATTTTCCCACGACGTGGTTGGTGAGCAGCCTTTGCGATTCTATGGGCCAAACGGCTCGAACATGCGAAGCAAGCAATAGACTGCTGCGCGCGCATGTGATTTCATGCCTGAAATGTAGATCCACTTTTTGCACGTTCTTTGCCGAGGGCCAGGAAGCTTGAACGACGCACGCTCGGGGTTGAGCATTCGCCTTCACATCTCAAATCTGGCGCCCATCGCCAGCAGCAGCAGTAGCAGTAGCAGTAGTAGCAGTAGTAGTAGTAGTCGTCGTCGTCGCCGCCGCCGTCGCCGTCGCCGTCGCCGCCGCTGCCGCCGCCGCCGAAAGGTAGTAGTAGTAGTAGTAGTAGTAGTAGTAGTAGTAGTAGTAGTAGTAGTAGTAGTAGTAGTCGTAGTCGTAGTCGTAGTGGTAGTGGTAGTGGTAGTGGTAGTCGTGGTAGTAGTGAGTAGTATACTAAAGTATGCTAGAGCAAAGAGAGAACCATAGTATACCCATGTATTCCCCCATACACGTCGGCCCTTTGCATGAACTGCTCTCAAGTCCTCGTTCGTGGTGCCTGAGGGTTTCGATCGAAGGCTACCATATCTCTTCGATTTTTGTGGGACAGGCTTGGCATATATGCCAATGGGTGATGTGAGACCCACGTCCTGATCCAAGAACAGCACGTACTCCACGTACGTGAGGAAGACTCTGGTTCAAGGTTTCGGAAGTCACGGTTTGGGACTGTGTCGGAGTTAGGCCAGTGAGGCTTCCAGTGTTGAGGTCTTCAACAGTTCGGCTTTGGAAGCGTCCAGAACCTGCCGGAAGCAGAGTCTATCGGCAATGCGATCTGATGAATCGCGATGTCAAGGCGTCCGCGACCAGAGATACAGAGGTCCGTTTGAATGCTGGGCTGCGCAGTTCTACAGTTCTACAAGTTCCACTCCCGAAGGCACCCTCACATCTTGGCCTCAAGTGATTTCTGGGGTCAATGGGGTCAGAGACTGCAGTTTGGAATCGTAAGGTCCGGGGCAGGGGCGAAGAGAGGCTCGAGACGGTTCAAAATGGAACATCAAGAGCCCTGCTGTTCTTATTGGCCGACAGTCGAAGTCTCACCAGGCCAGCCCACAAAGGGACTTCTGCTCGGCGCTGCCTTCTTGTGGTTGAGAACACTCGAGAGCGTGGGGTCTGCCTATGCTGCATCTGCTTTCTGTTTGCACGCAAATACCCTGGCCCATGAGATCAAGAGCTTGACGCAACGGGTGGCGTTTCAACATGAGGCTCATAACATGGGGCTCTGTTGTTTCGTGAAGTGTCTCTTGTTCTGCTGTTATGTCAGGTTATATAGTGCGCTTTGACAGCTTGCATGAATTGGGAACGTCGAGAACAGAACGTACCGAAGAAGCATCGCATCGCCTTGGGGCCGCATGTCTGGCAGACCAGAGCTTCAGTCAAGCCTTTCAGGTGAAGTCATGATTCAAGTCATGATGCAGCAGCACTCGCAAAGGGCCACCATATCTGCCATATCTCTTCGATTTTTGTGGGACAGGCTTGGCATATATGCCAATGGGGGACGTGAGAACAACGTCCTGATCCAAGAACAGCACGTACTCCACGTACGTGAGGAAGACTCTGGTTCAAGGTTTCGGAAGTCACGGTTTGGGACTGTGTCGGAGTTAGGCCAGTGAGGCTTCCAGTGTTGAGGTCTTCAACAGTTCGGCTTTGGAAGCGTCCAGAACCTGCCGGAAGCAGAGTCTATCGGCAATGCGATCTGATGAATCGCGATGTCAAGGCGTCCGCGACCAGAGATACAGAGGTCCGTTTGAATGCTGGGCTGCGCAGTTCTACAGTTCTACAAGTTCCACTCCCGAAGGCACCCTCACATCTTGGCCTCAAGTGATTTCTGGGGTCAATGGGGTCAGAGACTGCAGTTTGGAATCGTAAGGTCCGGGGCAGGGGCGAAGAGAGGCTCGAGACGGTTCAAAATGGAACATCAAGAGCCCTGCTGTTCTTATTGGCCGACAGTCGAAGTCTCACCAGGCCAGCCCACAAAGGGACTTCTGCTCGGCGCTGCCTTCTTGTGGTTGAGAACACTCGAGAGCGTGGGGTCTGCCCTGCTGCATCTGCTTTCTGTTTGCACGCAAATACCCTGGCCCATGAGATCAAGAGCTTGACGCAACGGGTGGCGTTTCAACATGAGGCTCATAACATGGGGCTCTGTTGTTTCGTGAAGTGTCTCTTGTTCTGCTGTTATGTCAGGTTATATAGTGCGCTTTGACAGCTTGCATGAATTGGGAACGTCGAGAACAGAACGTACCGAAGAAGCATCGCATCGCCTTGGGGCCGCATGTCTGGCAGACCAGAGCTTCAGTCAAGCCTTTCAGGTGAAGTCATGATTCAAGTCATGATGCAGCAGCACTCGCAAAGGGCCACCATATCTGCCATATCTCTTCGATTTTTGTGGGACAGGCTTGGCATATATGCCAATGGGGGACGTGAGACCCACGTCCTGATCCAAGAACAGCACGTACTCCACGTACGTGAGGAAGACTCTGGTTCAAGGTTTCGGAAGTCACGGTTTGGGACTGTGTCGGAGTTAGGCCAGTGAGGCTTCCAGTGTTGAGGTCTTCAACAGTTCGGCTTTGGAAGCGTCCAGAACCTGCCGGAAGCAGAGTCTATCGGCAATGCGATCTGATGAATCGCGATGTCAAGGCGTCCGCGACCAGAGATACAGAGGTCCGTTTGAATGCTGGGCTGCGCAGTTCTACAGTTCTACAAGTTCCACTCCCGAAGGCACCCTCACATCTTGGCCTCAAGTGATTTCTGGGGTCAATGGGGTCAGAGACTGCAGTTTGGAATCGTAAGGTCCGGGGCAGGGGCGAAGAGAGGCTCGAGACGGTTCAAAATGGAACATCAAGAGCCCTGCTGTTCTTATTGGCCGACAGTCGTCTCACCAGGCCAGCCCACAAAGGGACTTCTGCTCGGCGCTGCCTTCTTGTGGTTGAGAACACTCGAGAGCGTGCCCCTGCTGCATCTGCTTTCTGTTTGCACGCAAATACCCTGGCCCATGAGATCAAGAGCTTGACGCAACGGGTGGCGTTTCAACATGAGGCTCATAACATGGGGCTCTGTTGTTTCGTGAAGTGTCTCTTGTTCTGCTGTTATGTCAGGTTATATAGTGCGCTTTGACAGCTTGCATGAATTGGGAACGTCGAGAACAGAACGTACCGAAGAAGCATCGCATCGCCTTGGGGCCGCATGTCTGGCAGACCAGAGCTTCAGTCAAGCCTTTCAGGTGAAGTCATGATTCAAGTCATGATGCAGCAGCACTCGCAAAGGGCCACCATATCTGCCATATCTCTTCGATTTTTGTGGGACAGGCTTGGCATATATGCCAATGGGGGACGTGAGACCCACGTCCTGATCCAAGAACAGCACGTACTCCACGTACGTGAGGAAGACTCTGGTTCAAGGTTTCGGAAGTCACGGTTTGGGACTGTGTCGGAGTTAGGCCAGTGAGGCTTCCAGTGTTGAGGTCTTCAACAGTTCGGCTTTGGAAGCGTCCAGAACCTGCCGGAAGCAGAGTCTATCGGCAATGCGATCTG